AATATTAAACAACACTGAATAAAGAGAACTTTAGCAATATTCTCTGCTTTTGGGAATAATTTCTAGGAGAGGCGACTGCTGTTAGAAAAAAGAAAGGCTGTGGTTTATCTTGTGGATCGGAAAGCATTCTTGAAGTCGTGACATGTATATATTTCACATTGTGATTTCTTCACCCGTTTCATTTCTTCATTTTCAGACAATGGATATATTTTTCGAGATGATTTATCTGCTCCCTATCATTTATATTAGCAAGCAACGGCGAATATTTGGTGCTCTATGAAGACAACTCACTATTCTATGGTAGAATTGGAGTAGATTATATCATTCAGGTAGTAAGGAATGAAGAAACAATTTGACCAAATGGGCGCAATATTTTTCGGCTACTGTCAATTTTTTTCCCGTGAAATTGAATTTTTTCGACCTGCAATTCCAGCCGTCGAAGGAGCAATATTCTTTCAAATATTTCTTAACACAGTAGAGAACACATTCAAAGTTGAGTTTAGTTTCTTCAATTTGGTACCATTCTGATGAATATACCGTGTTTTTATTCCAGCTGAATTCCAGTTTTCCTAACAATCTTGAAACCAGGCTTGTATTTGACCTGATTGGTAACGCTTACGTCGTTTCGTTCAACAAAAGGTACTAATATATTCATCTGTGCTGATATATTACCACCTGTGCTGATATATATACCACCATCTGTGCTGATATATATACCACCCGCCTGAATCAGTGTTGCTCATAAAAATCTTACATTCTTCGCGTACAAACAGCTCGTCGTCGGTTGCAAGGAAAAACTACGCTTTGGATAACGAGATCTTTAATTCACTTTACCCTGATGTTCTCTGCCCAGTGAGTTGCGAGTAATTTATTTGTGTTTTGCTTATTTTACTTCAATTCTATTCAATATTAACAAGACACAATTCTTAAGTTCGTTCAGTTCTCGTTTGGAAATTTATCTTCAAGTAATGTATTAGATAAACGGGAAAGTTTTGAGGTAAATATCTCATTGATTTTTGAAAGACGTTTTGTTTTACTCGAGGCAAATTTTGCACGGTGTTTGACACGATTCTTACGTATTACATGTGATGCTGTATGCTGTTTTTATAGATCTGGGGATATTTGGTGTTCCAGCGGATTTATCTAAATGATATTCAGGTACGATTTTATTGAAGCAGTACAATTTTATTGACGAATTCCTGGGAATGTTTCTTGAAATCATTATTGTGATTTCTGTTGCAATTTTGCTACAGTTGATATGGAATCCAAGTGAAGACCTACTTTTAACAACGTCAGAACAGAAAGAATATTACCAAGATGTTATCATAGTTAACAAGGTGAGTGGAAATGCATGGGAGAAAAGCTAGTAGGAACAGAGGCAAAAGCAGTATTCCTGATCTGGGAATTAATTAAGCAGCATTGTTCTTTGGGTCTAACGACAAGGTCATCTTTCTCATCAAAAATGATGATTTTATGTGATTAACTTTCACTTTTTCCGTACAGACGTTCAAATTTAAAGAAAAGAGATCTGAAAATGCGACATTCCCCGCCACCTCTTCAAGGTTAGCTGCATCAACCTGTGCTAAACAAGGCTATCGTATAGGCCGGTCATCTAACATTACTGTTGCTGTCTTCCAGCTTTTCAGTAACTCTTCTTCCAAAAATAAACAGCATGACGTGTACGCGACCATTTCATAAGGTATGTTGTGGTTTTTGCCAAATTTTTGATCAAATGAGAAATGCGGAAAAAGAAAAATCAAAATCTCCATGTTCTGTGGAATGGATGAAATTGTTTAGCATAGTTTATCCACGTGAGAATGAAATTTAAAAATTTTAGGTGTTTCACTTCCATGTTGGCTGTCCACCAACGAGACGAGTGTTTATCAGGTAAGAGATGATTGAGTTGACCAATCTAAACGTTTTGTCCATACCTATTAATGTATTATATTATTAAAAACGGTTGAAATGACTCACAAAAACTGAATTTATTTTGGTAGAGATGCGAGATCCTCTGACCTATCATTTTCTGAGGTAAGAATAAAATGATCTATATTTAGTTGTTCACTATCGATAAGTGTTTACAATTTTCATTTACCATTTCTTTTCAAAGGAGCAGAAGAAATTTTGGCTAAGGTTATCCACAGGGAATACGTTTCATCCAGTCATCTCTATGTAAGTGCCTTAGATTTCCCGGCTTTGTGGTAGCTATGGAGAGATCTATAATGTACATTTTACTAGCATCAGTATCTCAAGGTATCTTAATAGTTAATATTTACTTGGTAGCTTAACTAGCTTCTACGTTCGCTTGACTGTGTTTATACGAGCTCCATATTTTCACAGCTCTAGCATTCTTCGCTTAAATCAATGTATTGTATTAATCAGGTACAATGAGAACGTTTTGATCAGAAGGGTGTATTCTATGTTCGAGATTGTGGAACTTGATGGAAGGACAGATTTTGCTGTTAGGGTCGAACAGGTCGGAAGATGTGCAGGATTTCAAAGCTTGCTATACATATATATATATAATCATATTTGGTGTGAATTTTGATGTTTTATAGCAAAATAACCAAGACAGGACGATCATGTCCTTTGATGGTAGTGGTTCTTTTAAATTTTCACTAGTTTTTGAAGACAAGAATGCCAGGTAAGCGTTTTGAATCGTTTGAATGTCCTTGAAGGGAAAAGATTAATTCATAGCAATTAGTGTATTTCTCATTTTCCTGAAATCAGTTCTGTTAAATCTTGCACACTACATAGTAATTCTGCATGATATTTTTTTACACGGCGTAAGAATTTTACATATAGCATGTCAACATTCATGCCAATAATATTTCTACAGCCTCTGTCGTACTGCTGTCGAATTTGATGTTGACGTGGAGGATGAACAGGACAGCGACTATTCCTACCTGGAGTTCGCATGTGTAATATTGTTTACAATTCTCATCATTTTATTTCTCGTGTCAAACTACCTGCTTTATCGCAAGGCATTCTTACAACGACACGAGGAAGATGACGAGGCTAAAAACCGCTTGCAAGAGCAACAGTACGTATTGTAATAATTAGACAATAGAATGAAGTTATTTTGGATACTTGAAAACACTCTTTGCCAAGTGTTTACAAAGCATACATATACAGATTACGGACCAGAAACGCACACAATTCCACGTATTTGTGGCAAACGCGTCAGGCTGGTGGCACCAGTGTTGTTATATAGAAATGCTGTTTCAGCTGTGAGGTAGTTTTTTGGCTCTGCTCTCGAACCAAAGAGCTGCCTTAAGACCAGTTTACACTTGCAATTTTTCGTATGCGATTCTTTTCTTTTGATAGATGTGAACGAGTGAACTAGTTACAGCTGTTCAAATAAGAGCTCTAAAACATCAGAGCATTCGTAACTAGTCACTCGTTCACATCTACCAAAAGACGAAATTCGCAGATAAAATCGCACTGAAAATTGAAAGTGTAAACGGACCTTAATCTTGCAGGGCTAAATCCGGGTTCTAACAACATGAATTTTTCTATCTAGATACCTGGCCCAGCTACAGTATTTCCGCCAGGGTGGCGCCAAGGCCCCACCTTCTTCTACACCCGCCAAACCACGTGATCCCGAGCTACCCCAACGTCGCACAGCCGTGGTGGCTGGTAAGAGTGATCGTCGGGGCATCCGTCGCTCCTCGGTGTTTGAGAGGGTCAGCAAGGGAGTATTTGAGGACCTGAAGGTACAAGACAGGTCACAAAGCTTGCAAGAACCGCCACGAGAACTTGAGGATTTCGGCGAATCGTCCGCTGCGTCGCGTCGACATACCATCGCCCAGTAGTCGATTTCTAAGCTTCATTTTCGATTATGTTCTTCGTTCAGTGTATCCATTTTTACTGTCGGATGCACTGTCGTGAGTTATCATATTCTTGTTTTTATGTTGCAAAGTTACAAATAAAAATACGAGAAATCTCCTCGATTAAAACATTTCGGATTTGCCACCGGCCGTCATTATTGTTACCACTAGTTTGCAAACTATTCGTCTTCAGCTTAAAAAGCATTGAAAATGAGCACGTAATTCTTGCTTTAAGATGCATGAAACTAAGAAATATTGCACAATTTGTTGTTCATTTTTCCAGAACGTTTTGTGCATCATGTATACGATATTTTGCTATTATTTCTCACAACAGTGATGCCACAATTTGTGCACATATGTTTTACTTCAATGTTATTAAATGTTGTTGAGAAAAATTAATCGTGTTGCTGTCGTTTGAGACACACTTTCGCCTTTCTTCGTTGATGGATTTGAAAGCTCTAGCTGCGCTTAATTAATTTCTTCGTTTAATGTCACCTGTTGATTATTACATGAATAAATAATGTTAACCTGCAAATGTAAATTGATTCTATTGCGTGCGTGCAAACTGATTTAAACTCATTTTATACTTGTATCTTAGCTTGCTCACAAGTTTGTTGACATGTCTCATTGTGTAGCAACACTGGATCAATAAGAGATGATCCTTACTGGACCTCTAGGAAGAACAGTTTAGAACTGATAGAGCTATCCAGTATAAATAAAGTTAGTTTAGTTTAGGTTTCCTCCTGTAGTAACACTGGATCAATAAGAGATTATAATTACTGGACCTCTATACGAAGAACAGCTTAGAACTGATAGAGCTATCCAGTATAAATAAAGTTAGTTTAGTTTAGGTTTCCTCCTGTTGTAACACTGGATCAATAAGAGATGATCCTCCCTGGAGTTTACTGGGTAAATGTCTTGCCGGAGAAACGCTAAATTGATTTGCTATCATTAAAACACATTCTTTACATCAGGCCCTCTGCAGTTTGCACGAGAAGAATTAAAGATTGGACTGATTTGGCCGTGTAGCAAAATAATTCCAAGTTTAGTCTAAGTGAAACAATTGTCACCAGGCGATCTTCACGCCGTCATAACCGCATACCGCAGGTTTCAGGTGTTAGCAAGCCAGAACCAATCACATCCAATCCTGTCAGCCAGGGCCTCCACCGTTACCAAGACGCTGTGACAGCAGTTCATTACAACGCCGAAGTATCTCTTCGACACAGAGTACACAGTACAACAGTTTTTGAAGCGCGATTCTTTGGAAAATGCCAAGGCTTCTTCGTAGAGAGTCGTACAGTCGGTCGGACGTACCTCATATTTTGGACAACAAAGTATTTGATTTCACAAGCGAGGTTCCTCCTGACTACAAGTGTCCGTTGTGTCACAGTCTTTTGCGAGATCCCATCCAACTCAACACTTGTGGACATCGGTTTTGTAACAGTTGTTATTTACGACACCTTGGGTAAGTTATTTTGCGATTACCTTATTCAACGACATTACCTATCAACATTAAAATCTTTCAAGTCAATCCAAACTCTTTAGAGCCGGTCACTTGCTGCCTGATTCACATTGTCACGGCTTCAAGCTAACTATAACTATGTCGGCTTTTACAATCGATGGAGTACATTTTTTAATTCTATAGGTATAATTATAATAATTTAAGTGTTGAACTATAAGCTTTGCAGCATTTAAACTTGATGTTGTGATAATGCGAATCAGGTAACTATAGGAGCTTTTGTCGCCCTATACGACCCTTAGGGATGCTAATTTCCACAACCTGCTAACTTTTTTTTTCTCCAGTATAAAATCTTAACTTTCTCAAATCATTACAGCAGAGTTCTTTTTGTTTTTGTTCGAGTGTTCGCCATTATGTAGGCTTACAAATTAAGTGGTTGAAAGAATTTTGTACGATAAACGATAATTCGTGATTAGCAAAGACAATTATATGCATATTTTGTTTGCCAGATTACGACGAATTGTGAGCCAAATCCATTCTGTTATAGTAGGGAACCTAAAATGTCGGACAATCCACCTAGGGCTAAGTACATTTGTACACATACTACGCGTAGGGCATTTTGACTTAATGGACATGTTAAGAGCCCTTCAACAGTTCAACTCCATTTACAATGTTTGTAAATATCATTTTTCCTGTTTGAAACTAAAACTAAGTACACAAGCTACCCTGCAAGCAGAGCCTTATTTTCGTTTCTCACAAGTTGCAACGCTTTAAAATCGCTTTTTCGCATCAGAACTTGTTACATAGGCGAAACCGCGAAAGCATTCGCTAGTCAAAGTCAAAAATGACAAAAGGCCCTTTTAGGAGTCTTTCTTCCTGTGCCTTCTGGGGTCAGTTGTATTAAAGCCGGATAGCGCTATCTGCCGAATAGTGATTTTTTCAATCGCTTCAAAAATCTTCCGTTTTTTGCTATAACTTTGATTAAATCTTAGTATTCCTAAATCGAGGACCCTCTTGAATAATTGTTGGTGCCAGAGGTGAAATTTCATTGCTTTTCAAGCATTTTTAGAACGATTCAAAAAATCACAATCCGGTGGATAGCGCTATCCGGTTTTCATGCATACAACCGGCTCCTGCTGCTTGTTAACTTCAATCTATGAAGTAAGACTTTGACGGAGGCCGGGATCCTCTCATGAAATACACTTCAGCAATTTCTTAATATAGCTACAATATATATGAAAAATATATCATATTTTTCGATCCGCTAATGTCGCCACCAGGGGCCGCCTGTTGGAAAGGCGTTTAGCTTGGACAATGGATAAGCCAAAATTTGAAAATACTCTCATAGATCTTGTGAATGACTGGACCTGCAATATGTCCTTGAGTCCTTCCATTGACAATTAAACTATTAACATCGAAATATTTCAGCTCGGTTGTTGAATAAATAGATAATTTTGTTTTCCATTTTTAACTTATCCACCGTTTAAGCTAAACGCCTTTTGAACACCGGCCCTAGGAGAGTAAGTAAATGAAGATCGAGTAAATTTGAGTACATGCAGTTGAAGTATTACCATGAATGTAATATGTAATGGGTGGGAATTTAACTATACTCGCTAAAATTACCAAGGCAACGTTACTGAAAACATTAACGACGCTTAAAAAATATATATGTCAATAAAAGCGAAAATTTCTCTGCAAACAAAAGTGGAATACATTCATTCACCCCTGCCGCGATATGACGTTATTAAACTCCCATATATGCAGGTGTGCTTCGAGTTTATTGGACGAAAATTATTTAAAACTATAATATTTAGACATGCATATAGTTAAAAAAAATTGAACTGGCTGCCTTTCATGCAAAACTTTTGAATTTGCATTGAATTAACCTAAATAGACTTGACTCCATTTTGGGAAAAGAATTAGAGACAAAACATACACAAGATGGCCCCTGAATTTCAGTTTCTGTGTTTCGAAAATCAAAAATACAAATTTCGCTATAAAGGATGCTTCATCGTTTATTTTCAACCTTGTGATTTTCGTTGTTAGAACTGTCAAATTACTGAATAAACATTCTATCTGCATTTACAATTAATCTTTAGTGTTTGAATGTTTTGTTTTATCAAGCGTTATTCCTCTCAATATAATGTGTTTGCTTAAGTTAGTCTTACAGTAAACGAAATTAACGAATTATTGGCAATATTGACTATGTACATTAGACTTACTTGCTTTTATGACAAACATGGTTATCGGCAAAACACGCGATGAACCTGTTGCTAAGATATTAAAACAAAATTATTAAAACATTGTCATTATTCGTGCATGCAGACACTACCTGTCGTCGTTCCTAATTTTGAATTTTCCAACCGATAAACAAAAATAAAAAATTGATGAATCTATATATAGTGAAAGGTCTAACGGACGTTGATAAAATCCTGCCTATAGTATCGGCAATGATATACAAATTTCATGCCGTTGTATGTCCTGCCTATAGGCTATAATATACAAGTTCCATGAAGATTGCCTTTCGTATAGTTCTCCCCAACATTTTTTTTATTATTTAAGAAACCCCCCTTAATGTCGCAAAGTAAACATATTTTGCGAATGATATTTCGGGATGGCCTCGTATAGTTGTGAGCCCTTACAAACTCTTAAACACGTCCAATTTTCTCTTATTGCAATAAATATTGTTTTTTTAGCAATGGATCCAGTAAGCTTTGCCCGATTGACCGAAAATCATTCAAAGAAAGCGAGGTATGCTTTGGTAATTGCACAACTAAGCCTCTTTTTATCTTTATATAATTAAAAATTAAGCATTTACGTCTTCGTCTACGACGTGACAAAGCCTTTAATTACTTCATCGATTCGATTGAGGGTTTATATGAAGATATCTTAAGTCCCTGGTCTTAACGATCGAGATAGCGTTGAAAATTTAATAAATTCGTCAGTCAATTTTGCGATACGAAATAGATCTTGCTGAAGAAAGGTAGGCGAAATTTCGCAATATAAAGGACATCTGGAACTCGAAAGGACATCCATCGAAACAGCAAGAACTTTTCAAAATATTTCATCAACTCTTAAAAATTCGTTTAGGTTTTCCAGGATCGAGCGTGGCGCAACACAATCATGTCCCTTCGAGTGCGATGCAAATTCAAAAGCTGTCCTTGGACTGGCACGTTGAATTCACTTTTGGAGGTAAACAGCTGAAGACGACAATCTTATGTATCATAACCGTAACAGGCTATTCGAGATCGATGTTGTATCATGAATAAATCGGGAAATCAGGTTAACTTTCCTGTGCAGATCATAGTTTCTTTAAAACATAGATTGATTATATAGATGTAGACAATCTGAAAAATTTAAGGAAACCGTTTGACGTTTCTGACGAAGTCTGCCATATGGCATCGTAGTTCGTCATTTGACGCATCTTTGCTTGAAAAATCCAATTCTTTCCATGCAGGCCGTGTATCATATCTGATCTAATACAAAGAGAATTGCTGTAGCACTATAGATAAGGAATAATTTCGCATATAGCATTAGATAAATCTGTTTATAGATTTGATCGGATAAAAAGTTGTACTTTATCTGCTTGTCGGTCAGATACTTGGATGAAAACTTTAAAAAGCGTGCTAGGTTATTTTCGATATAAATCGTATGGACACATTAGCTATTACCCATTCAGTTTTAAAAGCTGTAAGCTAGTACAACACCACATCAGGTTAACGTTGACTGCATGTCGGCTTTTAATTAACCAGTCCCGAACAGAGTTTCCATGGTTTGTGCTCAGATCCTGCGAACGAGGCTGTATGGAGACGAAGCTGAGCCGTTTATCGCTTTCATTGGCGTCACATGACTCACTCATGCATGATCAAGAAGCAGAGAGATTAGATGAAAGGGTTATTTGTAAAAGCGTCCCAAAGGAAATAAGTTAAAACAAATAACTCAGGTCATATTAGCATTCGGCTGAAGTCATAAAAGGCACGGCGTCTGAACTGGACGCATAATCGTCTGTTACACAACTTTCAAGATTCATTTCTTTTTTCAGGACCACGCTGAAGAATGCGAATATGAAGACGTGAAATGCCCTGATCCCAACTGTAATGTTGTGATGGCGCGTAGCCGAATTGAAAATCATCAGGCCAGAGAATGTCAATGGCGTGTTGTCGTCTGTGATTACTGTGAGGATAAATACGCCGTTTGCAAAGAAGAGGTAATTCCGCCGTTTTCAAAGATGAAGAGCTTCAATATACGAATTATTGAACCGATATATAATCCTGCTTGTCTCGTCCTTTCCACTCCCAACAAAATACAAATAAAACTATTCGCTTTAAACGTCTAGTTGATGAATTGTTACTTTTTATTACTAACTTTGAAAGCTTGAAAACAATATGGCTAAATTGGGCCTTCTGTAGAATCATGTATCATTTATACGAATCATATATGGTTCAAACATGTTTTTTGAGTTACGTGTTTCGTTCGTGTCAAACAAGACAAAGCTATGAAACTTTGTCCTTTCTCTTAGGTTCATAAAGCTACGTGCCGTGGAGTACCAGAGAAATGCCTTAATGGTTGTTCATCGAGAACTATACCTCGTGGACAGGTCTGTTTATTTTGCTTTCTTTTTAAACTCGTATTCCTGGAAGATCGTGAACATATAGAAGGCACGCGTGTAACCGATACACAGCTAAAATTGAAAGTATCAGATGCATATGGTGTACTTCTAGGAAATAGAAAGAAGTTACAGTGAGGCTTTTGCTGCATTGCAATTCTAGGAAAGGAAGGGATAGAGTTATCCTGTCGAAGTGGTGCATATACTATACCAACTTAAATTCTTAGAAATAGAAGTGATAATTTTAGAGCCGCATGACTGCAATGCTATTCTAGGAAGGACTTTTTCTCAGAAAGAGTAGACACAAAAACACGAGTTTTGCTGCCTAACAAGTCACCTGACATTTATGATGCAATTTAAACACTTGTCTTTTAGATGAGAAAACATGTCGAAAATGAATGTCCGCTGACTATATTGCCATGTCAGTACAGGCACGTTGGCTGCGATGACGAGGTATACTTATTGGGATGGATTATTGTTATTATTGTCTTCTAGTTTCAAGCGTAGAAGGGCAAGCCCGAAGGTGTAAATAAATGTGGTTCAGGGTGTTTCAAATAAAGACAACCGATATAGGAGAGGAACAGGTCCCACACGTTCAACTTAGCTCAGTCGAAATATGTTTACCAGATCATGCTTAGATGAATAAACACTCTTACATACATCTTAAATATTTTCTAATTTTGACTAAATAACCGTTTAACAATGAATTTGAAGTTAGCAAGTTCACGGTAACCAAGGGTAGATTGTATAAAACTCTTTAAGACTTTAACTACATTTTGCATAGTTAAATCCTAGTTAACTCAGAAATACACAACTCTGATTGGCCAATTCTGTCCTTAACTACGATTAAAAGCTAACTAGTCTTTTATACAACTGGCCCCAGGTATTTATTCCAGTGTTATTATAATTGCTACACTGAATATGAAAGTGGGCCGAAAGTATTCACGACACTTCACAATGACTACATTCACGACCTGGGTATATATAGTTTCATTATTTAAACTGAAATAATGGTAATATTGATGAATCGCTAATTATTACTAAGCTGTTAAACATGTTTTGATATAGAATTTCCTCTGTTGCTATTTCACTCTGCATGCCAACCTCTTCACGGTCCCTGCAAACCTTGACCGCCCTTTCCTAGAACGATCGCTTTTAGTTTCAGTTTGAAGTCATTTGCATGAGAAGAGCATGATTTCCTGAGGATGAATATACTTCAATGTAGATCCTTCGTCATCAAATGCAAGATCATCTTGATAAGAACCTTCAGAAGCATTTGGATCATGCTTGTGGCAAAATACGTGAGATGGGCGCTGACTTACGAGAAAAGACTTTGCAACTGAACCAGCATTCCGAGAAACTGGCGATTTTGGCTGCAGAGCAGGTTCGTGGAATTCGTGCTCCAACTGGTATATTTCCGGCCTGTTTGCAATAATATTGCCGCCTTGGATGCGGATTCAATTACCAGCCTAATCTAATCGATCTAATTCATAATTATTATCGACGAGCAGTTAATCTGTATAATTTATTCTATGAACTATGAAGAAGCTAGAATTAAAGCTTATTAAATGTATTTCAATGCCTTGTTTTTCCAGGCTCGCAACATGACTGGTAATGGAACAATCGTTTGGGTTATCGACAACTTTGAGATACGTTTCCGTCAAGCAGTAAACGGAATTGAGCCGATATTGCAGAGTGAAGCGGCTCTTACCGGCCCGTTTGGCTATAAATTCCGTTCCTTAGTCTACCTGAACGGCGATGCAAAGGCTAAAGGTATCTTGAATAATAGTTTATGTCCCACAGAGCGCAAAAGTCGTCAGCGACACAAAGCGTAAAAATTCAGGGAGTCACTGAGTCATTGGAGCACGAACTCTTCATTCTAACTCAGTATACATGAACATAATTCACGTCAAGCTAATTTATTACAAACTACCCTTACTGCTCCTCAGATTCCTGTATATCCGGCCGTATATAGACTCAATATATCCCCTTTTGTTCCTGAGGCTGCTGACCTGTATGTTCTTAAGGTCCCTTCATATCTGTATGCATGAGACTAATGTTACCCCTTTTGTTCCTTAGGTTCCTGTATATCCGTATACATCCAGCTCTTGAAGGGAGATCATGACTCACTCCTTCGTTGGCCCTTCCAACAGGAAGTGAAATTCACGCTTATCGACCAGCAAAACGACCATGATGAACGCAAAAATATCGTCAAAGTCCTCGCACCGGCTGGCAACAACGAAGGCATCGTGAATTTCCAGCGACCAATCAAAAGTTGCAATACTGGCCGCGGTTATGCCAAGTTTGTTCCGCATGACGTCATACGCACGCGTAGATACATTCGCGATGACGTCATGTTCCTGAAGATCGAAGTCGAGCCCACTGTGTCGGTGTAAAACTTCATGACTTTTCCTCTTATAATGCGATGTTATTTTTACAATGTCACCAGTTGATATATTTTCGAAGTGTTACCGTCTGAAGCACATTTTATTTCACAATACGTGCATGCATACAGTAATAATGCGACTTTGTCTACTGGATTTTTGCTTTGTATTTAAGGCATGTTAGATATTTGTTCAGCGGCAGTTTCTTCTTTTGATGTATGCAGTCATATACTCTGTGTGTGATTACCCTTATTCGAAAATTCGTAACTTATCGACCACATCTATGAAAAGAAAAAAATTGCACCTAAAACTCTCAGCAAAAATTATCCGTGAAACTGGTATAGAAAAAGCTAAGAAAGCAGATCAAAACTTTTGCCCACAGATAGTTCTGAAAGTTATCCAGTCACCGTTATCAATTATTTTTGAGAGTAGTTTTCTTATCAATGCCATCTTTGTATAATATTATTGTTAAGAATAGGAAGACGCCATTACCGTTGATGAGATAGATAATAAATAAAGGTCAGTTCCTAGCTGTTCGTCGTAATTTGGGCGGTTGATCTGACAGAATGCGAAGGGGCGAAAATGATTTTTAATTAAAAATTACAGCCACATGGGAACAGGTCTTCTTTGTTCTCACCCAGTAGTTGTATTATAAATATTAAATAAAGGCATTTCATTTGCAATAATCAGTGTGTCAGACCTTTGAATGTTTATTTACCTGGGGCCGAATAGCTTTATTTTTTTAGATTCTTGATTACGTACGCTCTCGTCTTAATTACATATCCCCAGGCTCTACGCCACTTTAAATGAAGAGATTTATCGTATCATTTCCTCCCTCTGAGGGACTCATAATTCACAGTAAGAAAATAAACAATGAATTGCTTTAACAACCTGTGGTGTAAAAATGTTCACAAAATGCTTAAAATTCTCCTCTTTCGCGAATTAAACTATCTCTAAAATCTCCTTCCTTATTCTTCTAAAAAGCGTGTGTAATGACGTGCTCCTGATTCCTGACATGATCCTTCGGGGGTCCCCTTCCTCCAACGGTCCAACTACACTCTACCCCCCCCCGCCCCTGCAAGCATCTCCACGCAGCCCTCGCGGGGCGCGTGACCGGAACTTACGCAGGTGTCGGTCGAACGAATTCCAGGAATTGGAAGCCATTTACAAAATGCAAAGGCGAAATTAGGAGTTCTTGGATCACTTCTCTGCATGTAAAACTCGACACACTCGACCTGACCTAAACGTATTTGTCGCTTTTAACATCATGGGGATTTGTGGACGAATCCTTTCCTTCTACAGACGAGAAGAACCGCCCGTAGACAGGCGAGGAAAAGCATGTCTAGCGAACGGCGAACTCTACACTATAACATATTCACAACATTTAAGAGTTCGGGTTTGTATATTTTACTGTCGTTTATCTATCCTTAAACTTTAATATATGACCGTAGATGTGTAGTTTTAAAAACCTTGTTTATCATTTAAAAATATTCCCATATTTATTGGGAGGACTGTGTAGAAAACGTGAACTATATTGTCCTATTTTTCTATTCTATAATAAATGCACGCAACGTTATACAAAAACGCTCAATTTTCTTCGGCTGTTGGACTTCGTCTTAAGGAGATGATAATATTTTGCAAGTTTAGGTTCACACAGTAATATTTCTTAGTTAATCCTTTAAAATATTACGAGAAAATGTATTTAATTTCATGATATATTAGCGGAGTATGTAACTGCTAAGTAATTGACGGCGAAAATGAAAGCGTTTTCCAAGAATTTGACGATGACGGTTTCATTTTTACGTGTAAGCATATCAGCTGTTTTGATTTTAATGAGATAAGGCCATCCACTTGGAATTTGCTCCAAGTTGTCTTGTGTGCCAAAGCTTGCAGGCACCTTTTGTATATAGTTTCTAGGATTTTGTGAACAGTTGATTCCTAGGAGTATCCAGTCATGACCTTCTTGTGAGACAACAAAAGGCAATCTTGAACTTCTGCTTTGTGAGAAAGAATCTCAGCCATATCACACAGTCTGCGATAGCAATCAAATGCACCAGCCGAGTTTATAACTATGGGGAATTGCCATTTCCTGTGATTCCAGATATAATTTAGAATACACTGAGTGTTAATCCAAGTGCGCTGTTAATTAATATCATATAATTCTGAAATATATACTAATGATTGTCACTCCAAAGGCTACCGGGGCCGGCATCTCACTTTAATTGCCATCTCACTTTGCCATCTCACTTTCCTATGATGTAAACACAATTGCAAGTGTAACTTAATATGAATACTATTAATTCCTAGAAATGCCTAGCTTATTCTTACAATGATGGGAACTTGATTTTCCTTCACACAAGAATGAGCATATGCAGAGTAGATGCTTTTTTTAAGTCTAAATTCACATGTGTTTGTCGTAATGCCGCGTCTCTTGCATCGTTTAAGTTCTGTACTTACCATTTGTTGACATGGGAAGCGTGCTCGGGCGATCATGTTACACATGTTAGCCCAATTGTGTTTTAATCGATTTCAACATATTTTGTTTCTGTTACGAACAGGACATCTGTATCGAAATTTGCAAGAAGTTAGACATAGCACCAATGGCATTAGATTTCTTCACCCTAATGACTACGGACTGCGAACACTGTCTACGACCTAACCGTCAAATTAAGCAGCGATGTGACAAGCAAAAGGACCACTATCTCAATCCTAAGAGGGTACTTCATGAGGATGAAATCACAACCAAGGTCTTCTTCTTTCGGCTTGCATTCAAGGCAGTTGCCGGCCCTGACCTCAAGGTGGTGAATAATGGTGCCTATGAATATTTTGTGTTACAGGTATGTTTGGTTGGTTTTGAGGTTTTACAGGTTTAATTTGCATAGGATACAATTGCATCAGAAAAATATCACTTTCCATACTTTCCTTGAAAGCAGAAAGACTCTCAGAATCCAGAGTTAAAATTTAACATCATAAAACAATTTTGTATTGTTTGTTGCCTTGCAGTGTCGCTGGGATTTTATCAATGGTAGAATAAATTACTTATCAAGGAAGGATCATCTGACTCTGCTCATTCTTGAGTCAATCATGAGAGCTCATGAGGCGGGAAAACAGTGCAAAGAAGTCTTGGACAACCCGTGAGTCCTATGACCTTAAATTAGACATCTCTGTCAAAGACATCTCTGTGAGCTAGGCAAGAACTTCATCAACCTACCCTCTTTTCCCCTTGCTGACCCTTGCACCCTAGCCTGTCCCCTTACACCCAATTTTTCCTATATAACACCCCTCCTTCTGGAAGCCATGTGTCGCTCTGTAGGACAGACATTTCTTTTTAATTAAAAGTCATTTCAAATGCAGACATCTGCCGCCTGGGATGGCAGCTGTGTAAACACCAATGTGTATTGTCTTGCCAATAATAACATTTCTCTGTCTTAGAGAATTTTATTCATAGAATTTTACATTCCATTTCCCTCTCAAAATCTTATTTTAAGGAAACAATTTGGTCTTGGTCATTTGTTCATTGATGATGAATACAGTTGCAGAGAGATTAAAACCCACCTAAAGAAACAACTTTCACAGTTCAAAACTGCTCAAAACAATGTCGATAAAGCAAAAAATTCATTTCTGTATGTGCTTGAGAGTGTCACAGACTTTGGTGTGACTAAAGTTGTCGTGAAAAAGGTGAGACCTTTGTATCGAAACATGAGCTTTGGATGTTCTTGTAGTGAAAGATTGAAAACAAATTGCCTGACTTTCATTTAAAACATTTACATCTTTTGTGTGTATTTTAGTTTTACTACCAGAGTGCAGGTGGGGATCACATTGTCCCAGTGGAATGGGAAATTTCAATTTCTCCAAGTGGTTTGAAGAAAAGAAGGACGTATAAAGATGAGAGGGTATGATCATTGGCAGTTTGAAACACTGATGCAAATCAGATTCTGAGAATGTGCAAACACACCTCTCAAAGACACTGTGGGAGGCAACATGTGCAAAAACATAAACATCATTAGTCCCAACAATGAGTGTGACTTCTGGTTACACTCGTACTCTGATTTTCCCTCCCCGTTTTCATTTTCAAATCGTTTTCTATACTTCTGTTTAAATTTCTACTCTGTGCCGACGCGGCTATTTCTAAATACCAAATAAAGTAATGAACAACGATTTCCTGGTAACATTATCTTGTTGTGACTGCATGGGTTGTTTTTTTTGCAGGATGTTGACGGGGAAACAACGGGTAACACGAACAGAGTAGATGAATTGATCAGCGATTACAAGGATATTGAATATCTCGAGATAAAACAATCAGAATCCGAGGAAAAGTCATTCATATCTCAAGACAGAAAGCCGCTCTCGAGGTAACCTGTTGAAATGTACTTCATTTAACTGCACACAAGCGTCATTGCAATTCCCTTCAAGTAAATCTGAACAGGACAAATGAAATATACATGCAGTATCGAGCTTTGTTTGTTTTTTTTAGGTTATTTCCGTCGGAAAATCAATGATAAAAAAAGAGAATTTGATTACACTGATTGAAGGATTTTATCATCTCTTTGTTAACCAGTACAAAACCTTGACAAAATGTACGTATTTATTTGTAAAAGCAAATTGTTATACTGTACGCTAATTTGAAAAGAAAGCTTTTTTAATGTGAATGAACGCGTTAGGGACATTATTTTCTGTATTCGTTGCGGGGTTTTTTACTTTTTAAACAGTTTAAATTTCCAACTGGAAAAGAGTGTTGTTCGTTATTTCAAAAAGACACTAGTCACTACGTCCGGTGAATTGTGAATTGTTACATGTATATACACCATTAAAATATCATTGTTTTTGGATTGTGAAAAGACTTTTCAACGTGTAAAAAGACGCTATTCTCTACTTGTGAAAACGACTCGGATGGATTTCTTGTAAGGCATTACAAATCAACTTATCTTCGTCTTCTGTTTTCAGATGCGCCTGGCCTGGAACTTCCAATATCATGTCCTGCACAGAACAGAAGCCTGCGCATTCACGGTCCCATCGAGTAAGATTTGAGAAATTTTACTTTATATTATATTCTTCACAGCAAAGCTTTGCGATGATTGAATCGGCACTGGACAAAAGTATCGTTTACAATATGAAAAACATTAAGCGGAACACTAGGCGAATTTATTCGCGCGGCGCGAAGCGATATCTGAAATCCGGTGATGTGATTAGTTTGCGAAAAAATACGACGCGAAAAAGTAGAAACGCTTCCTACTTTTTAGCTGTTCGCGCGAATAAATTCGCCCAGTGGAGAACGGGATTTGAGCTGTGATATTTATCTTGCAACAGGAGAAAGAAAGTCGAGTCGTTGTTGAAGGCGGTGGAAACAGAAAATGGTGATCGCTCCGGAGTTCATATGGTCCGAAGGAGTCGAAAGGAATTCGATAGTTATATTCTTTCCTTGATCTATGGAAGTGAGATCAGACATTATGAGATCGTTTTCGAAAACGAAAAATTTAGCCTCAAAAATGGACCGAAGTTCGACGCCCTACCGGAACTCTTGGATCATTATAAAACTGAACAGGTTTGGAAAAAACACATTCATAAATCATTTAAAAAACTGAATAGGTTTGGAAAAAACACGTTTAGCTAATATCCCGCGATAACTTGGGTTGGATTTCCTAGAGGTACCTGCATGCATAGTAGCGAGATTTAGATTTGATCTTCTCTGCCGCTATCTCTCGCTGGTCTATCGTGATCGTGATTGGTTAATCCGATAGATCTCTCGCATTTGATTGGTTCATGTTTTCTTAACGGTAGTGTTAGTGAGGGTGGAATCTGAACTTTGCTATTTTCCGTGCTCAAGCTGAATCAAAATGTCACCGATATTCCGTTCTTTTCTACAGGCACGGTTTCCAACAAAACTCACGACGTATTGTCCAATACCCAAGGAAGGTAATGAAGGAGTGATATATCCTGATATATACCCTGATATATCCTTATATCCTGATATACCCTGATATATCCTGACAAATCCTGATATACCCTGATAGACCGTGATATATCCTGATATATCCTGATATATCCTGATATATTCGTGCCTGATATACCCTGATATACCCTGATAGACCGTGATATATCCTGATATACTCTAATATATCCTGATATATCCCATTGTATGTGAGACATTACATTCTCTCTTTCTTTGTTCAGGATTGTGCGCGTTGTATGATGACCAGGTGGTTGTCGAAATACCGTGTGTTCCCTCCACATCACGACCTGCAAACCCTGACTATCTCTTTGAATACATTGGCAATCGACAGCTGGAGAAACTGCATCACACCTTCACGGTGAGCATATTCATGCCTGACACAGAGTAATATACGATACCAGAAGCTTTACTCTTACAAAAACCTACCTTTAATCCTTCTATAAAATCTGTCAAACACACTCCTTAGACAGCGGGAGGCAACATAGACACCAAAGCTCCCGACACCGAGTGCCACTTCTGGTTATACTTCTACTTTGATTTCTGTCCCCATTTTTGTTCCCATTTTCAATTTGTAAACATACTTCTGTTCACATACTCTGTTTTGCTCCAGTTTCCAAAATAACAAGCACTCCAACCTGATAGCAACGTTTTGCGATATTGCCTTTGCCTAATAAACGTCGCATTCTTAACATTCCAGTGCGGTGATATGGGCGACAGAATTTTCAAAGCCATGTGGTTGAAGGGGGACATAGACGGTGTTCAGGAAGTTTTCTGCAGACGACTGGAAACATCAAGGGCGCCCGACTTTCGTGAGGTTTGTAAATTGATAGTATATTGTCGAAAAATAACGGTTGTCTTAGGGCCTCCACTCACTAGGGATTTAGTTGTCGACGACTATTTGTGAACGACAACTAAAGTTATCGACAACTAAATAAGTCCGATAAAGGATTCGACATACTGGCGCTTAAAATACTGATTTAGCAACCGAAATAGCGCGGAGATTAAAACTTAGTCGACAACTGAAACAAAAGTTTTCACACACTAGAAAAACGCTAAAAAATGAGGCTTTTCGAAAAGGGAAACTGCTTAGTTGTCGGCAACTAATAATTTAGAGTTTAGTTGCCGACAACTTGCGCGACAGACTACGTTTTTTACTTGTCGATAATTTTTAGTTGTCGATCACAAATAGTTGTCGACAACTAAATCCCTAGTCTGTGGAGGCCCTTAGTCACGAGGTCTTAACCTTACAGACGAAGGACTTCGCTTCAAGAACTCCCACATTTTGAAGTCGTATAACTGCTGACTTCTCACCCTAATCATATCGATCAAAAAGTCAATCGAAAACCTTCAATTTATTTGTTTCACCAAAGCTTTATTGAATTTACTGGTTTTTCGATATTGTCTCGTTAGAAAGTGATTAAAGCTGGTGAGAATATGGCAACGTTGATACATCGAAATTTGGTCCAATTCTACGGAGTACAGTTCAACGACGAACAGAACACATACCTCGCATTTGAGTGGATTCCCACTGGTACTTTGGATGAATATCTAAAAAAGTAAGTCCATATATTCCACCCCACGATGAACATGCGGCCAATATTTTCCGGTGGTTTGTCCTATAATTTGAGCAAAATATGCAATTGTAAACTGGCTTTGAGGGATCGGTTTGGTTGAAAATCGCTGGCTCTTGTCTTTCAGAGAAACCGACGTGACAGTTGAAAGAATATTGACATTTGCAGCACAGATAGCCGAAGCTTGTATGTACCTACACGAGAAGAACTTCGTTCATGGCTGGCTTGCAGCGCACAATGTTTTGGTCATCAACGACGAGCATGTTAAATTGAGCGATGTGTCCGTTCCTTGTCTCAGAGAGGAAGATATGCTATGCGAAACTGTGAACATAAACAGGTAATGTACTCTACCGGCTCGCTACGGAACAGTAAATATTGGAACATATAGTTTTAAGCGTGAGTTGTGTTGAAAACAAGCCTCTGCTTTGCTTACAAGTCATATGTTTTTCTTGTGGAAAGTATTTCACATTCTTTCGTAATATCCTGTCATCCTGTGGTAAAGTTTGACAGAGAGGTAAAACAGGTAAAACATTTCATGGTACTCCAATGTAAAGGAATAATTGATGGATTTCTTTTTTGTACTTCTGTTCCATTTTCACACCTTTCACTGCACTGATTTTGCTTGTTGGCAAACATATATACAGTAGGTGTACCAATTTACCCCTATACATTCCCATTTATTCTCCCAGGAGCCCATGGAAAGCGCGGGAATGTTTTCAAGGCAGACGCTACAGTAAAGAATCCGATGTCTGGGCATTTGGTATCGTACTTTGGGAAATGTTCATGAAAACAGTACCATTTCAGAATATGGAAGATGATACGGTAATTGTATATAAAAATGTTATTCCTTTTCCAGTAAAGAACATTTATGGAGAGTGTCCCCTTGCACCTTTATATTCTAGTAGGTGGGTCTAGTAGGATACTTAGGGAGTCTCGCGTGAATTGCTTCGATCTTTGAACACACACCATCTTGTTTAGATTCTTCAAATTTTCCAACAAGATCGTCATCTGGCTTATCCAAGGTAAGCTAGCGTCTTCCTTTCATCAGAGGCCGATTGTTTAAGTGGATAAGTCAAAGTTTAAAAATACTTTTATACATCTTGTGAATGACTAAGATCTCTTTTAGATGGTGTCCTGACGAGGTCGGCAAAATTATGAAGTCTTGTTGGATAACGGAACCAACGGTAGGGTGGTTATGAAGGGTTGTTTATGGTCATTCCGGGGTGAACTAACGGTAGATTGGTTATAAGGAGTTATTGATTGAAACGTTTTTTGACATGTGCATTTTCGTCTTTTAGCATCGTCCAACATTCGCTGAAATTGTCGTGAAGCTGCGACAAATAACGCGCAAGTGTGAGTATTTTTGGTTGGTTATTTCTTGCAAACTCGGAGAGTGTTTTGGCCATCAAACCTCAGAAATGAAGAATCGTTAGTTACAAATTGTATTGACAGAGAAATTGCATGCATAGTTGACTCTCATCCGGACACAATTTAACACGTCTATTTGATTGTTACGTTCACAGTAACTTCTCAAGAAAAAGAACGAAAAATTCCTGAAACGTATGACGAGAAATTCACGATTGAACCTCTTAACGTAAACAAGGTAATAGCAGCACTGTATACTTCATGTAGCTCCATTTATCATATGCCTCCGAGTGTCTCCCGAGCCTACTCCGAACCCAGCCCGATCCTAAGCATTTTACGTCAATTACAGGCTTCTTCAACTCCGCCGGATGAGTGTTTGCCACGAACTTCGTCGGGCTCGAGCAGCAACAATGACAACAATGACGGGGCATCGAAGGATATCGGGAGCAACGAGGGATCTTTCAGGACAGACGATCTTGATTTTATCCCGGAGAAAGAACTGTCCGAGACACTTTGGTCGCCGGAGGAGATTGAAAAAAAGAAATATCAAGGTGATGCCCTTATATAGAAATTGCTTGCATGTTCTCGGCGCATGCGCTGGCTATAAACAGCCTGCGAGCAGGCACATTGCTTGATCGTGGGTTTGCTCGCGGGCTACCCCAGGATCAACAGAACACGATAAATTATTGAATTTGTTTTTCTTTAGGAAAATTCGCGCGTCATAAATTGTCTGTGAAACAGCCTTCAGAGGTGTCGACGTACGACCGAATTTTACAAAGTGATTCGTCTTTTGAAGCAAACGAACAAACACACCTTTTGGCATCTGAATATGACAGGTTAGACAACCAGAATCTATTTTAATTCGTCCACAATGTCCATTAAACTTCCAAGAACTCAATTTAGACGTCAATAAAAAGAATTTCTGGATTACTGCATATTGTAGAATGTGGAAACCGTTTTCACATTTTTGGCGGGAAAATGTTCGTCAGCAGTTTTTGAGTGTTGCTTTTAGTACTTGAGAAAATAATTTCAAATATCTGTCTTTTCCAGACACATGAATGAAACTACCACCAACGAAGTTCAAACGGCTATAGACGACCCAATAAAACATCGCGCGAGAAGCAAATATCGAAAATAATCCGAGTACGTCCGGTAATAATCCGATTCCCGAAGATAATCCGACTGATGACGAAGAGGGCGAGGGAGAGGAGCAACCGCTGATCCGCAATGCAAATCAATCGCCTGCTCAACCCGAAGCCAATTTTGTCTCACTGGAAAACATGGATCATAACGGTTTCTTAGGTTCGTTTATGGGTGCGGGTACGATTATGGATAAAGGTGGTGAAATTAAGGATGATGATGTGACATTGGGAGATAAAGAGAGCACAAGTGACGTGGAATCGGGGATATCTGAGCAGGAATGTACAAGTGTCGCTGAAACTAGTGAAATATCAGAATTTTTCTCTGCAAATCTCGATCCATTTGCAGCTGAATCTGAGATATTCACGTCGAAATTGAATTCAGCAGCCACAAAAACAGCAGAAAACGAAGAAGGAATGTACGTTTCCAGTACAAGGTCCGAATCTCGAAATATCTCAAATTTGGTGAAGCAATCTCCAAGTTCACCCTATATTACAGCACCTTTAGTCTCGAGCCAAAGAAGAGTCATACATAACGGATATAAACCTACCCCTTCTGCCCCAGGGTCGAAACCCCGGGATCAGCCGTCCGCTACACCTACCACAGACCCACAGACGTCCTTTAGTAGTGGAATGGTAGAATTCTCAAAACTCGATCCTTTCGCAGCGGCCTCTCCAGGGGCCAGTGTTTTTGAGCCAGAAGGCGTCACATCCAACGAGCCAGGAATACCTTCGCAACAGACTGGGACGTCTGAGTTTGCGCCACCAGGCCATTATTCAACCCTCGACAATTCATCAGGGGAACCTTTGCAAGAGGAATCGATGTTCTCGTCGTTTTTGGACAGAGATCCAATGTCAGAACTGACGTTTGGCGATGGAAAACAACCCTCGAGTGTTGGCTCACCGAACTTGAATAGCACCGAGAGCCTCGCCACGCAGAAACGCGTCATATCCCCAAGTGGAAGCAGCAATTCAAGCGGTTATGTTTCATCTTACAACCGTTCTGGCTCGAATACCCCCCGTGCAGGAGAAATAGGTGCATATCATCTTGGTAATAGCCGGGGGAAAATCACCCCTCCTATGACAAACTTTTCACCGAATTCTGGGCAGGTTATGAGAAAACAGAACGAACGAAGAGGTTATATTTCCGTGAAAGGCAACGTCGGATTCCATCTCGCGGAAAAGGAATCTGCCAATCAAAATTCATCTACGGAGTCACGTGATGAACTTATGCAGGACATTGCTTATTCCAGTCGGGATCCATTTGCTGTCAAAGCCGTGGGGAAACAGAGCACAACGTCAGGTCAAGCCCCGGAACAAAAACCTCGTGTTTCTGGACCACCGGCTTTTAGTCCTGCGAGTATTAGTACCGGCATAACCGGATACGACAAACTTTTTCTTAAATCTCGCGAGGCGAAATCGATGGAATTTACGACACCGAAAATGGTGCCGCCGACATTTACATCACCGGGTATAAAACCCTCAGGTTTGGTACCTTCGACGCAGGGGACTGCGGTTATATCCTCAACTATAAACAATCCTAAATCTTCATTGCAATCGTCGCCTGGAAAGCCTTCCTTGACCCAACTGGCTTTGAAATTATCCACTGGTTTAAACAGCGTTCAACAACCACAGAAAGCGATCGCCGCATCGTCCAGTCCAAAGAAACCCATGGGCGTGATTGAAAACAATAAACCCGCACGACGAAATCCCCAGGCATCTGTGAATTTTCCGTCAGCTGCAAACATGGATCCTTGCGCAACCAAATCCGGCAACTTTAGCGGCATAAAACTCTACACGGAAGCCGAGCCCGACAGGGACACATCACGTGCAAACCCACCTGGGGACAACGTGGGTCCAAGGCTGACGAGCGCCATGCGGGGTTATGAGAAAGTGGCAAGGCCTACCACTGGGATTCGTAGCTTAACGGGAAAGGGGACCACAAATAAGGCTTCCTCGTGGGCCTATCCAAAACCAAAGTACGCGCCTGCTGTCATAAGACAACCCAACTCAAGCAGGGGAACGGTCTTCGATAGTGTTTCAAAAAGCAACAAACCTAACATCGGGAATCCTGAGTCAAACTCTCTCAGCGAGAAGCCGGGAGCTAAAATGTCGAAACAAGAAGGCGACATTCATGGAACTGCCGATATTTTTCCATTTTCCAACACGAACTTGGGTGACTTTCTATCTAATATGACCTTACAGGGTGTGACTGAATTAGGTGAAGCGAATACCTCTCAGCAAATTGAGTTGAAAGAGATACCCAGCCCACAATTGTCCCCAGATCCCCAAAACACAGCTTCTTCCACGACAGACGGGGAAATTGGGGATAATGAACTACACACCGGGTTGGTATTTGATAACATGGATCCATTTGCGGCGCCTGCGCAACACGACAGAAAATCTTCTCAAGAATTTAATAACGGGGTTCCGAAAATTGCTGGAAACGAAAACAGGGAATTCAACCGAGGCGGCGAACTCTCAACAGCGGCAACCGGTACAGGGGATGTATCAAACCTAGGGTCAAACGTTGCGCAAACTGCAACGGTTTTCGTGAGAAATTACTCGAATGCCGCAAATCCGGAGAGCGACGGAGCTCAACGAGGAGCAAATCTAAACCCTACACAACCGAAATTACCCGCAAGAAATCGGTCAGGTGGAAGCTCGCAAGGCGGGAGCCCGCAAGGTGGGAGCCCGCCTGGTGACAGCCCGCAAGGTGGAAGCCCGCCTGGTGGGAGCGGCGGCCAGAATCCCCCCCGCCCCTCGGCAGGAAACCGAGTCGAAAGGTGTCGGTTCTCGGTAATGATTACGCCAAGGTGACCATACAAGGAGCGTACGAGGAGCCGGAGGTTGGGGCGGTCGGTGGAGGAGAGCCTGGGGCTGAGGCACCAGAACCGGTAGTACCGGTTGAACAGGATACTGATGGTGGTGACGAAGTCGATGACAAAACTGTTGTCGATCCGTTCAACGTGCAGGCTGCAGAAGAATCCATTCAAAAACTAGGTCTGTGGTTTTATTTGTCTGTGTGTCTTATCTAAAACGATATTTTTCACTTTATATTATAATATGTTTATTATCCACGGTAAAACAGATCCATACCGGTCTCGTAGCAAGAAAGAATCGTTCGACGAGACGATGAAGTCCCATCTGATTCCGTTTGAATCTCTCACGTTTGGAAGAAACTTAGGAGAGGTATTACTTACTTCCAACTGCAATCTTGTCCTACTGTAATAGATTTGTTTTGATTACAATACTTTTTTTTTCATATTATTTACATCACACGCTTGGGCCTAGCTTTGACCTCACCAAAATGCCAGTGCATTTTGGTGAGGTCAAAGCTAGGCCCTGGCCTTGCACTGGCACAAACCATGCTTGAACTGGCACAAACCATGCTTCTGATTGGCCCGCAATGCGGTCAGCTGACCAATCAGGAACATGGTCGGGAATCACGTCACCGCGTAGACTTTTCGTTAGGCCTATAGCTAGCACTGGGTCAGGCTTGTAGGATGTGTAAACAGTTCTTGAATGACTGCTTGTAGTACATCAGGGAAGGTCCATTCATTTTAAGCCTGTATGACAGAGAAAATACTGTATTTTTTCTGTTTTAGGGCGCATTTGGAATCGTAAAACAAGCAAAGTTGACAAGGCCCGGCCATGGTCATAAGACACGGGCGCCAATGGTAAGCATTCGCTTTTAAGTTTTTCATCGCAGCCATAATTCGACACATATCTAAGGGTATTTTTTGTGCCCCAAGTATGCACCCATTAGAAAACCCACCGTTTGGTCGTTGTCAAAATGTATAACTATTTATTCTATCGAATCATCCACAGGATGTTGCTGTTAAATGCTGCAAAGACGATGCTTCAGAGATCTACAAGAACAGTTTCAAGCAAGAGGCTGTCAATCTAATGAAACTACATCACGATTTTATCGTCAAATTTCTAGGAATCTCGTACAGTACGTTCTTTGGCTTGTCTTCCACGGCCGTCCTTGTTCTTGTCAGGTTTTCTGATATTCAAAACTCAAGCAATATTCTTTGTAACTGTGAATCAATTTTTGCCTTCCAGATGAAAGCAAGAACTTGCTTTTGGTCACTGAACTCGTTCCACAGGGCTCTCTAGATAAATACCTGAGGGACAAAAAGAATGTGGTAAATAAACTCTTGAAGTTTCTCGCGACAATTTTTTATTTATTTTCAAAACTGACAGAAGTTTGAATATCTGTTTGTTCGTTGGTAAACCACGTAGTAATTCGCAATTATTAGAAAGAACTCGCCGTTCTTTTCACCTGATCGTATGTATTTTCTTCGTGACAGAGAATTCTTGGGAATGAGGTGCTGTTGCAGTTTGCGATACAAATAACGACGGGAATGCAGTACTTGGTGAGTAAGAAAGAATTCAGCGCGTAAAACACGAGTGGTTATAATTCCCTTTTAACCCCTTGTGAACGATGTCTAGATATATCTTTTGCTGCAGCCAAGAAAGTTTTGCTCGAACTCATAATAATATTTCAATACACATATTGTTAACTTTCGACACTATGTACAATAAAAAGATAAAAAGATAAAAGGTAAGGCGATTATCTTTTTATTGTACATAGTGTCGAGAGTTAACAATATATGTATTGGGATATTATTATGCACTTGTGAACTAGTGAACTTTTCGAGACATCTGTGAAAACAATTATAAAAGGATCTCGAAAAACGACAACTTGTAGACTTAAAATATGAGTTATGAAAACAAGACAACAATTTCCGGCGTGATTTCAATGTCAGAAACAAGTGCAATGAAACAATTTTTATACTTTAACTTCGAACCCAACAATTATCCTGGAGCTTTACTTCATTGAGAAAGCCTTCAAAGGCCGTAAAAATTGCTGCCATTAATATTATTGACTTCAATTATACCCGTGGGTTTTATAGGAAGGTAAAAAGCTCGTCCATCGTGATCTCGCTGCTCGAAATATCCTCGTGGCCACGGAGACTCTTGTCAAAATCAGCGACTTCGGACTGAGTCGTATCTACGACGACAATTATTACCGAAGTCAAAGAACCAATCAGAGATTGCCGATAAGATGGTACACGTGATAGATTCATGCTACTAAAGTGTTGTATATTAATATTTAACATTGTTTTCAAATCTTTTCCTCAATAAGTTTATCGCTGAGATTTGAGATTGAATCATCGCTGATAGCAATTTTTCTTCGTTGTATCGTACAGGCTAGCCCCAGAGAGAGTGTTGCTTGGAACAGAAGAAATTTACTGTAAATAGTGATGTTTGGAGTCTTGGCGTGACGCTGTGGGAAATGTTCTCTTACGGAAGACATCCTTACGACGATTGGGAGTTTTCATGTGCAAACGATGTTAGTGACATTTCTCCATTAAAACTGAACTTTTTTCCCCACGTCTTGAGACGGATAACTTACCTTTAAAGGCCGTTTACACTTTGACGTATTTTTTGCTTTTTGATAGATGTAAACGAGTGCACAGTTAGGAAAGCTTCGATATATAATTGGCCATATTTGACCATCAGTAACTTGTACACTCGTTCACATCCATCAATAGAAGAAAAGGTGAACGCGCCTTAACAGGGCATCAATGAAACAAAAAATCGCAACAAATTTGTGATGATAAATCCTAACTTGTCATTTTATCATTTTTACAACTATTTTTACTGGAATCTTCACCTGTTTTAGTTGATAAAGCTTTTGAAAGCTGGAAAACAACTTACCAGACCCCCAGCGTGTCCCGAGGACGTTTATGCTCAAATTCAAGAGTGCTGGGACCTAAAACCAGAGAAAAGAATTTCGTTTTTCCTGCTGAAGACCATGTTGGAGGGAATTCTCAAAGACAAGTACGCTAAGAAGCCGTATTTTACGTAGAAAACAATCAGCGAATGTGAGGCGAGCGAGATTATGGTGCAAGCTTAACAAATTTTGATGTTGCGTGCTTACGCACCTGTTTTGCGTGCTAATTGTGGCTATATGCGTGCGTGGTCAGCTTATCTTCGTGTCAATCAACGTTAACTCGTTTTGCCAACATATTTTCGTAAGTCGGTAACAAAATATAAGTTGTCGTATTGGTAGTGTAATATTGTATGTCTAGTATTTTACGTCTGTGAGACTGCTGGGGGCTTAACATTTATACTGAACAGAGTTCAGATCGATCATTTTTGTTAAATTTGATAAGAATTGGGCATTTAGACGATTTAGAATCACCTTTATAGCCTGTTACCCGTGTTAGATTTTCGAAATTTGTCAATCAAATCCCACAACAAAGCGCTAGATGCATCGATCTTATGTGTCTGTTCTTGTGATGGTAAGCTCGACAGAAAAAGTATTATTTTAAACTTTAGTTAAGTGTCTGTGGCTTTGTAAAACTTGTTCAACTCGAGGAAAATTGCTAAAGATTCTTTGTTGTGTTCAACATAGTTAACTGTGACTGTCTGGAAATACTGCAGGAATTTCGAGAAGGCAGGGGATGACATTTTAATGCTTTATAGACCAATGCCAAAGGCAAACTTTGGTGTTTAACACCGTTCATTTTAAATAACACTGTATTACCCATTAAGTGTTCAACACTTGTAGGTCATAAAGATTAAAAGGAAACTGGAAACGTAATAAATGAGATGTGTGTGTGTCGTGGAGTATTGAACTTTAGTCTTTTGAACTTTTTGTTTGTTTTGGTCTTTTGGAGTTCACTTTTGCCTTGGGTGGTTTAAAATGGCCGCCATCTTGGTTTCTAAAAATAAGTGCAGGAAACATTTTTATCGTTTCTGTACTCGAATGGCCACCATTCAATATATGATGGAGATGGTACGAAGGTACAAATTGAATAAAAGAAGTAAAGTGAAACTAGTTTTCTCTTTTGAAAGAACACAAATACGTTTGGTAGAATCGACCAGATGCTGGTGCGTAATGACAGATGATGACGTCATATACAGACGAAGAACTGGGCGCTTTTATTTCTAGCTGGAGCCTGGAGGGACCTGGGCCAAAAACGTTTCCTAATCGAATTTAGGCAGATGATGGACTGATTTGGCTCTTGTGATGAACAGAGGTAAAATTATTTCACAGTATGTTTTATATCCTTTAACAACTGTAATTTATTATGCACTGGTTGTATTTTTCCCCACAGTTGATTTACAGTAGAAAAACATGGACACAAAATCACTTAATTTTTTAAAGTTCTAATGAAATAAAATAACACACTATGACATGAACTTTTATATAAAGTTTTTGTTCAGACTTCTTGAAAGATAAATTACTGCCTGGCCAAGGCCTTTGCTACACAAGACTGCATTTGAGGATAAAATTTTCTCAAAGTTCATCACATTTGAACAATAGTTCCTCATTTCAGACATTTAAAAAGGTCTCTGTTAAAAGCTTTGTCTTTGGTTCAATACACTCAGTCAGGCAGTTTGATGTCATAAATCTTCGCCAGATGAACTGCTGGTAATTACTAGTCCATCGTCATCACCATGAGGCCCCTCCATAGCTTCGCAACTGGAATCACTACCTTCAGACGTCGACAAACTGCTTTCATCCGACTCTGCAATAAGGTTGGTAATGTCTTATAGACAAGCTATAGTATAGTGGTATTATATGAATTGGGTGGCAGTTTAGTGTTGAGACACCATATATATTTTATACCTTGAGAAGCTGGGCTGAGGAAACTTGCACTTCTTGCCACCAAACTGACATTAGAAACTTGTGGAGCAGCAAATCTTAAAATAACAATATTTATTTCCAATTATATTTACTACAATTTCAAGATGTAAACAATGTAGATTCAATTTGAACATACTGTATCTTGGTTTTAAGAGTGCATTTTGCTGAACCATTTAACAACCCTGAAAAATATATAACCACATTAATTCACAGAATTGGCACTGTGTAAATAGCACTTCAGAATCATATAGAGCTCAGTTGGGAACCAGTCCTAGAGATATTAATTCTGGAATCAGTGGAATGCTCGTCACAAACGACGAAGACGGAAACATTGTTGTGGATTTTCGATGGAGAACATCTTAAAGAAACTCACCACAGACAGATGCTAAAGGTCGGGCCAATTTACCATTTGAAATCTGTGTGCCCGAATTTGGCACGTGGGCACTGCTAACAAGACTTTGAACCTTACAGCTGTTCACCTACAAATAAACAAGAAATATTCTTCAGGAAAACACCGCCGACATTATGTTACACAATGATGATGTTTCAATATTCCCTTTTGCTTACTTTAAGGTTACGAGCGAATCGAAAACTTTGCCTGAAAACTCGCGAACTGGAAGCCATCTTTTATATTGGGCACATTTCAAGGATAATCGGGGAGTAGATGGGGATATGTAAGGTTATGTAAGGTAAGCGGTTGGTATTCGAAACGCAATAATAGACTGGAAACGACAACTGAAAGAACAAGTGTGGTATATTGGATTTAGTTATTTAGATAAATGTTGATATAAATTTGTAAATCCATAGATAAAACGCATATGGCGAATCACAGATATGGTAGTGAAAGCCTCTTAGAGGGGGTTGTGGGGGGAGGTTGTGGGGGGGGAGAAAGTTGTGTTATGGGGATGAGTGAAGGAGCAAATTTCTCTGCAATGTGTCAACTTTAGTTAATCATTGTCAGCCTGGGTAAAACTAGATATATCATATTCTGATATCATGCTTAGTCACACCTTGATGCTGAGGTTTTTTCAACTAATCAATTATTTTGGTCTTAAACTATTAATGAAAACCAATATAATCTCCCTTGCAAAATTGGCAAAATCTAAAGACACAATTTCTTCCTAAAAACACACAGTGGTAGTGCTTGTAGGCGTGGCTATGAGACTGTGTCGTTCATGAATTCTTCCACTACGCAATGCTAATAGTGAAAAATTACTTCCTTGACGTGCGAAATTGTTTTTTTATATTAAAACAAAGAAGTCAGATTTGCACATTCATGAATCATGATGACTACATGACACTGTCATAATATTGTGACTATGAACGATACATAAACATCATAATACACCCCAAATACCAAATTTATAATATATATAAATCCTTGAAAAATAAACTTGTCAGCAAACTCGATTTCAATCAATTACTTGTGAAATCACGAATAAACCGAGCCTAAAACGCTTATCACGTCGAGTTAATCCGACTTATCTATTTATCTCGTAAAGTTCTCACAAACATAGAATATAATATTTCAAGTTTCAATTTGACCTTGTCGGTTTATATGAATAAACCCTGACCACCATATTCGGGGTTTTGGAAAAGCGTAGAAAATTATATCAATTTCTACTTGAAAATATGATTCTACAGTTGAATGACTTAACACTTCCGTGTCAGATGTGAAATTGACACAAATTGACACACATAAACAGGGCGCTCTTTTAATATCAAACTGGACATAATTATTAGCACGACTTTGCATACAACCCCGGCTACAGTAACTATTAATAAACTACAGGCTTTAGCACAAGTGTTGGTGGTATATATTTCGTTTCTGCTTTGTGGACTAACCACCCTTTGCGGATCACTTTTGAGGCAGGAATATCGCGTGTCTGTAAACACTAGATCAAATGAATAGCCGGCGAAAGTATAAAGTTACTATACGTGTGGTTGATCACCCACCAGGCACTACAGCGTCTTTTCGTGACAGCAGTGGTGATAAGCACAGTGAGGACGAAGTCGAAGAACAAAAGACTATACCACTAAGCGAAAATAATACCATTCCAACTAAAGTACAACCTGTGTACCAGAGTTCACTTTCGCTGCAGCTTTCAGACAAGAGGAATCGCTCTAGCGTGCACTGCTCGGCCTTTTGTTCCTTGTCGACGGAGTGCGAGGCTTTGGAGACAGGCAGAAAGACAAGATGCGAAGACAGGGTCGGAGAAGAAGGCATGCTAGACTCGGAATTTTGTGAATGTACGAGTACAAAACCGTTATTAAAAGCAGACACAAATACTTCGTTAAATATTTATAAGTTGACAAGGAATAATGCGATAGATCAAGAGGATACCGATGAAACGAATGTGAAGACAGACAATATCAAAACTTGCGAGCGTGCAGACCCGGGGAAGTTTACTACCAAGGAAAGGCGAAGACAACAGCGACATAGTTGTGGTAAATTTGAAGCAAAATACGGCGTTCATAGACATAGAAACGGTTACAATCGCCACCTGCCATCCATCGTCGTGTTAAACGCGGCGAATATGGAAGGGGCTGGCTTCGATGAAAATCTTGTAACGAACACTGCCACCATTGGCAATGGCATTCGGGATGATTTCTTTCCCGATTTCGATGCGTTGGGGACGCGAAGGGACAGGCCACCTCTGAACAGGGAAGGTTCAGCGTGCAGTAGTGATAGTATTATTACAGAAATCGAGGGACTAACTGACGATGAAGGCGAGATAAAAAGCTGTTCGAACGATAGTTGTGAAACCCAAGAGGTATATATAACATGCTTTCGTTAATAGTTCGCTTCTGACATACCCGACGATGATTTTTGCGAGGCAACTACGAAATAGTATTACAAGAATTTCATTTTGTTCGCTACAGCTGCGGCAAACATCAATTTAATAGCTCGTTAAATTAATCTTTAAACAAAGGTTTTCCAGTTGGCATTCACTACATCCATGCAACAACAAACGTCTTTACGTATATACGCTGATGCAAAATTTACTGGAATTATATAAGACCTGCTGTATAAACATTCGCTTGCTTGTGTTTGGCGAAGCGATGCCCTTTCGTTTTATTGCCATAAAAACCAAGGCATGAAATGATTTGACTATAAAATACAGGGTAATTCATGGTTTGTTTCGTTGCTGTGCTAAACAAAGTTCCCCATATCGAGTATCAAATTTCAACACAACTTGGTCGAAAAAATTTTCCACGTAAAGTTTTATAAAACTCTGGTATATATGCTGTAAAAATCTATCAAACCAAACGTAATCGTTTTGCGAGGGCGTGTTTATACAACCAAGGTGAGCTGTAAAGTAAAGACTCGCAGTTGAAATTTCCGAATTTGATATTTGAGCTTGCAAAAACATTGTTTATATTCATTCACTCAGCCGAGAAATTGTACCTAAGTATAAAAATGTACCATATTTATTTTCTCTTTCTCTTGATATTGGTTTTTGTATGTGCTATTTATAAATCTTACATATTTATAAACAAGACAAAGTGAGTAGATTTGTATTCTTTAGCTGCCTGATTATATAATCCATCAACTGCTTGATTATATAACATCATTTGTTTGACAATCAATAAAATTGATGACATTAGTGACATTACAGGATTTAATGAAAATGTAACAGCGAAAGATAACAGTTATATAGGTTGAACCAGTATAATTTTTTAATATTTATCTAGAGGAAAGACCTTAATTTGCATTTGAAAAAGTCTACAATTAGCATTGGTAATTTAGTCACTGCTGTTTGGCCAAATTTGGTTTTGGTGAAATATTCATGATCAATGTTCACAATGAATTAGTTATTAGTTCAATGCTATAATATTATCCCTACGAAAAGCAGAAAACAAAAAGTGGTAAACTCAATACCTAAACTCAATATGAAATTTGATAGACTTGGTTGTAGATTGGACTTGGCCGTGGCTAAATTTTCTTGTGTATAGCACAGTCTATTTATGACTTTCTAAGGCTTCTGTTTCATTGTTTCACTGAAATTCATAACCATTGTTCCATATTATAAAGTCAGTGGCCATGTGTTGGAATCTTGCCCCATATCTGAGGTAATTAATCCTCATTTAGTAGAAGTATATGATCTTAACTGGCAAGTGAGGAATGAAAAACACTTCATAAGTCATGGGGGGTGGTAGTAATCTCTATTTATCTAACAGATTGCACATCAACACTAACAATAGGTAATCTAATATCCCATTAATAAACTAGCAAGCTGATCATTGCAAAGCCAGTCTAATTAGTTATACACTGACTGTCCCACAGTGGGGACTAATTAAACCACAAGCTATGACTGACCCTGTCAATTATTTAGTGTGCTCCAAAAGCCAATAATTGGAAAAAAATCAAAGGAATGATTCAGTGGGCTCCGTTTGTGAAGAGTTACAAGAAGAAAGTTCCATGGGTTCAGCTGGCTGGACATCAAGGTAACCTGGACTATAAAACCTTTGCACAAACTATGCCATATTCCTTGTTATTGGGGAAGTTCAAGCTGCTAGTTTGGTGGCTAGAACTAATGGTTAATTCATGTGATTTTCTGAAGAGGTTCAAGGTGTTAGTTAATGGGCTTAATGATTTATTCATGTGATGTTTTAGGAAATTTCAAGGCAGGAGAACAGGGAACCATTTTGAAGAAAAGTAATGAAACTGAAAAAGGAGTTTTGTTGAAACTTATGAAAGACGTTTTAAGACCTTACGTGCCAGAGTATAAACGAGAAGTTTTGAATCATGACGAAAGTATCTTTTTGATAGCAATTATTTCATAAGAGTCATTGGCGTCAATTGAACATTAATTGGTCATTAATGTTTGATTGACGCCAATGATAAGAGTCATCAATTCAATATTGTCTATGTTTCTTATTAATGCAAGACCTAAGAAAAGTTGCTTTTTCATCTTTGATAAACTTTTTTTCTCTTAACCGAAGTTAAAAGGTTATTTAGTATTACAAGACTTGCTATTTGGCTTCGAGTCCCCATCAGTGATGGATTGTAAAATGGGCGTAAGGTAGGTGAATTAACTGTGATAAGTTGTCAAAACACTTTGAAAAGGTAACACCCTACTAGGTTTAAAGATGAGTCACACCATTGTTTTATTTCATTTTGTGTTTTGAATTTTTTCCAGGACATTTCTGGAAGATGAGTTGGAACAAGCCAGAAAGAAACCTAAATTAAGAAAGGTTTGGATATAATTTCTGTTTTCACCCTGAAGGGAACTTGGCCTCATACAAGTTATGATTATTTGCTTGCATTATTGGCTTTGCTTCGATCCAATATTTATCTCATTTGTACATACATATATCACATGGGGAGTGATAGATAGCTCAATACTGCTATAAGAAATACTGCATATTCATATACCCTATAAATTCAAGAACTCTTCAGAATCTCAAAGGAATTATTTATGGTTTTATGCATTCTTTCATTAAAAAGATATAATTAAGTTGCTAATGTCCTGTGGAAAAATGTAATGACATTTGCTTACATAATGCATGCTCTCTATCTGTTGTAAAACTGACAAGCTAACTTGTCTATCATCATTAGACAGCAAAAGTGAAAACTGAGAAAATATTGAACCAAATTTTCAGGATCTTTATCAAAAGATGATTGACATTGATCCAAACGCCCCTACGGATGAAGAACGGAAGGCTGGTGGGATTTCTAAGCCTCGTTACATGAAATGGCGGGAAGAACTCAGCTCATCTGCAAGCCTGGGCTTTAGAATTGAAGGCATCAAGGTAACATTATGAAAGCTTCATTCTGCATATAATTCTTTGCTAGAGCATTTCACTGCTGTATGGGGGCTCTCTGTGGATAGCAGGGTGAAGTAGGGATAATGATAGTGGGTTAGGGTTAGGATAAGGATATCATATAATCAGCTCCACGAAGGACCCGTGATCACTGAGCTATATAATAATTCCTGGAGGACCGGCTCCTCATTTTTCAGTAACTTCGCCGCCATCTTTTTGAAGCCACCAACATGGCGGATTTCGCCCTTCTGCGCAACCGCAGAAGCTTTGCTGACGCCACTTGGTTCCTTTTGACCATGGTATTTACCACTGACCAGGCTCAATTCTGAGCCCGCTACAGCAGTATTCTTCCCCCTGGTTTTTGTAAATAACAGTTCTCCCCCCTGGTTTTTATATTTTTTTTTGCCGTGAAATCTTTTTTGTTTTTGAAATGTTTTTCGGGTTTTTTTTTTATATTTTTCGCACGGACATACAATAAAGTTTTATTTTAAGATGAATACAAGTCATACACGCTATTTTTTAGCCAGTGCGGAAACAAATATATTAAAATATGGAAAAATGTGGGCAAACTAAAGATTTTAATACTGACACGAACTGACAGGTTTCTTATTTTATTTTCGTAATAATATTTTTGTTATTTATACATTCCAATATGAGAGTTTACAAATGTTTGAATGTTTTGGCACTATCCTCGCATATTTTGAAGACAACTAGGAATTTATGGGCAACAATTTGACTTCTCTAAACCCTGAACTGATGAATTGCAGGAAGTATGTAATCAGTATTCAGTATGTGATGTTGTCTTCAAGACTTTATATCTATGCACAATACAAAATCCAAAGAAACAGAGGCCAAAGCTCAGGCAAAATGCTGGGCAGCTGACTAATACTTAGTGCAGCAATATAGTTTCAACCAAGAATCATATTTGCATAATATACTTTTCATTCAAGTCATCAACTTGTACCCTAATAAACCTTAATAACAGGCTTTAAAAGTTTTCAGCATTCTCTAATTGCATCCCTGGACCCTTGGTCATAGTAAAGAATAACATTTATCCCTGCATGGGCTCCACTGATTAGCCTAATGAATATAACCCCTTTGGAGGTTGATACCATAAACAGAAAATTACAAAAGTTGCAGCAGATTAAAGACACACTGCTCAGTCAATGCATGTTTATATTTATTTCATTAATTAATAAATATGACAAATGGTATAAAAACACCAGACAACAACAAAATCAGATAACATGGTAATGAAGAATAACAATGCACAGTCATAAAATGCATGAACTTCATCCTGAAAAATAAAAATGGAGATATGATCAAGATTTATTCACAAGGTGCAAGAAGCTAAAAAATAAATTAAGAGCTGTGATAATTGATCATTTCACTTTGGGTTTGACAAGGTAAACAAGATAATATATTAACTAGGCTTTAACAGGGCTCACTATCAGAGGTTGGAATTTTACACTGTTTACAGCAACTTATTATTTTCTATCAGCACCCTCAGATCATGTTAATTGATGTTGGGTGGGATCAATAGAAGAGTGACTATAGTAGACTCACTGGGGGGAATGGTTTACCTATTAACATTGATGTTTGCTATCATGAAAACAACATAGACCAAACTCAAAAGATTGACACAAGTTAAGAAAAAATGATAACATTTGGGTATATAACATTGCATTGACAGCATTGTAATGTACCAAAGGCTGTTTGTACCACACGTTTTGATGGATTTATAGTCTCAGAGGCTTTGGTAATCAGTTTATACTATAGTCCAAACTCGAAGGCCAAAAACGAAATTGTTTATAGTAAAAAAAGTTGAAAAACGGCTTACCTGGATTTTATAAAATAAGGGCAAAATAAGAAAATTCACTCTACCGATAAGTGAATTAAGCCATTCACAACGTCAGACGCAGAGCACGAAGCTACGTGTCCTTTCCATTTGTTGAACAGGGAAAAAGAGAAACGCTTTTATCCATTTTATATGAAAAACAAAAAAATATATACGGAAAGCTGAAAATATTTTCGTAAAAATCGGGAGGGTGATGGACACAGTTTTTCACTTTGTATCGCGGTCACTGAGCTATATAATAATTCCTGGAGGACCGGCTCCTGTCAAAAAAGTGAAGCAAGAAACATGGCGGATTTTTTCGTGCTGACGCCAGATATGGTCCCACTGGGCAATGGTAATGACCACTGACAACCGCGATACAGTGCTTCAGGCGCACTCCTTCGCCCTCCGGCTGCCTTCGAAAAATATTTTTTGTTTTTTGTTTTTTTTTCAAACGAATCCGACTATTTTCTACTATTTTTTCGACCTTTAAAAACAATGGACTCTTTTTGCAGTGTGTTGATGTAATTAGTCTCCAGAAGGGATGAATATCGACTCATATACTTGTAAGCCGATTTATATTTACTTCTGAAGTTTCATCGATGGCATTTTTGACAGCTCTCATAGAAAATGAATCGAGATTCACGCTTATAGTTTTATCCGCATAAATTGTTTCTCATATGGAATTTATAAGTAGAGTTGTTTTTGCAATCCTTTGGATTTCTTGTCCTAAATTATATATTTTAAGTTTATTTGCCAGATCCTTGCACTTGCCTGGGCATTGTTTAATATCATTTTATTATTATTAAACCTTGTATCCATCTGTATCTATGCCATCAAGCTGAATAGTTGTTTATTAATTTAGACATATCCAAAAGAGGTGTTATAAACTGCTATTCTTTGAGAGTATGAGACTATTTTAACTGAGTCAATCAGTAGAAGAATGCCTGATTTATATGTCAATTGTGGGAAAATAAATTTTTGCCTACTTTCCATCTTGGCAAAAACTGCACACAATACAAAATTACCAATTATGACTATGATAGACCCTATATGGTCTATAATAATGCAAAGTAATGTTAATATATCACTATTTTTATTCAGTTCTTTCTCAATTTCTAACATTTCAAAAGCAGATGCAGTCCACATACTAATTGCATGCTTAGGTCAAAAGTAATAGTGTTGTTCCCAAAAATGAAAAATCCTCTACCAGCATACCTATTGTTAAAATATAAAACAAAGCTCTGAGTTATCACCATTTTCATGCAAACCCAGGATTCAAACTATTAAAATTAAAACACAAAAGATGCAAAATCTGCTTGGTGATCCTTGGTCACTAATTAATGTGAAACATAGTTGAACTTACATACATCTTCTCAGTTTCTTATGCTTTATAATTTGATTTTTCATATTGTCAAAGCTTACTGCTAGACGGTCAGTTGTTTTAAAAGCTGGCAAAAAGCCAAGGTAAATATAAAGGACAAATGGGGAAAATATTCCTGTGTCTTTTGATCAGCTTATTCAGGTAGTTTGGCAATCTTGGACCTGTTCAAATCAGCTGCCCTTTTTCAATTCAGAATCAGCTGCCCTTTGGCTAAGTGATTTTGATTATAATTTTTTTCCACATATATAGCACTATGATATAGCATGAGATTTTCAACCAGCTAGTGAAAGACTGAGTCTGAGCACAATGACAATGAACTGATTCTCACATACAAAGTCAAACTGTAGTTTATAGTTAATACTCTGTCTCATATCATAAATGATGAATATGTAATACAACTTAAGCCAACCAAGCATACCTATAAAACGTAAATAATTTCCGTTTTCTTAAAATATGATATGAAAACTTCATATTCAAATTCTTTCGAGATTTTAGTTCGCCATTGTTTTCAAATATCACCATTATTTACTGAAAATTTTCAGCTTTTAGTAATCGTATGCCACATTTAAAGCACAACAAGTACGTGTCAGTTGTGTAGATCTTAAAATGAAATTAACAAATAGTAGAAAAAAGGTCGAAAAATAAAAATTCATAACGAAAACAATTTACCGCTAAGTGTTTTCAAAAAATATGCAGGGGGGAGTGAATGTTGGAGCGGGCTCAATATTGAGCCGTGTCAGTGGTCATTACCATTGCCCAGTGGGACCATATCTGGCGTCAGCACGAAAAATCCGCCATGTTTCTTGCTTCACTTTTTGAGAAAAAAACATTAGGAGCCGGTCCTCCAGGAATTATTATATAGCTCAGTGATCGCGGTATGTCAGTGGTAAATACCATGAGCAAAAGGAACCAAGTGGCGTCAGCAAAGCTCAAAATCCGCCATCTTAGTGGCTTCACTTTTTTGACAGGAGCCGGTCCTCCAGGAATTATTATATAGCTCAGTGCCCGTGATGTAGTTGAACAACCGGTGAACTCTATAAACGCTGGAGTGATGACTCCATTAATCAAGTCCTATATATGACTGGATGAAGACAATTTGAATAAAATTTTTAGACGGAAAAATGGAAAATAGGAAAGAAAAGTTAACTTTTTTTACAGAAAACAGACGAGAAACCAAACAAGGATTTCAAGACGACGCGCTCGAGAGAGGACGTTTGTGAAAAATTTCGGCATTTTATAAACAACAACGGTCATGTGAAGGTATGTTTTCTGTTTAGACGTAAAATATGCATTCTTCTTAATGTTTAGGGGCGCTGTGTCTAACTGTAAACTTTTTTGAACCAGGAAAAATATTTACAACGACTAAAAGCAATCCGAGGTGTTTTGGAGTCTTCGCCATTTTTCAAAATACACGAGGTATGTTCCAGATATTAGTCACCCGGGGTAGTCTTGGGAACGCCTCTGGGAGGAGGGAGAGGGGAGGGTTTGAACATGGCATTAAACAGTAAATGTTGAAGTGTTGCAAACCGAGTGCATTGCAAGCTATCGGGGTAACAAAGAGCATATAGCTACTTGCAGAGAGTTTATTGACCCTCATACATGTATTTCACAAGCAGTAGTTTCAATGTAGTAAATATTGAAATATTGCATTATATTAAATATTGAAATATTGCATTGTGGTAAATATTCAAATATTGCATTGTAGTAAATATTGGAATGTGTACATGATGGGGGGGGGGAGGGCGTCGTAAGCTTAGTTTTCACCAAAATGCAATCGTTCTCTTTAGGTTATTGGTAGTTCGTTACTATTCGTACACGATAGTCAAGGTAATGTGAATGTTTGGATGATAGACTTTGCTAAAACGACGATGATTGGCGATGGTGTTACACTGACGCATCGTGCGTTATGGCAGGAAGGGAACCACGAAGATGGATATCTGTTTGGACTCGATAATATGATCAGTATTTGGTCTGAGGTCTAAGGCAGGCTCGTCACTACCACCTGCCCACTCAAGTTGCACCTTGGAAATATATATATATCCTCCATAACACTCCTTCACAAATGGAAAGGCTTAGCCATCACAAATGGTTGCCTAATCTCAGAAATTGTGTTGCCGATGAAGCCTAGAGGTTCCTGGTAAACCCTAAAGGTTCCTGGTAAATCCTAGAGGTTCCTGGTAAATCCTAGAGGTTCCTGGTAAACCCCAGAGGTTCCTGGTAAATCCTAGAGGTTCCTGGTAAATCCTAGAGGCTCCTGGCAAACCCTGGAAGTCTCTGAAAAGAATTAAAGGTCCTTGGTAAAACCCAGAGATCCCTGGGAGATTCAGGGATTCCCTATCTCCCTGGTAGACCCCAGAGGTCCCTGTTGAACCCTGAACTGAACCCCCCTCCGTTTTTCGCAGTTTTAATATCCTGTCCCATTGATAGTAAAAAACTAAAGAAAATATCCTGTAAAACTGAGAATATACTTTCCAAGGCGAAACCTTACCAGCATAGACGAAAAGTCGAAAACTAGTTCACGCATGTGGAAAAGTATGGATTTGCATGTTCGACTATTATGGTTCGACCTCGCCACAGTTATCAATCTCGCTAATAAATTGTCAGTTGCACATTGTCAACATTTTTAATGACTAGAAATTCTATGACTCTAGAACATCTGATCTTCTATATATTTATAAACAAAAGCATGTGCTGCAGGTGCAAATAATTTATATACATAGACATAACATTAAACAGTGACTATAAGACCGCGGGTCGGTATGATTGCAGTTTCCAATAGTAAGTTCCAAACAGTAATTGTGAGTTACTGCTCTGAAGCCATCGTAGTTGTCAAGTTTTCGAAATTTTCATCTGTAAGATTTTGCATTCAATTTCATCCCTGAACTTCGCTGTTTCAAAGCTTAGCTTCCTACTGTGATATACTGTGAAAATATTAGACGACCTATTTACCATGAGATTTAGCAACTTTGGGCTCATACTCAAATGTAGCAATACTGTTTTGAAAGTAGTTTTTTTATAAGGTCATCGATAATCCTCACCTGGTTTAGTATAAGAATCGCTTTAATAAAAAAGCACTGATTTTCATAGACAAACATATTTATTTGCTTGGCATATGTATATATTATAAAACGATGTATATTATGACGTAATTGTGTTATATTTGGGGGCCGCCCTACCTTACCCTCCCCTCCCTCACACTTGGACAGAATGGATAGGATTATATAGTAGAAGGGTAACTAACGACAATGGCTGCAAATGTAAATTGGTAAATATTTAATCAATTTTAATGGTAGTTCTTACATAAAGCATCATGATCCAAAAATCTTTTAGGAGGCAGTAGTGCGAAAACTGAATGGCTTTAGACAGTACTTTATTGTTCAACTTAGTTTTGTAAATATATTTACGATATCATTCGCTGTTGTTGTGTATTGAAGTCGCGGTTTATTACGACATGTTATCGTCGTGAAGTATAGATACTTATGATTGCCATGGGAATCAGAAATGCAAGCTCTTGTTTACAAGGTGAAATATTAGACAAATTACGCTCAGCTTGGCACGACTACATGAAAGTGTATGCACTAAATATCGATAGAATGTTCTTCGGTATTTTTCAAATGCCTTCAATGATGTAATAGACCATAAAAGAATAATCTCTTAACCCGTTTTCCACTCGGGCCTGCGCGAATTCATTCCCGCGACGCGAAGCGTTATCTGAAGTCCGGTGATGCGATTGGTTTGCGAAAAAATTAGCCGCGAAAAAGTAGAGTTCTTACCTTTTTTTTAGGAGAGATTCCTACTTTTTCGATCGCCGTTGGACGACAGGTCTAAATGAATCGGCATTATTGACAGAATATTCCCGAATGTACTCTTAAAATGCCTTCAATGATTTGCTAGAAAATATAGAACTCTATCCGTTTAGAAAACGCTCAAATTCCATCGAAAAAAAAGTCTAGATGAATATATATACGAGGACTGAATATCAGTAGAGTGTTCAAAAATATTCTGCAAACACCTTTAATAATCTAGTACAAGATAAAAGACTCTTGGAAACGTTTCGTTTTCCATAAAACAGCAAGTCTGAGTAATAAAGATATGAGCACTGGATATCAATATAAGGTTCCTGACTATATATTTTTTAAAATAATATCTTCAATGTTGTAATTAATAAACCATGAGAAATCCCATCTCTAGGAAACGCCTACCTCCTGAATCGCCACTCATTGAAGTGATCGACCCTCACTCTCTGTTAAACGCAGTTAAACGCTCTTAAACGCCCTTAAACGCCTCTAAAATTAAAACGGCTTTAATCCTATTAACATCAATAAACACCCCCCTCCCGTCAATTATATCACCAAACGATTATTACATGAAGAATTTTATTCATTTTAGTTTGTTTTAATAATTTTATTATAAATATACGTGTTCTTTTATATACAGTATATCTTAAATACAGTTCTGAGAGTTGCTCTTCTCAGATCTCAGTTGTCGTAGATAAGAGCCGTATTCTTTCCTCTACAGTTGTCTTTTTACCCACCGGCACAAAGTTCCACAGTTGTTTCGGATCGTCTTTCCAATTTTCTAGTTTCACCCTGAGGTTCGACTTGTCGTCTATCTGTAAAACTAGGCCTGGGCGAATGGAGATATTCGAAAAGAAACATTATAGGTAAATATTAGGCACATGGCATGCAAATGGGGGCTGTCTAGGGTTGTTGGGTGTCCCATGCCTGGCTCTAATGAGAGAAACCTTAATGGTCGGTGTTATATCGCTGTTTGGTACTGTACTTTATAAAAACGGCTCTGTCTGTGAAACAATGTATGCATTTTGATAGCTATCCAAGATCTTATCGTTATGGATATTTGAAATATATCAAAACGTCAACGAAGAACAATGAAATCTTTATATTTACTCAATGAATGTGGCGAATGGCAATCAATTAATGGATTGTAAACCAGGCAATATATAAACCAGCTACGTTTCGTATTTCGTGTTGTTAAAAGAATCGTGTAAGAGATGCCAGTCTTGACGTCTTCGGCTCTTGACAAAACTAATTCTCGTTTTACTTGCTCTAACCGCGATTTTTTATGAGTAAAACTTTCTATTTTAGATAAACTGCCTAAATAGACAAAACACTTCTCGACGTTTCGACCTGAGGGCCTTCGTCAGGAAAGTTAGTATGATACTAACTCCATACTAAATCTCCTGACGAAGGCCCTCAGGTCGAAACGTCGAGAAGTATTTTGTCTATTTAGGCAGTTGTTATACCACATTTGATGCTAAGTTGTTTGAAGACGCTGCCACGCTGCTCCTTGGTTATATTTCTATTTTAGATGTAAACTCATTACTAATTCTCCGATTCTTGTTGAACAAATGAGAGAAGTTTTAACAAAACTCTATAAAATGCAAAGCACGCGAGCTCAATGTAGATAGAACTCTATTTCTAAAAGTCTGTTGATATATAAGCATGCATGTATACACAAAATTCTATACTTAATCGCTTTTGCAATACACACAGATCGATATATACGATAACATTATTATCCACAATTAATGTCGGATAATTATCAATAGACAATACATTGAATGCCGTGTTAACATTGTATATACTTGCTCAGGTATAAGACTGAGAAATTTAAGTTATGTATCTGAAATTATATCTATCAATCTATCTGAAATAATCTATTTTGGTAACGAAAGAGTAACTCTTCAGTCTATATTTATTAATGGGAAACTTTATCAACTTACATTGTTCCATAAGGTTCGCAATCTTCCATTTTCCTTTTGTTATCCATTTCTGATAAGGACTCCACTGGCAACAGGCGACGTACAATTTAGCGCCGGTTGCCGCCATCCCTGGGTTCATAGTTAAAGCTAAGTTGTTGTGTTTGCACTTGATAAAATTACCATCTCTGTACCACAATTGTTTTCCTCCTGCCTTTTCGCATCTCTCTTTTAATCCTACGCCATTTGTCTCGCTATCGACTTGAAGTACGTGGCCGTTAAATCGGTTTTGCACAAGGAAACATCCCGAAGGTGTTTGTAACGCCATCGAGACGATGTTTTCAGACGAATTCCTTGCCTTGAAACAGCCGTTTGAAAGCTTTTAAGACGTTAACCAACGCTGTGTGCTGGTAGACACAACATCACAGTTGAAGCGAATGTATCTATTTGTACTTAGCATTGTGCTCAAGCAATGGGGGTCTGTTAGTCCTGTGCATATAATTATCAGGAAAAAAGAAGTCACCATTCAATATTTCGGAAATGGTGCGAATATTATAAAGACATCGAGGGAAATGCGATAAATTGACTCAAGTGTTCATATAAGTAATACATTATAAAGAGAGTTTCGGGATATTTTCATTTATATCCTGTTCAAAAATATTGTCATACTGATGATGTTACTTATTTTATTCGGAGTCACATATATAAAACATAATATAAAATTTCATTCTGAAATCGTGTGTATTTTGAGAGGTAATATTCTCGGTTCAATAACAACATTTGACTGTTCTAAAGCTAATATTCTTAATGTGTTTAATGAAATCAAGTTGATTTTGTTTCTGCAAACGACCTTAATTTCACGATCAAATGGATCCCTAATTGGCATTGAGAACTGATATCTCAAAGCCATTAGCCTTTTTTATAATATACCAGCATCATAAAATAGTTCAACTATAAAGTTAAACTTATTTCACCACTAAAACGGCTGTATTCAATTTCTCTTTATATCAATTACTCATCACTTCAGCGATTTGGGAAACTAGCGAAGCCAATATAGAAAATGGTATAGTTTCGTTTTAATAAACGAACTCTAAACGGTGTCAAATCCAACGAAATTTGTTCGTTTTGAAATGTATATGTCGATTAAAAAATGGCCGCTTGCCAATGTGTTGTGTTGTAATTCTGTATCGTCGTATCTTTGCGTGTGGTGTGATTGTGGTTAATTATGACTCAAGTATCCAAAGGTTTGAAACACTTCATGCAAGCATGGGCTATTGTCATCGGTTACGCTTGTCGAGCCGGCTTTGTGTTGTAATTGATCGAGTCGCCCCAATGTTCTGAAATGTTTTCAAATTTGTCCGCTTTTCAAAGGCTTAAATGAAGCTTGCCAACAATTGAATCAAATGTATAGGCTGGTTTCCTGTTTTTACTGAGCGATAAACCAATGCGTCATCTCAGTGAACTGCATCCTCCTCATTTTACGAGATAGGCAGTACGAGAGGATAATTGGGTATTCAACTTGGTTTAATCAATGATATTTTTACGAATTACGAAGTCTTGTGTATGTACCCCATTGTCCGGTCGAGTTCACATTCTGGTGTATGTGATTTTGTGTAGCACTTACGTTCATGACAGAGTAAAAAATGAATTTTTTTTCCGGTTTTTTATTGCATTTTTTCATAGCCAGTCTGTTCGTGATGATAATAATATTTCACTTCCATGCAGTTTCCCATTCAAACATGGTCATTGCAGACTTTGCAGTACTGCTGATCTGATGACTGTTGCCACTATTATTAGCCCGACTAGTCTACTAGTACTAACTACTTAATTTGCAATGTTTTATTCAGTGTTTCACTCTTAACCTTCCTCAGTGTCAGTTGATCATTACAGTACTGCTAGTCTGACTGAGAGTTGACTTTTACTACCAATATACTAGTCAGACTAGTCTAGTACTTACTACTTTGCAATATTTTATTCAGTGTTTCACTTTCAACCTTCCTCGATCTCAGTTGGTCATTGCAGCCAGTACTGCAAGTCCGACTGAGTGTTGCTACGCTGGAACACTGTCCCTGCTAAATTCTAGTACTTACTGCTTTTGCATTTTCAAAATTCCTTAATGTTAGTTGATCATTGTGCACTTACTACCTTCCTATGACAATGCCCTATTAATCTATTTAGTGCATGTTTCACTTTCAACCTTTCTCTATTCCATTTCTAATCTACTTAAAGCTTATTGCCTTGAGATCCGGCTCAATGCCATGCAGTGAACGATATACGACCCGTATCGGCTTTTTTGTGTGTGATACGGATTTTTTTACACCAACGATTCAAAATTTACATGCTTATTGAATTGTGTTTGTTCCTACCGGCTGATTTAACCGGATTTACGCAGGAAATTGGGGTGTTATGTGCGGATTCGGAAGTTACGGAGAGATATCCACTTTGTTATTTCAACTTAAGCAAATGAATACGAAGAAACCTCTTTCCAAATCTGAAGAGTGAAGAAGCCTGGTTGCTCGCACCAAAATGTCTGTGTAGCGAGTGAAGTGATTCCCTTGATAGTTGCTCGGGGACAATGAAATATACAAATCGCAGTGTTTGCTTTTTTTGAGACACGAGTCGATAATACAAGCATTACAAACATGACTATTAAAATTACAATGTAGTTTCATCCCACGCTAAGTGTAACTTAGTTAAATTGCACTTGTTATTGCTGTGTGTTTTATTTGGGTCGCTATCTTGTACTTAGTAATATAAAGTGCAATAAAGATTGAAAATATAGATTGGTTTCATTAGACTTGTAAACACTTTGATTATAAAAAACGAGTACTGGTCGCACAGCTACGTTTAATAAATATGTAGACTGTAATGTCAAATAACAACTATTGTAACTCTTTCCAATACAACAAGAGCGATTTTCTAAGCGTGTTTCTAAAACATCTCTATGATTCACATCGGAAAGACCTGTTTGCATAACTTGAATTAATCTTAAATTCCTAGCAAGCGTGTACACTCGTCGCAAGCCTAACTAGATTACAGCCATAATTATACCGTGAAAACAATTTAAGACCTTGTATCCGGTTAGCCTTCATTTGCATGTAAATTACGCGCCAGTTCTGTGCTGTTTCCAAACACTTAAACAAGCATCCCTCGCTATTGTTTGCCAAAGCATTTGTTGAATTGTGGTTGGTCGGAAACTTTTTAAATAACAATGGCAACAAAGCCGAAATGACATGTCGTAAATAGTTACCATTTAACTGTTAAATTCGGGTGAACTTGGCGAAGAAGCATTAAAGTATAAGGTGCAAGCGTGATCAATCCTTTCCTTGGATCGAGATTTATACGAAGAGCGAGCGGTTAATTTGTGAGAACTTCAAACGTATTCTCAAGAGTTGAGGCGAAGGAGATTTGGGAAGAATGACCGAGGTTCTACCAAATCTCAGCTCAGAAATAGCGGTCTCGACGTCGGAAGAAAGCATCAGGACTCCACGCTGTGCTAGGTGCCGAAACCACGGAACAATCTCCTACCTAAAGGGACACAAACGTTACTGCCAGTGGAAAGAATGTCAGTGCTCGAAATGCAGCCTGATCATCGAGAGACAGCGCCTGATGGCAGCACAGGTCGCTTTGAAACGTGACACGGAGGACGATCATAACGTGTTGGCGATTTCGTCTCGTTGTCTGCCGATGTTTACCCAACCTCAGTCCCAAGACAGATACGGATTGCCAACTCGCGATGACCCGATTTCCGATGACGGTAGGACTGTATTTCATTGTGTGTATGTTCTGCATTGTCTCTCGTTTTCAATGTGTAAACACTCGAAAACCGTTTGTGTGTTTAATAATTTAACGCTGGCGAAATCATATAGTGCATGCATCACAAAATGGGACACTCACAGGTGACATGCTCAAGAGTCTTCCCATGGGAAGGTCTAGAAACGACATCCGCTAAGACTCCGAAAGTATTTCAATTGTTTGTGATATGATTGTGATATAAAACAGCTATTGCCATCTGACATACGTCAAGTCATAAAATACAACTTCAGTCACATTTTGAACGTACTATATTCAGCCATTTAGGCATTTCATCGTTTTGTAGCAAACGTATATGATATGACTTCGTTGCCAAATCTTTTGCGGCTTAAAAAGAGATGTTTTTCAACATTATAATCTCTGTCTTTCCAGCGGTTTTTATCAAAGATGTAAACTTGAGATGTCCCTTATAAAAAGCGTGCTCGAATAATCGAGATTTTATCGTTAATATATGCAAACATATTGAAGACAAAATTAAAAAGTTTGTCAGATTCTCAGTTGCGCCAATCGAGATTTGTTCATTTAATAAAGTGTAAGAAGTTAGCGGCTGCCAGTTGCTTTGTAATGAGATATGTCACGAAAGATGGTCTCTCGTTTTTCATTCTCCTCAAAGGTTCAATTTCCCGGTCAGAACGGGTGAAAGTTAAAATTTTTTTTTAAAGGATGACGTGGTTCTTAGTTTTCAAACAGGAAATTTGCTCAAAAATGGTTTATGTTTTCCCACACACCAGACAAACCTAAAGTAAACATCATCGAGTTCGTATCAAGCTTCGGATGTCAGAACATTTGTTTAAAATTTGTTAAAGATTATATGTCCACTTTAAAACGGCGTGAGACTCGACTGACAAGTGGATATGTGTATGCAAATTTGATACCCATATTGCCAAGGGCAAGAGGAAGTGTGTGTGTGAGTCTTGAAGCAATTATAGTTGCAACTACGCCACGTGTTGTTTATTGCAACAATTCCGCCGTAATGAAGTATTTCATTAACTAATTATCGAGCTCTATTATTTCACCAATATCTGTTACAATAATGGCGGTAATTACAGTTTCTTTATGTGTTTAAATACGTCTCCTAGTTGCAAAAACACGAGGCTTAGCAATGATCAATTAGTGCCCTAAAACTTTGGGGGAACATTTAATCCAGACCTGGGTGGGGGGTATAGGAGTGCGCTGGCTCACGCTTTGAAAAAGAGTTTTGTGTCCGTTGTTTCGTCCGGTTTTGGGTCCTTCAAAAAATCCTTCTTGAAAACGTCAACTCGGAATTGCTTCGGCCAAGCCTCGTGTTCACCGAAATGTTAGGCCAAATGTTGCCCAATTACAACGGTATCTCAAAATGTATACATGCATGAATTGGGACATGCGGAGAGGAGTATGAGTGTGCCTTGCTAGGACTGGTTGGTAGGACTGCTGTGAAACATGTTACTTCACTCTAAGAATGCCGAAGTAGATCGACCTATTCCTACGAAGTACATAGTGAAGTACAGTCTATGATCTATCCCAACAAATCTAGAACTTCTATGTCGGCAAATTCACACAAAAATTTACTTTTTAATACGTTTGGCAATACCTAGAACGGTCATTTCATATTTTTATTATCTCAAATGTATGCATCTCCGTTTGAAAGGCTGTGACTGTAAAATTATGTAGATAGATTCAAATGACGTGAAGATGTAATTTGACGTCTTTTTGATAATCTAATCTTACAGAGAGTGCGTTTTGTGAGACACCTCTCAAACGAGAAACAAACGAAGACTTGGAAGGAATGCAAGAAAGCGCGGTCAAACGGCGTCGAACGGTCAGTACACCTGATGAAAACGAGAGACAAATCGGCACGACGTCGCCGCAAGCTGACGACGAGCCTCCGAACATTGCCGAAGGATTACCGGTCGAAAACGAAAGCATGAATCTATTCTCGTCTCCAGGTCACACGATTGGAGGAGACGGTTTGGGACGGACAAAATGCCCTCCAATTGAACTTCTTTGTCGTCTGTTCCCAACGCAAAAACGTGGCGTGTTACAACTTATCTACAAAGGTTGCAACAACGACCTAATTAAGACAATTGAATGCGTTCTACCAAGCCACGAAAAGGCCATGGCAGGCTTTAAGTATCCACCAATGCCCATGAGCGTACCTAGATGTCCTCAACTGGTTCCGTCGGCTTTTCCACCCTGTCTACCATATCCCATGAATCAATTTCATCGTCTATATCTCCCACCTTCCATTGCCTCGGCACCATTACCGCTGTACAATATGCCCGACCGCTCGACGCTCAGGCGCGGTTACATGACCGGTTACCCAAGCAAGGCTACTTGCCAGGAATTCACCGAGGACTCGTTTCCAGTCTCTAAACGGACGTGTCCCTATTGCCAAAAAGACGTGCCGTTCACGCTAAGGGCCTGCGACTCTTGTGGTCATCGGTTTGATGTGTCCCCCTCTACGCGAGGTTGAACCTTACCCCACCCCACCCCCCCTGTTTCCTCTAAATTGTTGGTGATGTATGTTTATATATTGTGTGTATTAAGACCAGTTAGTGTGCAGTACTAGAAGAAAGAATATTATTATATAATTCACAGGTACCGTCGAAACATAAAGTATTATAAATTAGCACTATTTTCTGAATCACCTGGGCCGGTCAGTATTGCTTATCGCCATTTATAGATGTCATGCATTATAGTTCTTCTCAATTTTATCAAGTCTCGTGCATGCTGTCAGCCTGGTTTTCATAATATATCATAATTCACCAACGATGTCTATTGTCAGTGGTCGTGGATACACAGAACGCTCCCTTTTCCCACTGAAAAACATACATATTTCACTGTTCACCGACAATAGATCATCGTAGAACATCGTAGAACATCGTAGAACATCGTGGAAACCAGGCTTTGTGTTCTCTTTTCAAACACAAGTTTACGACTAGGCAATGCTTTGGGTTATTCTGAAACATAGTGCCAAGTTAGTGTAATGTACAATTGTACTAAAAAAGAGGTGTTTATTAATTGAGTGTATAGCCAAAGACGCGTGTATATTGAATTAAATATAATTTATCGAAAATATCAGAAGAGACACTTTGGCGTTATTTAATGTCTCTTCCCCTCGACAGATGAATGAACGCATAACTACTGATAAAACATCAGCCGTTTTGTCTCAATTGGTCTGACGTTCATTCTCATAAACTATCACACACACTTATCGACTTTCAGCTTAAAAACTTCGTCTGTTTTTCCAACTCACATGCAACACTTGCCTTCGTTTTACCACGCCATGGACGTGAAAAATCATGCAGGAAACTTCCGTACAAGACTCTCGCTTTCAACTCTCATCCACGTTTGAATGATGAGACTGAGAAGCCTCGTTTCTAAAGCACTTGAAATTTCCATAAAACAAAAGACCCTATGATATCGTCGTCAACAATTCCATCACCACTGGTTGCAACTTTACGTACCTGAAAAGTTGTCTTTTTGATTTGTGATCGCTTGATTGGTTCAATGTTCACGGGATACAAGTAAGTTCACACGCCCTTATCTATCCCCTTTTCCTGTTTTACCTATTTTTTCTCCATGGAAACAATCATCAGACATGTTAAACTGATTTGATCTGAATGCAAATTTCGATTAAACTAGTTAATAGCATATAGTTGATGCCTTAATGGGATTTCTTTTGTGTTTATGGACGGTCAAACATGAAAAATGTTACATTCTGCAATCTACACAACAGAGGCCGGTTGTATCAAGCCCGTTTAGCTCAAACGGTGGTTAAGTTCAAAATAGAAAGCAAGTCTATCGTTTTATTCAACAAGCAAACTAAATGTTTTTAACCTTAATGCAAAGATTCTGTTTACAACTACATATTTAGTGCATAATATTCAAGTTAACTCATTCAAGACAGATGTAAGAGTGTTATTTAATTTTGACTTATCCACCGTTTAAGCTAAACGGGCTTGATACAACCGGCCCCAGGAAAACAAGTTTATTAGTTAAAATTTCCCAATCAGTAATAACATTTTACCTTTAGTCATGTCAAAATTGAAAATTCAACTATACCTTTACCTCTACAAATGAGGAGATTAGCGTTAAAATATATCCGCAATTCTCGAATAAAACCTGCCTTGGGTTACGGGTTAAATAATCATTAATCCCTGAGCTATGCGATTACTTATAAATATAGCTATTAGCGTAGCCAGTCTGATTGTGCATACTGATACTTTAATGTCTATTACCAATGAAGAAAATCAAATTTAACGAAATGAATCATTATAATCACTCAAAATTTACATAACAGGACTAAATCGTCAGGCTGGGCACTGACTACGCCAGTTTAGAGCTTATCTAAAACGGAGTTAAAGGCTACAATTGCAGGTGACCAACAGGTTCTCAGGAATCAAAGTTATCGTAAACGAATCATACGCAAGACCAAGAAAATATACTTAAACGTACACTTTGATATCAAAATTGCAATATCAGTTCTTGCATGTCTCGTATTAATCAGCTGATCGTTTGGTCCACTGCATGGCAATGCTGAGCGACTAATCGAGGATTTCATTTCAGCTAAGGTTTGGTTTTATGACATGAGAAGAAGGATGAATGAAAATTTGAGTATTCTTGTTACATTGTTGGTGATGATTGTAGTCGGAGGATTATTCATACGACAAAACTACGTCGGCCATTTGGAAGAAAAAAGCCCATCGAGCGAATTGACTCAAAAGGATAAAAGAAGCCTAGTTGATCACCAAAGTGAGTCACTGAAGCGTTTGTTTTTTTGCACGTAATTATAATATCTGCCGCGCGGGTACTTTGCCAAGGGGAAATGATTTAGTTGCTCAACTTGCAGTTATCAAGGCCTTATCTATGCATAAGGGACATAATGTAATATGGCTAAACTTTAATAATATTATGTTTTGTAATTAAATTTTTCATCATTTAAGAGTCAGTGAACAGCACTCGTCTAAGGGCGTGTTTACATGGAGCGAGTTATATCCCGGCTAGGCGAGGTGAAAACTGCATATATAATGAAAGACTAATCAGGTTGAACCTTTGATGTGATGCGTTTTTCACGTCGCCTAGCCGGGATACCTCGCTCCATGTAAACAGGCCCCTAAGTTCATACTAATTTCTCATATTAGGATTACCACGCGATTTTCCTGAAAGACCCGAACTGGTTTTAAAGCGCAAACGACGTGGGTTTCGCTCATATTTTTACAACTATCTGGACGAGCTTGCGATGGGCATATGCGGTTCAATTCCCGCCGAGGGACCTGGGCTCAACTACGCCGTGCGCCGAACATGCGGCGAAAACGAGGTGCTCACGTGCAAGCAGATATGCACAGACAAAGCACTGATAGAGCAGTCGCCAAAAGAGGTGCAGAAATTGACGTGGACATGCGCAGAGTCGTTGCACGTGTACAAGCGACAGCCGGCGTTGGCCGATAATTACGAGGAGTATACGGACTCGAATAAGCTTGGGTTGGCTGTGTACAGGCATAACTCGTGCAGTGTTGGTAAATGCGGTCCTAACTATTGTTGTTGTAGAGCTTATGCGACTGCTGTGTGACCGTATAAATACTAGACACTGTCTAAAAGTCTGTTCACATGATCTAATTTTGTATCCAATTCATTTTCGACGTATGTAGTATGTGACACGACGTTACTGGTAATAACTTATAGAGCAAAGCTCATCATGCGTAAGATTTTATGATATTTTTACTAATACCGATTGTATTCTTCAAAAATATTGTCGAATTAACCCGGGTTTGCACACCTCAATTTGGATATTCGACGTTGAAGGTGACGATTTTTTAAATTCAAGATTCTAAAAGCTCCAAATATTTGGTGAATATCGTAAAGGATTAGTTTTACCAGTAGTTATAAAGCCATTTTGAGCGGTACTTAAAGCCATTTTTGGACAGTTTTTTCAAACTTTAAAAACGTTGTTATTTCCAGCCAGAGCGAAACATGTCCCTTACCATACTGCGTTCAAAAATGACGCCTTTTTAAGGAACTATAAACGGTGCACAAAAGTGTTAGGTCCAGAGGCTAGTCTTAATCAGCTGTTTCATTCACAGCCTGGACATTCTTGGAAATTTTAAAATCATTTCAAGAAAGTCAAAGTGTCTTGTAAAATCGAGAGTCGGGAAGCATATCAAACTAAACAAATAACTTACATAGTAAATAGTTCTTTTTTATACCCCTCAAAATGAGTGCAACATATTTTCCGATATATTTACATCTTGTATTGTCATTCAATTCACAAACGAGCTGTCCACCCCTCAGTCTGGTTGCCAGTCTTCACCCTTGCCTTCAAATTTCAGTCAACCGTCAACGACGGGTGCTGATGGTCAGCTCCGATCGTCGGCTGATTGCACTCTCAATATGACTGGTTTGATAGAGTCCTTTTGATAATTCTCTAAAAGTAAACCAGTATTTTGTTAACAAATTCGACTCTCATTCAAGTATTTCTGGGGTTTGCAGCTACCCCCCCCCCTGCTTCCTCCTCCCTGCACTAGGATTATGGGGTTTGCAGCTGTCCCCCCCTGACTCCTCTCCACCTTAGCATTATGAGGTTTGCAGCTGCCCCCGCCCTGCTTCCTCTCCGCTTTAGCTTGGGGTTTGTAGCAGTCCCCCCCCTGCCTTCTCCCAAACGATACAAAGCGATATATGGACCCAGTACTCACGCGAGTGGCCGACCAAAGCACAGCCCCAAATGATACTCCAAAACCAACCAATGAGGAGAAAGACGACCGTAATTAATTGGGCCAAACCGACGAGAACGTTGCCCAGACACATGTTTATCATTTTCAAACAGTTGTCTTTCTTGTGATGGAAACAGAAAACCAAAAATCCTGAAATAATTGTTCCTGCAAGAGGGGATACACTGTTGAGAATTATTATGAAATGCAGAGAAATAGAAACTATAGGGGCACTTTCCTTTTGTACGGAAAAACGGCCAGATGACGGTCCTGTTGTATTTCGGTACAGACAGATTACTGGTATTTTAGAGTGTTTCAAGAACTCTTCATTTAAGTATATCGTTGTTACATCACATCTGCCTAGCACGGGAAATAAAGTTCGCTATATTCCTAACGAAATATTCAATATTTCAATTTAAAATATGACCGCGGTCTGACCATTTTGGCCGCTTAATTGAAAACGCCCTACTCCTAGGAATATCCATGCAAAAACATTTGGCTCGCCCTAGCCCTAGCCCTAGGAATCCTAAAACTGATTTGAATCGAACTATATTGTATGCATGAGTCTTTTAAGTTTGACTGGCGAATTGTTCATTTGAATTGAGAATGGCTAAGACATTGAAAATTTGAGCAAAACTATCTTTACTTCGTTGCCAATGTCGTATAATAAACGACGTAGGAAGCTTTTTGACTTTTGTATAATGTCGAGTTTCATTTAGCCTGCATGCAGTCTCTACAGGAATCATTTCCTGTATCTAGGAAATGTATATACAGGAAATGATTCTTGTAGAGGTTGCATGCAGGCTAAGTTTATTGCGTTTTTGATTGCAAATAGCAGTATTATTTCAAATTGACAACTGTCGGTCATTGGGCGGCTGTGGCCGTTTTTTGAGGGCGTTCAATATTAAATGTACTTTTGGCTGGTCGAAAACTTAGCAATACATGTACATATTATCAAGACATATACAAGCCTTGCTCTAAGTACAGACGTAGCTTTTCGTTACCATTTCGCGTTGTTGGATGATCATGCATGCAAAGAATTCGGTAGAAAAAGGGGCGATTGACTCGGACAGTTTGTGATATATGCGAAAAAGATAAATATATACGAAAATAAAGGCCCTTAGTAATTAGTTCCCTTAAACGTCGTTTTTTTTAAATATATAATTATAAAACGTATTGACTTCTTTCCACTAGATGAGAGTATCGTCTTTTCAATCCTATCGCAAACTAATATTGGGGTTTCAAGAATATTCATCCATGCTATACCATTTTTCTAGGATTCTGACATATTCCTAAGGCTAAGTGCTGCCGCGTGTTGGATCGAGCCTTTTCACTGAGTTACACAAATAAACAATTTTATACATTGAGTCAAAACAACTGAGACATTATGAAATACATTCCGTAATTAATGTCGATAATCAGCTACGACTCTGCCTAACTATTATGTCAAACATCATGTTGTGTTTCACAACGCAGCAATTGTGCGCATGCTGGATATATATTTTTATTAACGTTTCTTAATTATCGTTACCCCACAATATATATTGCCGAATATATGCCGTGCCAAACAAATAATTATATAAATATGATATATATATGATTGGAATAAGGCTTAGTGTGTTACCAGTTCCAGGGACGATTATATTCGCAACCAGGCAGAAAATTGCCAACGGTCTTGGAATAATGGGAATGGCCACCAAATTTTGACGCTGTTTGGCGAGCGCCAATTCCTTTTTCGTTCCTGTTGTAACATCGCTTTCCATGTCGTCTGTCATTGATCTTCTTGCTTGCGCCATGCCTAACCCATTCGCTGCTGTTCAATTTGAATTTCGTTAACACAAGCTCCAAGAATATGTTGCGGTTACACCAAGAGCAACTGCAAGATTATCTGCGGTCACGTCTTGGTTTAACTACGCTCCCGTCCAGAAGCGGCGCTGTTCGACTTCCGAATTGCGCAGGCCAACAGGCACTGAATGACACAGCAGGTACAGAAATGTTATTGACCCATGAACACACATCCACGTAACGTTGGACACTACGTAAACATTGCAAGCAAAATGTCACTTCAAATGCATTATGGAAATTCAAGGAGCAAATTACCGTACGGTAAAGAATTTTGAAGACAGCTATAAAGTGGTATTGTGTGAATTTTAGCGAGAATTTTAGCGAGAAAGAATGATATAAAAAATGGCGTTCCTCACGTCCCAACATTGGGTAGAATATGCTCATTATATTTTTCATTTTTTCCATACAGACTGTCCAATTAAATTTATCTCATTTTATCTCTATAGCTTTTGTTAATCAATGCTAAACATTATCAATCATATATCGTTAATTTTTGTTGGCTGGTACGCAGTAAAAAGTGACGTTGAATTGATATATTTGAATTGTAATATTTATAGCTTAGACAGTCTGTCCAAGCGTTCCTAGTAATATTGTGAAATGACGTATAACCAATCAGTATCGTGGGTAGCTACTAGCCTATATACTTAATTTGACATACAATTTAGGTGTAATCAGCATGTATTAATTGCATGTCCAAGATTAATTTTGACTATGGAAGAACGAATTCTTAATAACATGCGAAATAATTATAGTTATTATACTAGATGGCATTGGATTAGATTGTGAGTTGCATTCTGCAAATCTAATGACTACGTTCCCTTTTCTGATTTATTAGTTCAAAACATCAGTTCACAAAGTTCAAATATGACATGAATGATAAACGATTTTGAAATTTAGTTGATTTTATGCAGCTGGGTAGTTAAATTCTCAAGTGGAACAAAATTAATCGAACGTGGCTCTGTTGGAACAAGTGCGCAAATAAAAATTATTGTATGATATAAAATAATGTGTATGTATTTATATCATGGAGCTAAGCTCGACTAGCAACTAGTTATTTAATAATCTCAAAGGGTATTAGTCGGGAACCTCGAAAAACGAAGTCATCTTTTGTTATTTTCGCTGTGCTTTCTGTGATTCTGTTGATAGTATAGTCTGGACGATATATAACGTGAAGGGCACTGGATGTTAAGGAGGTTAAAGTCAAGCGAACAAGGGATGATGAAATATGTTTGGGAACTTTTTCATTATCACTGATCGTGACATGGCCGGAGCCAGATTTTTCACAAGTAGCCGGAAAAAAAACGCACGAATATTTTTACGGTTCCGGTTACGCGTAGCGTCGGTCACGCGCGTCAGGCATTTTCGCCAACTGAAAACGGATGAATTTGAAAACGCTCTCCAGAGTGTAAGAATTTGAGAACAACGGCTGAGCGGATACGTGTACATCGATGGCTTTGCCGGAGAGATCTGAAAACCATTACGTAACCTTTCTGTCCACCAATTTCCCTGGGCTACAACGTTTCTAATTTTATCTCATATCTAGTGTAAAAGCTGTGTTCCTATTGGCTACGAACAGAGGCGTTCAAACCCGAACCCACCTGCCGATGTGTGTTTGCGGAGGTGATTTCGGGTTGTTGATTTTAATGAATAAAATACAAATTTAGTAAAATGAATCGTTTTGAGGAAATTTCTGACGAAGAACTAAAAGGAAGGCAACATATGAGTTCAAAAAATGTCCTCTTTTTTGAAACATCGTCTTTATCGTAACCAGAGCCTGCGATCCTCGTACAGCTTGTTCTTTCCCAGTCCCTCACCGTGGAAACAATTTCTAATTGCGGGAAGGAAAGAGCGCGAAATTTCTGTTTCGATTTTCGATTCCAACTTCTACGGGAATATTGTGAAACATTTTGTTTAATACTGACACGCCGATCGTCGCCATGAATTCACACGATCATAGATCAAATATAAACGATAAACTTGGCAAAGTCTCGGTTGTCCTCGGGGCTCAATGGGGTGACGAAGGCAAAGGCAAGGTCGTTGATTTATTAGCAGGGAATGTTGATCTGGTTTGTCGTTATCAGGTATTTTATAAAATTTAATGAACAAGAACACCCATTTTGCCACGTATGAAATTGATCAGTGCTATTCCTGATTGGGTTAACTACATTTGTATCGAATTTCCAGATTTTCTTAAAGTTACATAACATGCGGCGAAATTTGATAATAAATAAATGTTATGCATATTCTGTCTTATCAGTGATTATTTTCAATGATCTTTGAGCGTTTATGGAGTTCTGCTCGGCATGCTTTCCTAATTTACTGTCGAGATTCGTTGATTAAGATTAAGGGCACGCTGGTAGTTTGGAAGTTTAGAAGATGAAACTTGCAAACTTTGAATGTTTAAAATGCAATTGAAAGTTAAAAAAATTGGCATTGTTCAATTGTTGGAGGGAGGGGAGGGGGTTATAATCAGAATGAAATATATTGAAATCTATTGGTGAGGTAATTCCTTTCCCTGATCTGCCCATCTAGGGTGGTAATAATGCTGGACATACTGTTTCTGATGGTGCTACAACTTTCTTTTTTCATGTAATTCCAAGGTACCGTAACAATATATGAGCTTTGTCAGGCTGACTTTTACAATTCTCTTTCAAAGTTTTGTGTTTCATTTTTAGTGGCATTATTCACAAAAATTGTAAAAGCATCATTGGTAAATACTTTCTCTTGCATTCTACTCTGTTTAATGCTCCATGACCTTATCCTATTATTCACTTTACATCTAGTATAGACATGTGGTCTGATTGCTGCTTATTTTTAGGCAATGGAGTTGTGATCCACATTCAACAATTGTTTAATGAAATTGATGAGAATGTCAAGAAAGGTTAGTTTCTAGGTTGCATGCTATTATCAGAGGATGGAGGCAAAGTGCATACTTCATGTTTCATTTCATATTTATTTTAGGGCTTACTGGATGGGAAGAGCGATTACTCATATCTGATCGAGCTCATATTGGTATGTACTAGCTGGATAAATAGGTTAAATCAAGTTTGATCTGTTTGCCTAAAAAGGAATGGATTATTCTTTAACATGAAAGTTTAATCAATTTTGATTCTTGCAGTGTTTGACTTTCTTCAACAAGTTGATGGCATCCAGGAAACCTCACAACGTAAAGTCAGGTAAATAAAAGTATCCTGAAAGTTCTTATTCAATCCCCCGAACTTTCAGCAACTGTTAATTGTGTTTAATTGCTTTTCATAGTCTTGGCACAACTAAAAAAGGAATTGGTCCGACATATGCAGCTAAGGTTTGTTGCAGTTTTATCGTGTAAATCTTGGCCATAAGTTTTTTATATCAGTTGTTCTCTGCCGATTTAGGCTTCCAGATCAGGAATAAGAATATGTGATTTAATTGGGGATTTTGAGTATTTCAAGGAAAGGTCAGTGGAGAGTTTTAATTGACTGTGATGATCATCACTATCAATTTAAGACACACAAATATGGAAGGGACTAGACTCAGTTCCGAAATATCAACCACTTGAACCGTCTTGGCCTTGTAGCTCAGTTGGAAGAGCGTTGGACTAGCAAACCAAAGGTCGCGGGTTCGATTCCCATCGTGGTCAAGCTAATTTTTCAGCTTGCCCGGTTGGTGACTCAGAGTAGCAACATCACATATACTTTTAATTGACTCTTCCCATTGCCAAATCAGCTTTGATGAAATATCCCTTTCTAGGTTCCAGTCATTATCAGCTTTCTATGAGAGAGCGTAAGTCTTTTCTTGATGAAATTATAGAAAGTAGAAACTGTTTACCAGTCAAAACACCACAATGTTTTGTAAAATTTCATGCCCTCAAACAAAAAATTGATTTTAGATATCCTGGCTTGAAGATAAATGTTGATGAAGAACTTGAAAAATATAAGGTGGAAGGAACATTTCAATGAGAATTTAATTTTTACTTTTTTTCATATTTGGCAGTTTGTTAAACCATCAAATATTTCTCCATATTCATCACTGTTTTCACCATGTTCACCACTTTTTTCTCCATATTCGCCACTTTTCTCCATACTGGCCACCTTCTATCCCATATTCACTATTTTTTTTCCTTTATTCATTACCTGTTTTCAATTCGCCATATTCTTCTCCATATTCTTCTCCATATTCACTACAATTCCTCTCAATATTCACCAATCATCCGTTATTCTTCTCGACATAATTACTCCGCCAATCTGTTCAGAAATGTGCTGAGAAGATTCGACCTTATGTATGCGATACAGTCAGTTTCATGCACTCCGCTTTGGAGCAGAAGAAACGAATTCTCGTCGAGGGAGCAAATGCCATGATGTTGGATATCGACTTTGGTACGTTAGACCGCAGACCAGCAGGCCCCGTCGTACAGAAAATAATCTGATCTTTTTCGTCATTTTTAGGAACGTATCCATTTGTAACTTCCAGCAGCTGTTCGTCTGGCGGTGTGTCTGCGGGGCTTGGGATCCCCCCCAGAACGATTGGTACAATTATAGGTGTTGTGAAAGCATATACCACGAGGGTTGGACCAGGGGTCCTACCTACGGAACAGTTAAATGTAAGATGATCAATTTTCAATCTTCATGTAAGCCATCAGGGGCCGGTTGTATCAAGCCCGTTTAGCCTAAACGGTGGATAAGTCCAAAGTAGAAAGCAAGTCTGCCGTTTTATTCAACAAGCAAACTAAATGTTTTTGACCTTAATACAAAGATACTGTTTACAACTACATATTCAATGCATAATATTCAAGTTGACTCATTCAAGAGAGATGTAAGAGTGTTATTTAATTTTGACTTATCCACCGTTTAAGCTAAACGGGCTTGATACAACCGGCCCCTGTAGTGTAGGGACATATATACGATAAACTGTTTTTTCATCAACAGTGGAAATTGCTTTATAAGTACCTGAAATTGAATATCAGTTATATATTCATTGAAAAGACTGTGAATCCTTCAAGCGATCAAGTGTCTGGTTATATTTTTGTCATAGGAAATTGGCGACACTCTTCAAAGAGTTGGAAGAGAGTTTGGTGTTACGACTGGCAGACGAAGGAGATGCGGTTGGCTTGACCTGGTCGTTGTTAGATACACAAACATGATCAACGGCTACACGAGGTGAATACTAGTTCGCTAATGCAATATACTTATTTCACTTGTAAAGACCGGCTATGATTCGTAAATCACGCTCTTTTCTCTACACAGTTTAGCTGTAACTAAACTGGACATTCTTACGAATCTTGGTGATCTGAAAATCGCAATAAATTATACATATAAGGGAGAAACACTCTCGTCTTTTCCAGGTAAGATATATTTTATTAAAGGTACTTGGGTTTACTTTACTTTTTTTGTGAATACAACCTCGAACCCAGGGTCATGGCACACTGTGCCGTGTCTAGGCTTAGGGACTCTGGGTTCAAGATTTCTTTACTCGTTCAATCTTAGCATCTTTGGAAATTCAAAACGAAATGCAAGTTGAGTACATAACATTACCCGGATGGACGGAAGACATCGGAAATGTTCGGAAATTTGAAGATTTACCCGAAGCCGCACAAAACTATGTCAGAACCGTGGAAAAGTACACAGGCCTACCAGGTGGGTTTCAAATGTTCAAATGTTCAAAATTGAAAAAGTTAAGCTATTTAGGGTACTGGCACTGACTTGAGACAACACTGGATAGTGCACCTTTAATTTACAATGGGCACAAAAGTGGTAACCACTGGATATATTCTATACATATTTATTTAAACTGTGGGTAAATATATAAAATCATTTTCTTGTTGTTTTTAGTTGAATATGTTGGAGTTGGTCCAACACGCGACGCCATGATCAAATTATTTTAGAATTCCTCATTTATTCCGTTCTGTTCTGCCATTTTTAACTAGTTGAATGTCATATTGTCCAAGTAGTTAATTTCGTCCAACTTAGACAATAAGAGAGACACTAGATTGGTTACTAGATTAGATAGGTTTTTTCCTCATAAATATAAATTCTTTAACCACTTATTCTCTTGAACTGTTGGAAAATAATCTTTATTGACGAAGACGTCTGTTGTCGCGAAGCAGAAAGAATTCTCAGTATATATTATGAAGAACTTGACAGCATAGTTTTATGATGCTGCATCCCAGTGGTACTAATAGTTTTACGTTTTAATTGTATACTTCGGAGCTGTGAATTATTTTTTCTATATGTAGTTTGTATTATTTAATTTTTTTATAGAAATTGTTTGTGTAAATTTAGCTAGAAAATGTAAAAAAAATGCTTCACCTGTTTCACAGAATGAAAGAAAAGAGTGCTTTCGTTGAAGGGGCTAGAGACTTGCATGTGTGGGAGTCTGTTTCTAAGGTCGATTACTAACATAGATATGGGTCCAATACCTTAATTACTGGTGTTTTCTGGTTAAAGATATTGGCTGAGTGGAAATACTTCCTAATTGCAAGATATATTGCTCAGCTAGATTTCAAAACGGATTGCGAAGCAATATAGTCATTACTCAAATTTGGAAAGTGACGTGTTTTATTATTCGTGCCCAGTTTCTTCTGAACAATTTGTTTTTGGGTCAGCGGTAGGCCATGCTGAACGCATGCGTGTGTTTTCGTCCACGTAAATACAAAATTTAGTCAAAAATATTGAAATTCGTACGTTTTTCTTTATGATTTCTGTCGAACTATTGAAAATACCGAGAAGATGTAGAAAACGTTGAATTCCTGATATAACGGTGAGTCTACAGTTGATTTTTGATTAAGCATACAATGTTTTTAATGGATCATAAATCGTTGTCGTTTATAAATATGGCTGACTTGCCCTTGCTATGTTAAAAAAAACTCGTTATTTTAGTAATATTAGGTCAACGATTATGGTTTTGTATTCCAGTAATCTAATAACTTGGCGTTGTCGTTTATCGCTGAATGCTTGTTAAAGGAACAATGGATTCCGCAGAACATGTAATAGTCCACTATCTTAATTTGTAACTTGATTATAATAAACAACCTCTTTGCATACGGTACAAGCAGATTCGAAATTGAATTTATATTCAAATTTGTGGACAAAGCCCCTGATTGTCTGCTGGAAAACAGGGTAGCTCAAATTTTCAATTTGATTGCCTGTTCTGCAAACCAGTCTGTCACTAGATCAATTATCGGAAGCCATTGTTAAATATCCAATGAAATATCTTTAATATCTTATAGTTCATGATACAGTGATTCAAAAGGAGCGTCACTATGTCTTGGTTGGTTGATCTGGCCGGCAAGGCCGAATCTTTCCTGGATAATATTGATAAGAAAGCGGCCGATGTGGTGGGTTCGGACCCAGGCTCTAACAATGTAAATACAGCACCCGGTCATACGAAGGCATTGGAGGTTGAGAGAAATATTAGCAGGACTAATGACAACCCTTTGGCTGGAAGACCTTCTGGCAGCAATGTTTCTGCCACTAATAGTAAGTACTATGTTGATAAGTGCTTCATGTAAGTCTAACTACATGGCTGCTCAAGACTCATTTTGAAAAATTGAGAGGGGTGTCAGAGATGTGTGCTCCCCCAGGAAATTCACCCATGCCCTACCCTGGTATTAGATGATATTACCAGTATTCAGTATCATATAGGTGCTTTTTTTTCAGAAGTGCTTAATACCTGCCAGTGATTTGACCCAAATTCTAACCCGCTAATGATTGCCTCAATAATTTGCCACATTTTCTTGACAATAAAACGTTGTAGTCATAAATCGTTACGTAGGTCGGCCGTCTTCACCGAAACCTAAAACTAGTACCCAGGCTCCGAGGACATCAACACAGACGAGCAGCAATCGCAAGAACAATGACGACGAGCTGTTCGAGTTTCTCAACAAGGGCTCGGCTGACGCGGACAGGAAGAAAATTACGAGGCAATTACGATCGTCGTCGCCCGTTCAAACATCGTCGCCGAAGATGCCAAAACTTGAGAACGATGAAAATGAGCAGAAAAAGAGAGATTCAACTGCGTCAGGTGAATCATTTTAAACCCATTTGCAATCATATGTATTTCGAGGCCGTCTCGAGGTCGAGGTCGATCGTCTCTAGCTGCAGTGTAGAATTTCGTCTTTATTGTTTTCTCTGGGGGGAAATTTTCTCCATAGCTTAAAATATCGATTTTTCCCCGACAGGGTATTTTCCCGAGGGCGAAACCTCGTACCAGAGCGACGATTCGGTTGATGTTATTGACGCGAGTCCCGAGCAGAGTTCGGAGCGAATCGTCGCTACGAAACTACCCGAAGTTGAGACGCTCCAAACGATGGAAAGTAAAGCGGGTAGAGAGAATGTTGAACAGCCTGCCAGAGTATCGAATCTAGAGCTGGAGAACAAACTTTTACGCAAAGAAGTAGACTCCCTAAATGAAGAGTTGGTGTCGCTTCATCTTCGCTCGAAAGAGGCTCAAGAAAGTAAGATTTGTCGTTTTTTGTGGAATAAATGTTTTGCAATGGCAATTGCATCAGTCGTAGGTTGAACTGACCTTGCATGCTTCGGATCCATTAAAGTTTCACATCTTTTCTTGGTCTGCGTGAAAAATCGATTTGCCTTAATTCTAGGAATGTTTTGACGTATATTTCTAGGAGTTCTGAGCGCGGAAAGAGATTCCGAGAGGCTGAACGAACAATTAAAAAAAGAGGGAAAATTTATCCGAGAATTTCGTTCACGTGAGGATGATCTCCGTGAAACGCTGGGGGCGAAGGACTCACAACTGGCTGTTCTCAGAGTGAGAATTCAGGAAAGTGATCAGGAATTACGACAAACTAAGGAAAAACTGGAAAGATTTCAAAACGAGAATGAAAGGTGAATTCTGCTGCGAAAACTGATTCGGGTCGATTCAAATGAATGGACCTGAATTAAATAAATTTAAAACTAGGAATATTCATCGCTACAGCTCGAAAAAGCATCCTAAACTTAGTAAAAGTGGAAAGTTTGAAAAATATAGCCTTGCCAAGTTACAACAGAAGTTCAAATTGCGTCGTATTTGATATTATTATCGTACTTGTTTGCAAAATTCTATATTTTTAAGCTGGTAAAATAGTTTGTTAACTCAATGACAGCGAAAAAAACCAGTTCAAATAGTTGCCCCAACTATTATTATTGACATGTTTTTTTTTCCAATTAAAATCTGAAATTCAAAATTTCCCGCCAAACCTGAGCGTCTCTTGCTATTGGTTACCGACCGAGCAGGGGGGAAAGGACATCCACCCTAGTATTACATGGACATCGGGCATTTTGTCTAAGACTTTTATTACAATCTCCACAGAATACTCCGTGATCACTCCGACTCGAGCGGCATCCAAAATCAGGTCCTGGAAGATTTACGAACAAGACTACAGGAGGCTCAGTTAGCTTTGAAACATGAACAGGAATCCCACCAGCAATCCAGGGTACTCGTGTGCTAAACTATATTCCAAATATCGAAGCTATCACGTAACAAAGACTATACAGTTAAGAGTTTTTATTATTTAAAATAGTTATTTTAAATGTTTCTTCAACAAAATTTTAGACCGAAAGCTCTGAGCGTCAAAGCAAGTTCGAAAGCGAACAGCGATCTATGGCAGAAACTGTGAAGACTTTGCAGAAAAACATAGTAGAAGAGAAACGTATCTTTTGTTTGTCAATTTTTTACACAATTTTAACAAAAATACAAAACTCTTTCTCAGTCCTCCGCTTGCGCTCAAACCCAGGTGTGCGCGACCACTGAACTCTAAAGGCAACTGTATGCGTTTCCAGTTTCCTTAACTTTGGCTGATAATTCTATCAGGTAACGCAAATGACTGCACAAATAAGTTAAAGGCTTGCGAAAACAAATTGTCGAGCGCGAACCAGGAGTTCAGGGACTATAAAGAAAAGGCTGGTCGCATTTTGCAGGCCAAGGAGAAAGTCATAACAAGTTTGAAGGAGGGAAAAGCCATCGTGGGTGATAGTTCCGGGATCACAAGCGCCGAGTATGAGGCAGTTTGCCAGGAAAGAGATGTTGTTAGAGATGAATTGCATCAAGCCAAGTATAACATGGAACAACTGAAAGTTGACATTCAGGTGCAGTAAGATTGTGTGGAGGAATATCGCTTTCTTAAGTTCTGTTCACACGATCCAATTTTGTTGGATCCAATTCACTTCTGACGTATGAAATATAGTAGATTATTGATAAAGCAGTAGTGCTGCTCATATACATTACAAAACAATAGACTATAAAGCATCCATCAGAGGTGAATTGGATCCAGCAAAATTGGATAACAACACTGATGGTATGGATTTTGTTTCCACAGGAGTTGGAGCAGCAGTTGCAGTCCGAAAACGAGACAGCTCAGGAACAAACTGATCATTTACAATCCTTGTTGGACGAAGAGAAACGTTTAAAAGACGAAGCTAATCACGACGTCTTGAAAGCCCGCGAGGTTTGTACGCGTTGCTACAGATTATCAGTTGCTGTGTAAAAAAAAGAAAGAACACTTCTTTTCTCTCGCCATGTAAAACAACACAATTTCTATTCCTTCTTATCGTCTTCTTATACGTCTTCAGGAACTCCAAACTCTCAGCGATGATCACTACAGGCAGAAGACCACCCTCATAGCGCAGATACAGGTATTCAAAAACGCCTGACCATTGCCTCAGATCAACTTTCCTCAGCCCTGAACGACTCACAACAACTTTGAACTTGTTTAAATCTTGATGACGAAGGCTGACATAAACTCTGTTATCCTCCGCACTTCCTCAAAGCCTAATTTCTGACGCCAAGATTTTGTTTCGTTTGTGCGCTCTAGGAAAGAGATGGGGAAGTAGAGAAACTGAAGAGTCAGGTAAATAGAATCATTGAACATGTTTTTCGTTTCGACGTTTCATAAACCTATCATTTTACGTTTTCGCGTTTCGTTCTCGTTTTCAGTTGCTAGCCAAGTCTTACACAACGACAAGCGAAGCAGAACTGGAGAAAAGGGTCCGTGCTTTGACGGAAAATCTCATTCAAAAACAGACCGTCATCGAAGCACTGAGCACAGAAAAGAGCTCGCTGGTTTTACAATTGGAAAGATTAGAGGTACGAAAATGTTTCATTGTCCAGCGGCTTGTGGCTACATACGTTTAGTTTAGGAATTGATCTCTTAAACTCTCAGTAAACTATACACATCCCAACAGTGTGTGTCCCCTTTTAATCAGCCTGGATTCCCGCAGCAGGGGAGCGAGCGAAGGTAAGACCCTGGGTACAATTGAGCTAGATTCCTTGTGAGAGTTTCTGAGAAATTATTTAGTAATCTGGCCAAGATAACAAAAATATTAGATTGTCCATTACCTTCTCTCAGATGCAGTACAAAGATATCCAACGCTCGACTTCCCGGGTTTCTGTGCCAACAGCATTTGTGGAGAACGATGAAGGTATTCTTTTTTGAAAAAAGACGCGAAATTTCTTCAACTTTGCAGTAATTCAAATTACTTTTCCAGGCGGGAGAGTGCGCCCAATCACGTCAATAATGCCGTCACAAATCTCTGAGTCAGCAAAAGTTAACAAGGCCGTAAACGAGATTGATAAATTCAGGTGCGTCACTGCATGTGCGTGAATATCAGTTTGTAGGTAAATCTTTGTACATCGTTATGTTAACTTGTATTTTGGCTTACAGCATCCGTCTTGGTGTGTTTTTACGTCGTTATCCCATTGCAAGGCTCATGTTAATTGTGTATATGGTATGTTGAGGATTTCACTTTTTGCTTAGATTATAATATACCGCAAAGTTTCGTTTAATAACCTATTCCGGCTTTCTAACCAATGGAGGGACGTTGATGGATGTTAGGGATTATAGTGATGCTAAGGGATGTTGAGGAACTTTATAAGATGTTGACGAATGTATAGGGATATAAGTGGTTTTACGATGATGTTGAGGGATCCATAGGGATATGTAAGGTTGTTGATTGAATTATGGGATATGTAGGGATATGTATGTATGTACGAGTCTTCATTTTAGATCCTGCTACATTTATGGGTATTTATCGTCCTACTGACCTATCAACCTGAGGTTCACTCCAGTTCACCTGCTGGGCCAATGCCAAATAATCCGCACTCGAAATAACGATGGATGTATCCTTTATCCTAATGTATCCCTGATTCCAACCAGTGAATATTGTAGTCGCATAGATACCCCACAATTGAAGATTCTGGTGTGTCCGCAATACGATATTCAACGACAACATAATACAACGATCGTGCTCTACAATACAATGAACGTGCTTAAAAGAAACACGAGGGAACTTATTTCTCCTGTAAATAGAGTAATTCACACAATAGCCATATAAAAATAATCTCCATATTAACGAAATTCAAACAGGAAAACCTTTTTATTCAAGAGCTGAAGAGCACACCGGTTTTTCATCCTAATATTTTCCCGGAATAAGCTATAAGCTAGGCGAGCTCTCATGCACTAGCTCGCTATAAAGTATTTTATTGCAGAAACGCCGTTAAAGGTTTAAAATCTCTTTCACTGTGGTCGTGCACACAAACAAATGCCTTAGTAATACTGAATAATAAATATATACAAATTTAACAAATTCAAACAACGATAAAGTCGTTATTTCGCGTAAACAGGATTTTTTTAATATTGTTTATCGGTGAAAAAACGCGAATGAAAAAAAATTAATCAGAAAAACGTTTTCGTTTATTAAAAAAACAAGCCTCACTAATGAGTTCGACACTTCGCAATCTTATTTCAACACTTTTCTAATTTAAGATGACCAAATTTGTGCGAAATAACATTTGGTCCTTTGTGTCCTGTGTTACTGTACATTAGTGATAAGATTGTCCTCGGCCAATCAAAATGAGGCATTTTTATTAATGACGACGCAAATCTCTGTCGATTTCGTTGCCGGGATTCCAAAATATTTGGAGAAAATTTTTTATTTCCCTAATAAGTTTTGCAAACACAGTAGTTTGCTAAAGTCTGGTAAGATAATGCGATAATCTCCTTGTATAGTGCAAGTCGTTTACATCGTAGCGTTTCATCGCCGTCGTGTTTTCGTTTGCCATTTGATTGTTTACAAATAACAAAGTGAAATGTCTGTTCGAAATAAATTGAAGAGCGTGCTTATCGAAGCGACAACTGCCAGCAAGATACGACTGTAGTAATTACTTGGTTTACCTGAAGTAAAAACAAGCTTATGTGCAGGTTATCTGTTAAAAAAATACGCATTTAGATAAATAACCAATGGCAACAGATATAAATTAAAGTTTTAGCGAATTAGTCACACACACACTTGTCCATTCGAAGCGATTCTTATATGCAAATGTAAGCATTCTCATAAATAGTTGACGGCTGGTTCATCCTGGTGGGGATATCTTCAATTGATTTTAAGCAAGTAATGGTGGTTTATGACAAATAGCTGACATATTGCCATATCATGTTTGATCAGATAAGAAAGCATACGTCTTGACTCGCCGTGACTCGTCTTGACTTGTGCGATGCTAGCTTTCCATTTTGATAAATATTCGTGCACTTGAACACTCACGGTATAAATATTTTCATGTGATGCAAAGGATAGCTTATGAAAGAAATAATGATGCATACACGAGGCAAACAGATGCATGGCTAGATGTTTTTTTGCTTGAGTTTGTTGATGTTTCAGTTTGTTTCGCTGAAAGTAAAATTGAATATGAAAACGTAGAATTGAATGTGAAATCTTTTTCGTGCATGTAGACACACGTACGTTAAAAAAAGAATTGGCACTTATAAGCGCTGTTTCAAGCCGTGAAGTGTCAAGTAGATAAGTCGATATTGTAACAGTAGGGGGTGTTGAATTTGCCAACAGTTCGTAGTTTAATCCAGTTTGTTAACCGAAAACTCCCTTTACAATTTTCCCAAACTTTCTATTGGTAATCAAAATCTGATTCACTTACAAGTGGATATCTATATTAAATACATGCATTTCTAGGAATTCACAAGGTAGTGCAAATTAGACTAGAATTCCAGCAATTGGGTGCCTGGATTCCACTCATTGCTAAGCCCTCGATTGCCACGGCAATGTGATTAGGTTCACATAAAAAAGACAAGGACTGTCACATGAGGTTGACATCAAAAAACCACAGCATGTTTCCAAAATGCTAGCTTATTGTGAAAAGAATACCAATAGATTTGGAATAGTTTGCATTTTTAGAGATTCTGTAAGCTCATCGTTTGAGCTTTGCATTGGTAACTTCCAAATCTCACACAATTGGGAATACATTTTCAGGGATTTAAGATGGGGGGGGGTGAGGGGTGATTTGCTTTAGAAAAGCTTTACAGTGTGATATGGTGGGGAATGTTTGGTGCTTCATTTCGCTTTGCGCATTTCATTTTAAGGCGCGGCGCAAATGCGACCTTCAGCCAGGTCACGTGGATGGAGATGTTCAGCTGACATACCGGCTCATAAAGTTGCATGTTCCTATTTTTCGTGCGTGGTTGCCCTAATCAACACTAATATAATAAAATTCAGGAGTCTTCATTAACACCGGCTGCATTCAACATCTGCACTTGATCTTTGTTCTGCCTACGGAACAGTCAGCCTGTACCACAGACTCTGTACTGTTCTGAAAAGCTAGCATAGGTAAACGGGTCTACAAGTATCTAGCTCTTGGCCCATTAATGCAAGACCTTAATTTCATGATAAAATATTCAACCTGCAATATCGTGCAATACTGTAACTGACACTATATGCAACGTTCTCGTTTTAAATGATCACAGCACTAATTCTTGAACTCCATTTTCGGAATTCAATGTTGACCGAACTTGTGTCACGAGAGTTGAGAAAGGCAAAAGTTGTTTCTTCGAATATATGGTTAAAACCTGCATTTGGAAACCACAAGAATTTTTTTATTGATTATAGCTTTTCTCGACAGTGCTACCAGTAATCTTCTCAGAAGCAATATCCAAAATTATCGAGAATTTTCCCTCAGAGAGAATCAGAACAGTCTCAGAATAACAATGGGTATTTTCTTAGGCTAACCTAAAATAGTTTGGATTCCGGCGTGCTGGGCGTTGCCCAATCTGTTTGCTCGAAAGCTCAAAAGGTTTTTTCGCACAAGTTGGATAAATGTCCTTATGTTGTTAACAGTTCAGCCTTTAAAAACGATACAAATTCAGCGCATATTTTTTGCAAACTTTAGCGCACAGTCTCGCTGGACCTTTGTTCGTGCTAAATTGTTTACGCATCTATATCGCCAGTGTATGGTCACCTGTTAGAAAAGGCAGTCGATAAGGCGCTCGGACGTTCCTCATAGGCTTGCGGTGTCCGACTGTCCTTTCTCATAAGTCGCAGCCCTTGTCCGCTAAGTAGGCGGTTTTCGACATAAATCGTGTCAAACGCATATATATATACAACTAATAAAATATTAACATTCGCAACGCAAGGTAATGAAACATTCTTAGTTCATGATACGAATACAGCTATACAGTAATTTTTGCCTCTAGTTGACGGGTATTTTATTAATAAATCATCGCGGCATCCTTCTGAGATGAGCCGAGAGACGAATACAAGCAAGCAGTTGCAATGTAGTTCATCACAGATTATTTCTTGCCCTATAATATTTTCATTTGAATGTGAATATAGGATTGATGATAGCTTATCTGTTGTGCTTAATCCTATCTTAATGGCATTGGCCTCGCTACAGATAAGGAAATCTGGGGAATTGGGTTCGAATAGATGCCTTGGAGATGCCACAACACAGTGTCCGCCTTTTAAGATCATTCTGACAGACAGATGGCAAAACGTTATAAGCAATCTGCTGTAGCCTATATTTACCCGTTGGGAAAGGAATTTGCGACGTTTCAAAGCGACTCTTGCATTAAAACTGGCGTCCCTATGCGGAGGAATTATAGTATTCCACGTAAAGCCATAACTACGTTTTAGTCAGCTAACAGAAAATGTAGTTTTCATGTATTTACGCGCGCGCAAATTTCTCCCAGGGTCGATGGACCCCGGTGGCGGAAATCAATAAACCGATGAACGCTAATCGAAGCTCGCGAACACCCGTGGGGTCACAATATTTCTTAGCCCTTTTGAAATATTAAAATCGTAGCTGTTATCGCAAGCCTACATAATTTAAACGCTTCGTTTATGGGCCAGTAAGCATGGCAGAAATACTGTTTACCGAAGTCGGTCAGTCGGTGTTGTGATATTCGAGAGAGCAGGGTCAGGGATATAGCCGCAAAGCTTGTGTCACTAGGATACCTTTAGAAACATCTAGGCCCGCTTGCCTTTATTGCGAAGGTGATAAGGGGTCAAGCATTCACAATGGGCAACATCTTTAAGCATTACGTTGCTTTCTTTGACATATTCAATGAAACAATTAGGTCTTCCAAGCGAATTAATCGCTACAAATTCGAACAAGATTTGCGTACGCTTATTGAGACCGAAAGTTGTCGGTGAGTTACAGGGGTTACTGGCAAAATTCCCGTGCGCCTAAGCGATAGTTATTCGCAATGATTACATCTAATCTGCAAGAGCAGTGTTCTACGCGCGAATCGCGCTTGTTGTGATTCCACTCTCCGCTTGCGATAGGCCGAATCGCGTTTGTTATTTTATGTGGTAATTGCACGCTCTCTGCACGACGCATGCGCGTCGGTCTCGGGGGTTTGCATAAATGATTGTGGTTTAAATTGTATATTTACATTTGTCGAGAGAGCTTATATGTGGGCTGACTCGGTCACAACCAGCTGCAGTAAAGAAAGCTCCGCGACAATAAAGATTTATGGAACGACAGACATTCTAGTCTTAACCTGAATTGTAAATCGCCTGCCTCTTTCGATTTTAGCAGTTGACAGACGGAATAACACCTTACGTTATCTGTCAGAACATTTGAATTGATAATCATTTGTGTTGCAGTCATCTCGGCTGGCGTACACCGTTGTATTTCAGCTGCCACAAGAATATATAACCGCCTGCTCGCTAAAGAACGACAAACTATGGCATTTAAGTAGTATTCGAGTGTTACTTGTGCAAAGCAAAGTGTTTCAAAAAAGAGATATATTGTGTAATGGCAATTTGGCTACGTATTCTCTCCTGTTCAGCGCTATTACTGTTGTATAGTCAGGGAAGTCTAGCGGCCAACGATACGAACTCAGATGGCGGCTGTAGACTGAATACAAGATGCGAAGAAGGAATAGTTCTGCCGACTTGGGGAGATCCAGATGCCGATGTATCGACTGGAATAAGAGTCGCAAGAGCGTTTGTTTACTGTGTTGTACTTATGTATTTCTTCCTCGGCGTCTCAATCATCGCTGATCGCTTTATGGCAGCAATTGAAATAATTACGTCGAAAGAAAAAGACATCACAATTACGGATAAGAAAACAGGAAAACTACGCGTCGTTACGGTGAAGATATGGAACGAAACTGTCTCGAATTTAACACTGATGGCGCTTGGCTCTTCGGCTCCCGAGATATTGCTAACTGTCATTGAAGTCTGTGGGAAAAACTTCAATGCCGGGGAACTTGGACCTTCCACTATCGTAGGCTCAGCAGCGTTTAATTTATTCGTGATTATTGCAATCTGCGTGTATTCAATCCCGTGTGATGATCATAGGCAGATCAAGCATATTCAAGTGTTCGCAGTGACTGCTACATGCTCGCTGTTTGCATATATTTGGTTGTATATAATCGTCGCTGTCAGCTCTCCCAATATCGTAAGCGTCTGGGAAGGTCTGCTTACGTTTGCCTTCTTTCCTCTGTTAGTTATTATAGCTTGGGGCGCCGATCGTAAATTCAACTTCTACCGTTATCTTAGGAAGAGAGTTCGACGGCAAAAGCGGCAGGGAGTTGTAGTCGTACAGACCGGAGATTACGATGTCGTTGCAGTCAAAACAAAAGACGGTTATAGCCGGAATACAGAACTTGACGGAAAGTCTTACGACATGGAAAACGGCGACGTGAACGCGGACCTGGACGAGGAATCAGAGCTACTGAGCCATGATTTGACCGAGGAAAGGAAAATGAAAGCGATTCAAGTCGTTCGAGATATTCGGCAAAAGAATCCGAATGCAGACAAGGAGACGATCGATCGTATATTGGAGCAGGAAAACCTAAAAGCACAACCGAAAAGTCGTGCATTCTACCGGATCGAAGCGACGCGCAAAATGGTCGGCAGCGGCAGTGTTTTGAAGGCAAAGCACGAGAAATTAGAGCAGGCAGCCGCTCACTCGATTGCAGACGTCGATGTGGAGGTTAACGAACTCGAAGATCTCGAGAAACAGCATGTAACACACGTTTTTTTCGACCCACCGCATTACACATGTATTGAAAGTTGTGGGAACCTCTTGGTGACCGTAATACGCGCGGGAGGTGACGTGAACAATACCGTGTATGTTGATTTCAAGACAGAGGACGGTACCGCGAAATCTGGCGAGGATTATGAACGAACCGAGGGCACGTTGTGCTTCAAACCAGGCGAAACAGTGAAAACCATATCGGTGACGATAATCGATGACGATATTTTTGAAGAGGACGAACATTTTAACGTGCGTTTAAGCAACATTCGTCTCGCAGGGTCGGACGGAAAGCCGGAGAATTATGATGGCACAGCAGGGGTGCTGGGCCATAACTCAACAGCTGAGATTGTCATCCTTGACGATGATTACCCTGGAGTGTTCACCTTTCAGGAGCAGAGCAAGACCGTCCCCGAAGCCGATCGAATCGTGGTCCTCACCGTGGTCCGACAGCAAGGGGCGAGGGGGATTGTCAGGGTGCCGTACCACACCATGGAGGGAACAGCCAAAGGAGGTGGGGAGGCCTTCGAAGACGCTATTGGCGAAATGGAATTTGACAACGAGGAATACAGGTATTTAAAAACATTTTTCTGTTACATGGTACTATTACATTTGAATGCAAGAAAAATATTCAACCACAAATGAGCCGGTATTAATTTTCTCAGATTGGAAACTTACAAATCTGGATTCTGCTCGTTCGTTGAGAATAATCCTCGCGCTGAATTTCCCATGCAGCTAATAAATCACACTAGACGAACGCTTTTTTAATTCCCGTGATATATTTTTTTAAATTCTAACCATATTAATTGAGGTTAGAAAAGGGCGTGATGCAATTATAATATGTACGCCTCGCTAGCCGTGAAAATATTTTGTTTATTTACTATGCCTCTCAAACTATCACTTTCCAATCTAGAAAATAAGTCTTCGGTTTTTTAACTGTATTTAAATACATACATGTTCACATTCCTCATTATACTTGACTTGTTTACCTCCAAATGCAAATTTTGGGTCATGCGTTGGCGTCATTTCTATAGAAAAGATTTCTTTTGAAAAACGAATTATATTTTGTTCTTTAATATATAATGCTATTTAAAACATATTCAAGGGACTTGTGTTTGCTTGCCCCACAATTCTTTTATGCGTCCGAAATTTTTGACACGACGTTTGGCCGGATGTAGAAAAACATCTGTCGACCGTCGTTGTGCATTCAGTTTTGAGGGCAATAAAACGCTAAGAGTTGTTCGCTCGTTAGAGCATTCTGTACACGACTGAACGTGGTATGTGCCGACATTATATCTGTACAAAATCAAACTGTACAAGCCGCAACATTTCGCCGAACCGTTGAGTATGCGGTCAATTTAATTGCACGCATCATGCCAGCATTTTTTTATCGAAAATCATCATCCTGTCTCTCTTACTGATAAATAAATGTAAAGACTTATCGATGTTCTGTCATGCTGTTTTTTTTCCAAGAGAATTGACAAGCCATATCCGGTTAATCTTAAATGTTTGTGTGTCGTTTATCCGCATCGAAAGTTACCGGCCTTAAACCAAAGCGTTGTCGTTGAGAAATCAAAACAGTCATTTGAAATAACATCGATTTGGTGTCTAAATATCTCGAAGATTTTGTTGACAGTGCCTATGTATTAAACTTGAGAGTTATTTCGTAAAAAAATCGGTTGCCTGGGAATCATGACAGATGTGTATACGTGGAGGGAGTTTGGATATTTCCGATGATTACAAAATTCGATTCGTTAACGTCGGCTAAATGAGCTCACTTTTTGAAAAGAAACAACCTCAATAATTGATACGCTTCACACATATTTTGCTCTTAAAAACATCACGCCCATTTTCATCATCGCATGCTATCAATATTGTGTTTTCTGTTTTGACTTTTGGAGAATTAAATTGCGCGATTGTTTTTGATTTGTACAAATTGTGAATACGATTTTACACTTGGAGCACCGCTCATGTATATTTGGGTTAATTCCGACCGCTGTTTAATCAATTAGTTTACAGACAAAATAACGAAGAAATTCATTCCGTCTTTCAAAAATATTGATGCAAATTATTAATATATGATGGAGGAAATTCTAATAAGACCACACGCCCGAGCAAAGCGCTTTAATGACGAACATAAGCTCCGTAATGGCGGAAACAAATATTTTAGAGTCGCTTTTTTGTTGTACGAAAACATGTGTACTATATCCAAGTGCTAATGCAATTTATTTCGCGCAATCGATATTAAAATCAGTTCCCAAAGCAATTTTCACACTTTGATTGATGTTAAGTCGCTGTGAATTGACGCCAAATACAAGATGTTAATCACTGTCACTGACAGATTTCGTCTGAATAACATGCACGATGGTATAAAATCCTGCTTATAGGGAAAACAACTGGGAGAAACATCTGCAACGTATAACGTATATACATTGGCCATTGCAATGCTATTATTGTGCTCAATATTGACAGTTGACGCAACCGATAAACTGTCACTTTCTGCATTTCGCTATTTACCAGAATAATTCGGAACATTTGTTGCATTTCTTAATAATTCATTGTGCATGACTCCTACATATTTGCAGTGGACATTTAAATTTTCATTACAAAATATTGTTGTTGATGACAGTTGTTGACTGCTTTCGTGTCATCGCTCAATCGTTTACAATTCACTTTCATTTTTTTCAAATATACAATATTAAGTAAGCCATATATACTCTTTTAGTTTTTTATAGAAACAGAAAAATGCTTGCCAAGCCAAAATGTCTCATTTCAGAACAAAGCAAAGAGCCTTTTTGTAAGAAGTTGTCAGTTCCCCATTTTCGTGTTACCGTGCCGTTATTATTATTACTATTTATATTTTTCTGACTCCGAAATTGAACGCCAGTCTTGATATAGACAAGTCCGTTACATTCAGTTCGTTTCATAAGCCGAAAGAGGTTTTTGGGGGTATTTTTTAGTGAATATAGTTAAAATTTCGTACAGGGCGTAGCCTAGCCACTATGCCTACAAATACACTAGCCTTATATTGCATTCACGGCATGGAACTGCTGTTTATACTTGAGTAAAGCCGTTCTCTACTAGGTGAATTTCAGTTCGCGCGAACAGATAAAAAGTAGGAAGCGATCTACTTTATCGCGGCGAGTTTTTTTTCGCAAACCAATCACATCACTGGATTTCAGATATCGCTTCGCGTCGCGCGATATGAATTCGCCTAGTGGAAAACTGGGCTTTATGCATGGGTATAGTTCGCCTTGAGGCGTGTGGTTTTAGTAACTATCGCGGCCCACTGCTAAGCCAATATCTAATGCTAGCTTGCCAAACTTTTTCAAATGCGTCTGTGGCTTGGACAACTGAAAGTATTCCCAGGTGATTTTTCTCAATAGCATAGTGTACTTCCACTTAACGGATCAAAAACATTCCGTATTATTAATCTTTATGATTAATGAATGATATCTAAATCTGCGCTGAGGAAGATCTTGTTTTATGAAACCAAACAAGGTTTCCCGAGATAAAATTGGCCTGCGAAAACTTCGTTTATGTTCGGGCAAAACCACAATAGCAGTACAGCGTACAGACTGCAAATCCAATTTCAAGGGAGTGGCCTAAAAATTAATTTACTTTTTTGTACACCCTTAATGAGCAAAGCAATTTTTTCACATCCTTTCCTCGCTGCAGATTTCAATTAGTTTGTTTTGTTTAGGCTTATTTTGGGTGTATGTTTTTTCACAAATATAATTAAATTTACATGAATTTTTGAAATAGCCAGCTGAGCTCGGCATATGTGCAGATAGTGTGTTTTCAGTAAACATTGAAAAAAAGCCAGAAAATCTTTGTAATCTTTCTTCTTTTTTTCTTCCGAGGCTAAACTCTTGCGGTGACCACCTTGAACATCTTCTAAATATTTCAGAAGTGCACCGACCATTCTTTTCTCTCAAACCTACATTACGTTTCAGAATGTAACCAATTAGAATGCTAATGGCGATACCGTTTAAATTCGATCATTTACAACACAATTACTCTCTTATCGTGCAGCGGTTCTTTGCAAATTGTCAGTCGAAATGGACGTCATATTGTATGCAGCTGATCTATAAAAATCAATACATTTCAAATGACATGAAACGTGAACAGTTCTAAGAGATGCTGCGAATTGAATTCGCATACAAAATATGGATTTTGGCGATTATATTTCACCTGTGAATCTAAATTGACTTGAATATATCACGCCCCATGCATTAATGGCCGAGAGCCTTGATGAAGTTTATATTTGCGTTGGCCGAAAATGTTCCCCATTTTAATTTTTAATTTTTAAGTAAGAACAGCCAAGCAGTCTTAAACGTAAGTTGAGTCTTGTCAGGCCAACTTTTTGGGCGAGTTTTCACACAGGTTTCTTAATTAATGAGTTTGTTTTTGTTATCTTAAATGCTATTAACCGCATTAGGTTCACTTGAGTATACGGTTTAAAAATTCTATTAATCATTTCAAATATACGTCAATTTCTGCCATCGCATTTGCATCCAAGTGCTACAGCTAATGCTGTAATGCAAACCGTAAACTCTGTAAAAAGAGAACACTTTTTCTAATTTTGCCGTAGATTTATTTTATTTAATCCCACCTAGAAGTGGGGTTTTAATATATAGATCCAAACGCAGTAAATAAAGTGATAAAAATCTTGGAGATACAAGCAGCATGTAACTAGAACAAAACATTTTCAGTTGAAATCACGATAGCTATATATGCATACATGCATGGACTATGTTGGGTGAATATATTTTTTATTTCTACATTCACTACAACTACATTTGTTGTTGCTATATTCAGCCTTTTGTGTCCAACTACAACTATTTTAAATCCACATTTACGGGGGCAAAATAACAAAGTCAAAAATGAGCTATTTCATAGGTAAACAGTCGTCCTGTAGTGTCCCCTCTGTATATGGAGATGACTTTGTTTAAATGTCACCCAGTTGGTAGAATCTCGTGATTGAAGTGTCAGGACTTATTTAGTTTCATTATCTCCGGCACCGCTGGCCCGCCGTGAAGATGAAATATACGACAGTCGCATTCCACGTCAGGCTCCGAAAGCGACTGTAATTGCATACAATTTGATTTTAAATTGGGGGTGAAATTTAATTACTTGAGCTATAAATATTGGATGTACCGTGTGCTTCACAGCAGTCGAAGATTGTACCTTCACTGTCGTACACAGCATGAAAATTTCCAAGGTTTGGGGATCAAAGTGATTGTGAAACGGCAGAAACAATCGTTGTTAACTTGTACCCGTTGTTGTGCGATATTAAACACAACGTGAAATTAGGTAACAAACAACATTCCAAAATGTGTGATCCCGTGTTGTAATGTGACCTAAAATATCTGTTTTCTGATATCCTGTTCTTAAAATATGCAACGTACGTAGATAACCATGGACTATAGACGAAATGGAATTGAGATATTTTCTTCATAAACATTTGAAAGGAATTTGCATGTTAAGTGAATTGAAAAATGGTTTCAGGTTTCAACCAATTCCTGAAAGAAACGATTTTCGTTTAATCTTTAGTAAAGATATCCACATCGTGATTGTTGATGACGAAGATTATGAGAAGAAGGAAACATTTCAGGTTTCTCTTGGCCAGCCTTATGTGGTGACAGCTGATGGGGAGCAACCCCCTCCCTCACCCGGGGGAAACACCCCCGAAGAGGAGAGAATAAGAGAACTGGGGAAACCGAGATTGGGTGAGTGCATTGTCAGGCAATGAAGTTTGGTTTTACACTTTGTCGAATAACTTTGTTAAGAAGAAAAAATTTGGGGCCTTTTTTCTTTATTTCATTATTATGATGTAAATATTTCTTTAGAAGTCTCATGTCTAGCTTTTTAACACGGACTTCTATTGATTTCATCTCCAGTTGAAACTCGCTATGTTTTATGCATAAACACTTGTTTTTCTCCTGGCTATGGGCTATTCAATTCTATTTCTGAACCTCTCATTTTCTCTCCCAAGGTGATATCAAGACCGTCGAAGTCTCTATCACTGAAAGCAAAGAATTCAAAAACACCGTCGACCGACTTTTGGCGAAGGCCAATCTGGCGTTGGTCGTCGGAACGTCGTCGTGGCGCGAGCAGTTCTCCGACGCCTTTACGGTCGGCGGCGATGACGAAGACGATGACGACAGCGGGGAACCGTCCCCCCCGACGTACGGGGATTATCTGATGCATTATTTAACCTTATTCTGGAAGGTTCTTTTTGCCACGGTTCCGCCAACAGATATTTGGAGCGGTTGGGCATGTTTTGTCGTCTCTATTATTTGGATCGGTATCCTGACGATGTTTATCGGTGATCTGGCGTCTCATTTCGGTTGCACCATCGGATTGTCGGACAGTGTCGTCGCCATCTCGTTTGTGGCCCTGGGAACAAGCGTACCAGGTGAGCTGACCGTATGGTCTAAGAAACCTAGCCTTTGTAGTTTCACTTTGAAACAAGCTGCTCATTCATCTTTTTTTGCAGACACATTCGCCAGCAAGGTTGCGGCAGTTCAAGACGAGTACGCAGACTCCTCGATTGGTAACGTTACCGGAAGTAACTCAGTCAATGTCTTCTTGGGTGTCGGTCTCGCGTGGTCACTTGCGGCCATCGTCCACGCGATACGCGGGACGGAATTCGAGGTAGCCGCGGGCTCGCTCGGGTTTTCCGTGCTGATATTCTGCATTTTCGCCATCACGGCAATATTCGTGCTAATGTTGCGTCGTCACCCCGCGGTCGGTGGTGTCCTGGGCGGACCGATGAAGTACAAACTACCAACCACCATATTCCTTGTCTTTCTCTGGATAATGTACATCATTCTGTCCTCGCTTGAGGCCTACTGCCACTTCGAGGGCTTCTAAGCTCGAGGATTTGTACTTTGTAAACAGTTTTCGCAACGTGCCGTTGTATTTTTTGCAAGCAATATTTGTGCTCATCGTGTTGTAAAAACGTGTCATAATGCATCGTTTGATTCCAAATTTTCGATACGATTGACCTTAACACTTGCCATTTTAAAATCACTGATTAAATTCTTGCACGCACTAAGGACCTTAAATCTGAGCTGTACGGAGGAGTTAACTGAATGGACTAGACTGTGCCGGCTGGAGTCGAAACGGCTCGATTTGCGGTGAGGTCTTTGAAGCTGAAATAGACGTGGACTGTACTGAACTTTGATTGGTCGATATCGGGAGCAACAGGGAGAAGACTGGATCATGGGTTGCCGGTCTGCATTTGCACTGATGCAGCCGTTAGCCTGATTTCTGGATGCGTTGAGCGTTTGAAGATTTAGAGAAATATTTTCGATGAAGTGGGGTTATTTAAAAACGAAGAAACTGTGTACAAGAAGAAATGAGATGGAAAAAATAAAGCAGATTGCACGCAGTTGCTGAGATGTATAAATCTGGTTAACACAAAACGGACGAAGATAATATTTGCACGATGGAAACTGTTTTGGGAAATACAGTGCATTGGAAATACCGTCGAGTGAATCGCAAATTACCTTGTATTCGCAAATTACCTTTATATTTCTGGGCATCCTCGTCTGGGCATTTTCTGCATTAAGGTTAGGCGTGAAACTTAGGTCAAAAAAGGAAATATTGTCGCCCATCCGGCGACCCGCAAGATTTTAAAATACGCGGGCAGGAACTCTGAGTGGGTCTCTGTGTTCATCTTGTCATCGGCTTCCAAGAATCCCCATTTATATCGTTTACAATTAATTGGTTAATAAGGATGTCAACCACAGCACTTGACAGAGTAAAACACCACTTAATTTTGAACCGCATGATTGAGATATCTTTTTCGGGTTTCAAAACATAGAATTTAGTCCAAGGGAGACAAAACAAACAAATGATGCGGTCTCGTCTTATTTTCCAAGCACTGTGTTCCACAGAATCACGGTTTTGAACGCAATTAAAATGCCTGTATGAACAGAAATTCGATCGAATCTTCGACTGAAACAGATGTGATATATATTTAGTGAAAGACGAATATTTTATTGAACCGTTATTAGCTGCCAATGTATAGCAGAACAATTAGAAGTTAGTTATGTAGTACGAAATTATTAGCTCATTTAGGTAAGGTATAGTCCAGTAAATTAATTTTACACCAAAGTGATTTTATGTAGCTAGTTCTAATATTAATCTCAGTTATGTTGATGTGGTCTCTCGATTTGCTTTGGGGCAGAGCGCATGCTCTGGGGTATTGAAAGACAGGGTGTAACCCCGTACCCAGAGAGGTTGAAGGGCGTGGTGTCTAAGACAAATTTTCTATGCCAAGTTTTTCCTTGACAAGTTTAATTTACTCGTGTGAACGTGCCAACAATTTACTTTGGCAATTTAGTTTGCAGCCAGCGATGTAATCGTACAGCGGCAACGTTAGCGCGCCAATGAAGATTTTTTTTAAGCATAGTTAACTGTTATTAAACGCGAGCCGCTCTATATACATTAGCCCGATGATCGCAAGGAAAGTCCTGAGTCTGTAATCCACGCATGTTGTCTTTGAAAACACCTCTTGGCAAAAAGGGTGGAGCGTAGCCTAGATACTAGGCTTCTCTAGCGCGGCCATATCTCTCTCCAGTCTTCTTGAGTTAGTGAGAGATAGGTCTAAATTCTAGGCTGGTAGATCGGTATTTCTGGGTTGGGTGTCTGTTTTGCAGAACAGAATGTTGATTTTCAAAAATTTAATGAAGTCGGCAAGTTTAAAACAGATGTGGCGATGTTCTACACAAAACACAAAAAATAGCAATATGGGCTTCATTAGAAAGTAAATTGACAATCAATTCTTAGAATTACAACATTCTTAGATCGCGATTAGATTTATCACCAGTAAACTAGTTCATATGCCTAATGCTTTCTACACACAATCTGAAAAATTACCCTGCGACTTTTCTTTCGCGCGAAATAAAGAGAAGAAAAATGTCGGTTCGAACGAAAAAAATATCGCTGATGGAAACCCGACTTTTTATGTGATTGTACGTTGTTCATTTACAGTAGTTAGATTTCGTTTACAGTGGAGTTGACTCATCAATGCTTTAAAAGTAAAGGTTTATTTTTTAATGTTCAGGTTATTTCGGGTTCCTCGCTTATTCCTTTCTTTATTTTCAATAAAATTGTAGTCAGCCATTGATCAAGCCTTGAAATGCTGTCGTAATTCTTCACCTAAGTAGAAAGCAGTGGTAGAAAGTTAACATCGAGTTAATCACTGCTTAGTACCCAGGCAAAAGCGATGCGTGTGTAAACGGTTCTCTGGCACTATTCTCAAGTCCTTTCAAAAAAGGCGGGAAAAGATAAAATCGGTAAAAATTTCCTTACCGCTTCCGTAAATGCTTCCACATTTTCCTCTTCTTGAGCTTCAAGTAATGCCTTCAAAATAACATAAAAGTGTTTGTTTTTTGTGTGCAGAGGAAATCAGGAATCTGCCGACCTGATTCGCAAAGTCTGTAGTTCATTAATCCCATTACAGAAGCTTTTAAATATGCCGAATTACCAGACCATATGTCCGACTTTGCACGGTCATACAACCATCGAATTGAAGTATTAGATGCAGGAATTGTTGTACAAACGTACCCTGAGCAGTTTACATTCTCTGGTGTCTTGGAAAGCAGCGTACATGTCGCAGTATTTGTCCACAGCTCTCTGCCCTTCCAACATGTCAACACACATCTGACACAACGCCGCCTTGAAGAAATATTCCTTCGCACTGTATTTTAACAGTGAACTCTCGATGGCGTCGGCTGCGACCTGAGAAAGCATGGGGTGAAAAATATGAAATATCTGAGAATTTGAAGCTTGAAATGACAGAATACAATTTTATTCGGTGATTTATCGATTATTATGCTCGTGGCAAACGAAAACGCGATTTGTTTATATATATACTTGTTCGTAAATTTCAATGGCTTTTTCGAAGTTTTCCATCTGAGCAGAGTACTGCGCGACTTTCAGTGAACACTTGTTGGCAGAACTGCAAGAAAATATCGAAAGATGGAGCAACCACAGAGTTGTAAACCAAAGTTTGACCAGGGCAAGAAACTAAATTGCAGTCCATCGCGATAACAACAGTTTAACGGCGGTAAAAATAACAATTGGTTATTTTTTCTCGGGAAATATACAAATGTACACAAAATATGAAAACTTTGCCGGGCAATATTTTTTACGTTTTGAAAAATTTTTCGACCAAACTTTACAGTTGTGCTCATTCTTAGATGCTTTTTTTAGCTGTGATGTTGCATTTTGTCCCCCCCCCCTCCCGGGTAGTGTCGCAGCTCCTCGCAAGAATGATTTTCATTGGCTGAACTTTACAATACATTTCTGTTTCAACCAATAGCATAGCTTCGTTCTTTAGAAAGCATAGAAAAGCATTATCCAATTGGACGAAAGCTTCCGAGAGCTGCGACATGTCCCATTTTGTCCCTGGATCATTTTTTTTGCACAGATAAGACCATCCGTCATTTTTAATGAACAAACTAGTCTTGTGACTTGTATTTGAAACGGTAATTGAATAAAATTTGTTTTGGAGTTGAACTTGAGGTCTCATCGTAGGCATAGTTCACAATTCATTTCAAGAAGATAAGCATTACAGACGATGCTCTTTACCTATTCGATTCTTCTCCTCGATAAAAATCCGCCGCTTGTTCGTAATGAGCGATTGCCTATTGCAACGAATTAAAAGAAAATCGTTTCACAGGCAGAAAGGAAACTGTGTCGGCATCCACGTCGCGTAAAGAGTGTACCTTCTCTAAATCTATGACACTTCCTTCATAAATTTCGGCTATAGCCATGTGCTGTTTGGCGGCGATCGTGAAGCGACCCTGATAATCAGAAATTTTTACGAATTCAGGATTAAAAAAAGCGCATGTGTTTTTGAATAAGAATTGTTTGGGAAATGGCAAAACAAACGTGCAGAAAATATTCCTGTGGTTAAAAGGCCTTAACAAAACGCAAACGCTGGACTGACCATATCCGTATAAATTTCTATTCCTTGTTGTAAACAGCTGATTGCTTCTATAAAGTGCAGAAGATTGAAAATTGTTGGGAAAATATTATTTTCAGTGCTTTATGGGGTAAATGTGTGAAATTGAAAATGTTTGCAAGCAAGTGGAGTTTGTCTTTCTAATCCCTGCTGGACTGCAAATGCAGAATGGTTGAATTCAAGAACTTTTTCATACCATCGTTATCAGATTTCTTATAACAGTTAGCAGCATCAATGTACTGAGTGGCTGCCTCATGCTTGTTCGCTAGAAAGTTGAGTTGGATTTGTGCTGCCTGGCAGAATGCATTCCCGGCACCTGAGAAAAAAAATGGGCGAAGAATGGAAAAGAGAGCAAGGAAAATGATTCATTTCAGACTGTTTTCTGAAACTACAGAATCTTTGAAACAGGGAGAAAGAAAGGCTATCTCTTCCTGAAGAAAAGGTACAGGTATAGTTGTTGGTAGATTCTTTGTTGTAACAGGAGGGACTATGGAGGACATCTCACCACTCCAGTTCTTGGCCAGTTTGTATGTGTTTGCAGCTCGGACATAGAGGTCAGCTGCCTCTTCTTTCTTCGTTCCACCTCTAGATCAACATAATCACAAATGACAATTGATTTGGTAATACTATTATAGAAATATATGAAGATCGTGGTTGGTTAGAGGAGAGTTATAATAACATAAATATAAGATCAAAACCAGAATGCTGCAGAAAAAGCAACTCCAGGGGTCAAACATACCCCTCTCGATTCCTGGTTCACTCACTACTCTTTTGACCCTTTCAATATCCCCACAATTGCCACAATAAACAATTAAATCATTTCCACATATATTTCATATTTGTGTTGTATTTGTGTAGAACTCTTATGTTTAGATGGTATATTACTACTAATACTTGAAATTATGTGTACAAAATATCATTCACTGCGACAAATCGCTGCGTGTACATGATAATTGGCGTGACAATAGATTTGAAAGTTGGAACGAACGACAAAAACAACTGACTTTGAAAGAAAAACAAGACAAACTAACCCAAAAAATCCGCCTAGAAAACCCTGAGAAGACTTCAGTTTTCTGTCTGCCTCGGCCATAAGCTCCGCGGCTTTCGCTTCGTGAGACATCTTTAGATTTTTTTACTTTCAGAACGCGTCTAAGCAAGTCAAAATGAAGGCAACTTTTCTCATTTATATCCGTCGGCCATATTTGTCTTTATCTATGCGTCATTCGTGCCGGTTATTTTTAGGGTGTGGCAGGTGGCGCGCAGGCTAATTATGAGAAAAATTCAGAAAATTCCTCTAATTTTTTAAAGCGAATGCATATGTAGTTTTATAACGAAAGTGATCTTATTGCTGTAAGATATATTATATTTTCGACCAATTTCCGTCTTTTTAAAACCAATTCTTCTTCCCCGAATTTAACAAATTTAGGGATGGAAGGGTACGCTTGGGTACACAAACAAAGGAATGCATTTGGGACGTTCATATACAACGGTGGATAATTTTTTAAATATTTTTGGCGGGAACCGCGGGATTACGCGGGAGATCGAGAGAACGAGTTTTCTAAGTCATAAATTTCGACAATTTGCGAACAAAATGGGGGTAAATATACTTAAAATATCTGTTTATATCATACTTTAGGCAACGATAGTTTGATTCATGAACACAGAATGTCAGGACATTAAAAATAGGGACAAATTTTACCTTTGATAGGCTGTATTTTGGCATAAAAGATTCTATGATATATTCTGTGATGTTTCAAAGCTCTGTAGAGTTGTATGGTTACTTTAGGTGTTTAATTTTGTATTTTTAATGATTAGAAAAAGTCTGGTAAAGGAAAAGAGAAGAAACTAAGAAGAAAAGAGGTGTTGTGTGTCATTTTTTTAATTCAAAATAGCCAAGTCGACGAATGTGCTGTTCAATATTTTTATCATAAACGCAATATTTATAGGAACAAGCAAAGATCACTGCTGCTCAATCGATTGTGGATGTTGCCAATGCTGTAAGACTTTAATACTTAGAATACTACAATACTACATCCCATTCACTGTACAATTTTTCAACAAATTCTTATGCCCTATGTCAGTATGTCTTGCTATAATTGGGAGTTAGAAGTAGGGAAACTGGTCTATACCATTTTGATGCTACCATTATTAAACTGGTAAACATAGTTACTACCTACTAATTAGTAGACATTCATAGTAGTATTTGTGCATATTGCTGCGTAATTCTCATGGCAAATGCTTTTAATCTCCTCCAGGTTGATGACCTCATGAAGCCGCTTGCCCCATTCACAAAATACGACAGAAACGGGTAAAATATCTTTTACTGCATGGACAATAAAGCAAGACATCTCCTGTACTGACGGCAGAATATTTGTCTTTCAGACTAAGTGTAACCATCGGATGCAAACGAGTATCGGAGTTGAGCCAAGATGAATTTAATTGGGCGTTTGATCTGACTAAGGACAACATGCAGACATTGTGAGTTCAGTTGAAGAAGAGGCAGTGATTGATTTGTTGTTAAAGCTTTGTGGAGCCGTATTAAAGCTAATTTACGCCATCATGCAGGTACGATTCTACTTCGTGGGGCTGGAGTGACAAGAAGAAGAGGGAGGAGATGAGTGAAGATACAGCGTGGTAACAATGAATTATGAAATCTTTGCTGAAGCTGGATTTTCTCCATTTTTTACAGTTTTCTCCTTTGTTATTTTCTATTCTTGAAAGGTATCTTATTGCAAAAGACGAAAGTGGCAAAGCAGTTGGTCTTTCCCATTTCAGATTTGATCTGGACAACGATATAGAAGTACTTTACTGGTGAATAAATTATACAAATTATGATTCCAAGTATGATTCCAAGCTAGTGCATAATGCTGTAACTGTTCCCGAGAAACACGAAAAAATTATGTAATTGAGGCTAGCCATCCATACACAATGAACAAATGATTGTGTTATATTTTGCTAGTTATGAAATACAACTGGACAAAACTGTCAGAAATAAAGGTCTGGGGAAATTCATAATGCAAATTCTTCAACTTCTTGCGCACAGGTAACAATGGATACACAAGGATTGATGAGTTTATAAAAATAGGTACATCATGTGCACACATGGATTCCTAAGTGGTGGTGGGAAGGTTTAGTTGGTGAGCAGTTTAGTGCTTTTGGGGTGAAATTTTATAGTATTTTTATATTGAATCATATTTTTGCTACTTTAGATATCTTATGCAAAAAGTTATGGTCACTGTTTTTAAAGGTATCTCTTAAAACAGATATATAAAATTCCCATTTCCTTGACATGGAAGATTGAAAATTTTTTACACTGTCTAACTTGAAATTTACACTCTTTAACACAGATAATGAAAAAGCAATGGATTTTTTCACAAAGCTTTTAAAGTATGCCCACAATCTAAATTGTTGTTTATTGGTTTGTATAATTTCTACTGTATTCCTTGCTAATCATTGATATCATTTTCTATACAGGTTTGAAAAAGATGAAACCTCACCCAGCATTTATGATCCCTTCCATCCAGAAGATTATTGCTATGAAATTTTGAGTCGACCAGTCATGAAAACTGGATCTTAATTCTTTAAAAAAAAATTGTTAAATCCAGTTCCATGAACTTCTGGAATAATGTGTATACTCAATGCAAATACCATCAGGGCTTGTATCTTTGGAAACAGAATTTTTCAAGATTGGCAGTTCATCCTTTTCAAGAATAATTTGGTGGGTCGGGTGCCATCCAGACTACACTTCAAGAATATAACCAATATTTGACGCAAACTTTGTTGTGTAAAGACTAAAAACAAGTTGAAAATCATCACCGCTGGCAGTATTGAGCTGATGAAAAACTTCCATTGTGAACAGTTTTAATTTTGATAGAAGAATTTTTTTGCTGAAGCTGAGAGGCTGAAGAAGAGAGGCTGAAAAAGAGAAGCTGAAGAGAAATTTGAAATCCGTGACCCATGCACCACTGAAACAGCAATCCTTTTGAAAGCTTTCAACCAAAGCTTAGAGGTTTTAAAACGTGTTTTTGTATATACACAATCTACTGTACAATACCTCTGATAGCTAGTTTTATTTATCACATCAATAAATTTCATTTTGAAGAGATTTCATCATTTTAATGTTGTTTATCTTAGACTCACTGCAAAAACACTCAAAAGAACGCAACAAGAATTCCAAACATATTCTAAATATGAATTCAGATTTTACCATCAAGCCGGGGGCAAAAAATAAATAAACACGACAAAGACGACATAGTGTTGTAGTAATAATAATAATAATCTTATAATAATAATAATAATTGTGCTTTCAAATATAATGTCAAATTGGATTTGACAGGTAGGTTAATACAATAGGAACATAAATACCTAAATAATTATATTTCCTAGAACTTTGACGTCCTCTGCAAGCAACTCTTGTTTATTCGTCAGTTGTGAACAGGAATTAAAAGATTTTTTAGGCACATAAAATCGTTAAAGAACACACTAGAGTTTAATACTTGCAGAGAAGGTCACAAATAGGTAGGCCGTTTTTATCACTGTGTACCGAGTAACCTCTCAGTTTTACTCCATTTTTTAAACTGATTTCTTTGACATTTTTCGGGGGGTTTTTTGGGATGGGAAAGATGGCTTCAATAACGTCGAAATAGTTTAAAATAAAAGACCTTGGGCTTGGAAGTGCTTCGCCACACTGTTTTTGGTCCTAAAATTCGATAAATTTTGCCTACAGCTGGTTTCCCTTCATTGGATTTCAATTCAATATTTCAAATCATTAAATGTTTGAGAATTCAGACTAGTGTGACGCAAAAAGTGCCGAAAACGTACATCCGAAATAAACGATCCTGATTGGCCAATTCTGTTACTAACTATAGTAATTTAGTATACACCCGACTATCGTCTATTACAAATCCTACATTCTGATTGGCTACTCAACCATCGTCTATTCGTGATAGTGCACGTTTGGGAAAAATTCGCTCGCGCGACCGTATAAAATTGAATTAATTAAATTATTTTTCAGTGTAATTGCGGTGTATCGATTATTTCCTCGAAATTAATATATCTAGGTACAGTGTGTATACTAAAACAATTAGACAACTCGCCTTCGTTGCCTATGAGCGGATAGTCAACTCAGGCTTCGCCTTCGTTGACTATTCGCTCATAGACAACTCGGACTCGTTGTCTAATTGTTAAATAGTTAACCTGGCCTCATCGCGAAAAAAAATAAATATGCGGCGCGCAGTGCGAAGATAGGGCGCTGGGTACGACAATATCTCGTTCCCAGGGCCTGCGATCGCGGTCTCGGGAAACGAGATTGGCCTATGTACAATTATGGGGAAGGGTAAGGCTTATCCTTGTCCTCCTCATTGATCAAATGATATCCTTGAGAGTCCCTGGACTCGTTCGTGTTCTCGTGTTCCCGCGCTCCTCGCAATGGCTTTAATTCCGTGTCATCTTCGGCATCGTCTAACATTGGTTTGTGACAGGAGAACAGCATGCCCGGATGATCCTCGGGAACCTTCGCGCACATCTCGAGTATCAGTACGACGAACGACAAGCCGACGAGGAAGTAAAGCACGCATAATATCTTGTACAGATTTCTGTACTTGCTTCCGAGCCAAACCTCGCTGTCACCCGGAGTGTAGTCGCCAAGTCCGATCGTTGTTAGCGTGATAAAGCAGAAATACAGCGATTCGAAGTAGCCCCATTTCTCCACCAGCGTGAAAAACAGCGCCGGCAGTAGAATGATCAGCGTGACTATTACGATCACAATGAGCGAGACGTTGACCGCGCGGATGAAGCTCTTAGGAAGATTGGGTTGAGTGAAGTAATGACGTGACATAAAACCTTCCAGAGCTTCAGCGCTACCTAACATACGTTCCACGATTGCTGTTAGTAAAATTGCCGTCATGGGGATGCCAAACAACGCGAATACAATGGTGAATATTTTTCCTTTATCTGATAGTGGTGCGATATCGCCATAACCTGGAAAAATTAGGAAATATTAATCTTGAGTGTAAATTGTCCAATCAGATGGCTTGAATCATATACCCCGTGATCGGTCAATTCAATGTGGTCAGGTATAGACTTTTCGCATGGGAATTCGATAATAGTTACACCTCCTCTCTGTTCCAGGAGATATCATCTCTTGATATTTCCTATTTCACCGAATTTCCTATCGTTGCAGAATGCAGATCTATTAATAAGTATGGCACCATCGATCAGATGATCAATGCATCATACGCTTGAATCATCATTTCTCTTAGTGGCTGGACACCCCGACCTCCCCCATTCCCACATACCCCATTCCCCCTTCCCCCCCCCTTCACTTAACGTGGGCGCCTTGGATACACCTCCATTCATGATAATCCTATTCTGTTATGGATGTAGCAGCTGATTTTGTGCGTAAATTGTGGGAAGAGGCATCTGCTATGATTTTCTAGATTAGAACACCTTCGGAACAGCGTACAATCTTGACGCATCCGGCGTAAAATGAGCAATATAAGATGTAGGAGATACGTATGGAATCGTGCCTTTTTGAACATTATTATGAAGACAGTTTCCAGAAAAAAGGTTTTCTACCTTCTTTTGACATGTCTCGCTCAAAATATCCTGGTAAATTCAAAAACCGGTGTTAAATTCTTTGTATTAAAGCAACAAAGTTAGATATTTGAATTCTTTATATGATCAAAATATCAAATTTAACCTAAATAATGATTCATTGATTATACGAGCCAAACTAGGCAGAACTGACAACTTTGACCTAGCTGGGTACAACTAACAAATCTCACATGAAGTTGATGTTACCGTTTTTGTCAAGTGAAGTTTATTTTGTTCTGCCTCTTGAACACAACAGTCGCGTCTATAAAGCACTCGCGTCTGATGTGTATAATACTCTTGTTGGAGACTGTCGAGTCTAAGGCTAAAATACTATGTTAAATCTTTGTAATGTGTTTCTAGTGGGGTCCAAGGTCTGGTAAAGATTACGGGGTGCTTCAATGCAAAGATGAGGCTAAGAAATCCACGATTACATGGAAATGATGAAATATTGGCTCGTTCCAGTTCACTAGCACTTATGAGACCATGCATCATATTTTTCCTCTTTTTCAAAACATTTTACATCTTTCGCACTTGCCGAGAAATTTAAATGGAAGCTGATGTGTTTTGTCAAAAGATGCCTTCCTGATGTGATAATTATGATCGACCATCGCTCGAGAGGTTTTTGAAATCAGAATAACTCGGCATAACACCTGCAATTATACCGTTTATCAGCTCGCTTCTATAAAGAAAAGATGCTTTCTCAATTACATGCAAATGAATTCGGCGCTGATTTGTTCCAAATCACTGGTAGACCGTAATCTTTTTCCTTTGCCTTTGTCTATTCATATCACAAATATTATCCGGAGAAAATCTAACGTGGATGGCATAGGGGATTCGTGACCATTGGTTGAATCACTGGTTGAATCAAATAACATGCATATAAAAGGAATTCAAATCTAAGATCTTTATTCTCTTGCCAAGACTTCCCTGTAACATGCTATGTAAGAATGTAGACAAATCATTTGAGATGTAAATATTCAAGAAAGCGCACAGAATCCTACATACACGATCTTACAAGCAGCTCCTTTGAATCAATATAGACCTACAGTCATTAAGCTACGGTTACTATAGGAAACAAAATTGCCAAAAGTTGAAACAGAGTAATTTCACACTTATACACATAAATATTTTATGCCAAAAAGCATTTTTTGTTCTTTTAGTCTCTAATCTTTCAATATCTATAAATGGATTGAATGTGAGAGCTTTCTTATAGCGCCAGCTTTGTTAAACGTAAACGAACGGCTTTTACGAATGTTTAACGTGTCAGCACAACCAAATCTTTTGCAAAATGTATTAGCGATGAATCTATTATAATTTTTAATTTCCTATACAAATAATTGAAGGAAAGGACACTAATAAAACTTTAATTTCCTTTTTTTAAAAAATGCTGAGCCGTTCAAGCCCTTTTCAGTAAATAAACGCGGCAGATGAAAGCCGACACCAATTCAACGATTCTTTCATGAAAGCCTTCTCCTACCATAGGCATAGTCTGATAAAACGGAAGATAAAGACTCAAAGAGCTATTTCGCCATCAACATGAACCATAATAACTATGCATGAACCAAGCCGGCAAATTAATGAATGAATATATGTCAGTTTTCTTTCGCTAATAATGAACAATATTGAAAGGCATTTCAAAACTTCGTGAAACGCCATATAGATATGTATAGATATATATATGATAACCTGGGTACTTAGAGTTTATATTGCAGTCAAAAGTCATGAAAACGTCAAATTATTTATATATAACTTTTATATGCGAGGCAACGATCTTTTAAGTGTGAAGATAGCACTGTGCCGTGAATACGTGCATATGTAATCAATTTTTGTCATCTTTCAAGCCGCTGAAAATGGCCATATATACTTAGACAGGGGAGTTTAGTTTTTGACAACAGGAGTATATATCTTATATTTATAAATGGCGAAATTGATTTATGCAAATACATGATTGAAAGTGATCAAAATGTGATGTTTACTTTGTGTTCACGGGTGAAATTAGGACAGGCATTTTTTAAGCAAACCATGCATTTTCTAAACTAACAGCAAAGCCACATGCTGAAATATCCGAGTATAATGCTCGCTGCAGGCGTCCTCTGTCTGAGATATAAAAATAAACTGAGATGAACTGCATTAAAAAACCGTGATCTTCGTTCCGCGGAGTTTGGGAGAAATCCCTTGCGTTGACACAAGCTGTGTATTTTGAAAACGTCGAAAATCATGCCACAAGTGTTGTACGAAAGAAACGTCAGGGCTCAACAGCCATTTTGGGTGACAGACGTCGGTTTGAGACAGGGTTTTTGTTAGTCAATTTGATCTTCGGACAAACATTTATAGCCATCACTTGTTTCATATAGCCTAGCATCGCTGGAATGCCGGAACGCTTCACTTGACTCGAACTAGCAAAAAAGAGACTTCATATCGATTCCAAAACTATTATTATTAATCTTAACAAAGGCAGAGCATTGTACAAAATTTGCATGTTATTATATATGAGTATCTTACAATATTGTATCAGCAATATAATGATACAAAAACAAAAAATAGCCAAAGCTCGATATAAATTTCATCTCTCGATTTTCAGAGTGTCATATTTAGTGTAGTGGTGCTGTGCTATGTATCAAAAAATCAGAGAATTATAACTTCTATCTAAGTTCTGCATCGCTTCGCTCGGCTAAGATTACGACCATTATTCGTGATCAAACTTAGCAAGTGCTTTAACGGCGACAAATTGTTTATTCTGATGTGTTTTAGGGTAAGATGGATAAGGAAATATATCGTTTGATCTTTTAGGGGGTGCCCAGGTCAAATGACTCAGGCTTACACATTGTGTACATGCTATTTTATAAGGCGGAATTCAATGCATGAGTATGAACTCATGCAGTAGGTCGGATATAGTTGATTGGTTTCACTAAAATTCGCACAGTTAGGAACGTTATTGTGGAGAAGATATTTGTGTGATTTTGAGCCAGTTCAGTTTAGTAAATGAGGACAATCCTAGCTTAACGAATAACGGTCCCCAAGTCACTAACATAAAACGGATACTTGTCGATGATTGACTTTGACTGAAGCTTTATAATGTCACACAACTTGATTGCAACGGAATCAATCGTATATGCATATTCCTAATACTATTAGCAATGGTAACGCTTAGCTTCTCTAACTCACAAAGCCACGCTAAATGGCAATGTTTTGTCGCTTGAACTGTTGATTAGGATCAAGGCAGAATTCAGAGCTTAGGTCCAATTTAAATTATCATCAAACGCCTATATATATTTATCACACAACTGATATTTTGTCATACATTTCAGTCGCTATTCTTTTCATTCTTTGCAATTTCATTCCGAACAAATCGCACCTTAAACCATAATGGATTTCTAATAAGTCAGCAGTGAGTAAAAGAAGCGGAAAAAACCGTAAAATATTTAGCCGTAACAGCTGTCACGTTTGGGAACAAACAATAACTAATCCTTACCGATTGTTGTAACCAGTGTTCCTGAATACAAGAAGGCACTAGCGAAATTCCAATTCGGAAACGTTGTAACATTTCGTATCGGTTCAATGCCATGTTTCGTGGCTTTGATAACCCTCAGCACGTATTTCTCTAACTCCGCGTCGTTCACGCATCGATTTTCGTCAAGAAATTGCGCTCTAAGCTCCTTCAGTTTATCCAATTCTGCTTGCTCTACCGGTGCTTCTAACGTCGCGAAGATTAAAGATCCCATGCACAAATAAAACACGTATACAAGTGTGTAGATAAATAGCCGTATTGTTCCTTTCTCGATTGCCATTGAAAATCCTCCAGACAGCGTTGTTCTGTTACCAACTATGGCCGTTGAACGAAAGGAAACATCGAGTATCGATCTCAAAAGCGGAGACGTTGTAATGAACGTTTGCTGATATGCATACGTTAGAGGTTATGCAAATCACTTCATCGTAACTATGATATGTTTATGAAAGGTCTTATATTACGAAGCGTAGGTGGTAGAATATCATCTGCCCGGATATGATTCTGCATCGAGAATTTGTTTAGAAAATCATTCATTGGCGCAATTAGGTTTAACGAACGAAAAACTGAAACTGTACTGGCTATATTTTGTTTGAACTGAAGATCATGTACCTGTGGGCTGTTATTTGCCGTAAAGGATTACGAAAACCCGTGTCAAAATGATAAAGTATTTTAATGGATTTTCTTTGGGTTGTTAACTTTGTGTACACATAAAGTGACACTGGAGTCCTACGGTTGAAGACCCTCATTTAGGGCGGGGCCTGACTGTTGGGAGTTGTCTTGATGGGGGCTTCAAGGGGTTGGAAACAAAATCCATGTGATGATTAAATTGAATTGGACAAATTATCCGGTATGCAATGCAACTACAATAGCTCAGCCGGGGACAGTTAAGTATAAACGTGAGTAAGAAAAGAAGTAAAGTACAACATTCTTTTTAAAACATCTTTCCTCCACACGAGGTGACGTCATGTTGTTTTCGAACGTCATGCGCGAAAGAAAGAGTGGTGACGAAACTATGAAAATTCAAAATGGCCGCTTCTTCGTGGGTTTGGGAAGAAGACGGTATTATGGATATCCAGACACAACCTGTGTCTTTAACGTATTGTTCAAACCTGAACTGTATCATCCTTACCCGGACCGACAATACTATCGACATAATCGACGTGAATTCTGGGGACATAGTGAGGAAAACTGTTGTTTTAAGTAAGTTTTAGGCAGTGGTTACAAATTCTTGTTCTTTCATTTATGATTTTGTGGTCACACAATCGTCGTAGCAACGGGATGTATCGCGGAGATTTGAGATTTGCTTAAAAGCAGCACGAAGTGTATACTGTAGTGTGCGTCGTTTTCGAGATATTTGAGATATTTATAGGCAAAAAATATGTTGCATAATCCAGGAATGTAAATAATTCGGATTTTTTAACTTCGAATAAAAACTAATAAACAATTTAGAGCATTCATCCTGTATGACTCTTGTACAACTTTGAATTGTTTCAAGGCAAATCACCTCTGGGTACATGATCTGTACTTTTTTAATTGGATTGGAGTCAAATTACATGATTTCTCATCCATGACATATGAAGTTTATGATATGAAAAAAATTCGCTAGTATCCCTTTAATACTATAATTTCCTTTTATGCATGTCTCAAGATTCAACCACTTTTTAGATTTACAACTTTTTTTAGATATCTGCTTTGAAATTTTAATTCCAAAGATGTATAATTTGAGTACAGCTTAGCTTGAATAATGAATGAATGGATCATATTTCATCCATTTTGGTATATTTTGCATAAATATGTCATTTTGTTTACAAGCCCTCTTCTTTAAACATTTTTAACTGATTTCCATCAGCTGATTGAATGGCAACGCTTCCTAATGTTGGTCTCCATTGGGATGGCAAGGATTTTATTTGTCAATAGAATCAGGCATAAAGTTACATTAGTAATTAAAAAACTACATCATATACAGTGTCTAATGGCAGGAATTTCCAACCTCAAGTAGTTTTCAACTCTAGCTAATGCCAGATGATCTTACATGAATAATAAAGTTCTGGATCCTTAGACTTTGATAGAAGTCCTGAAGTATTCTGAGTTCATTTCACATTTAATTATTTACAAACAATGGATATTTATTTCAGGCGAGAATAATCCTGGCAGTCTACAATGTGTGTTCAACCCTGTGGCTGGCAACCTTGTCGTTACTGATGGCAACTCTATCGGATTAAGAAAAGATTTAAATGGCATTTACCTGCTCAAGACTGCCTTGCAGCCCCCCGTGGAAAATGCAAGAGATGGCGAGATTGTTGTAGAAATGACACTACCTGATGTAAGATAAATTGAATGTCTTGTTGACGTTTCAGTGTTACAGATATGAAACCATTTCAGTTGTAAACACTAGGGTCTTGTAAGGATCATGATCCAGTGTACTACAGAAGGAATCTTAAACTAAACTAATTTATTTATTCTGGATAGCTCTATCAGTTCTAAACTGTTCTTCCTAGAGGTCCAGTAGGATAATCTCTTATTGATCCAGTGTTACCACAGGAGGAAATCTAAACTAAACTAACTTTATTTATTCTGGATAGCTCTATCAGTTCTAAACTGTTCTTCCTAGAGGTCCTGTAAGGATCATCTCTTATTGATCCAGTGGCCTATCTTCATTTATATTGGATAGCTTTAACTATCAGTTCTAACTTTTTTTCTAGAGGTCCAGTATAGTCAGGATGTATAGTTATGTTGTGTGATTCTGTTTCATTGTAGATGGAACATGTTCTGTCAGGACTTCAGACGTGTATGAAAGATGCACACGAGCCCCACCTGTCAAAAATGGAAAGGCTGAACAACAAAATAATCGAGAGCATAAAACAAGTTAAATCAAAGATTAATGATGGTGATGAAAAACTGCAAAAGGTATTATGCATTTATATATATTTATTATATAATATTAAACCCCAAACCTTGCCTATTGTTATTAATACTTAGATATAAAGCCCCAGTATTCCTTGTTATGGCTTTGAGGTGTTTGCAAAGCAATTCACCCCAACCTGTCCCTATCTTTCCTCCCAGCAATCCAGGGAGGAGGGGGAAATGCTTGTCATTCAGGTCAGCAGCTGGCCATAGTCAGGGGGGGGGGTACACACTAGCTGTTAAGAATATTTGAATGCATGCTTGCTCAAACAAACTCTAAAATTCTTGTTCAACTTTAGTGGGCATCCTGTGACATCAAAGTGGAGACAGACCTCATTCACTCGACCCTGAACCACATGGTCACCCTGCTTCACACCTCTTCCACCAAGGGTCCCCAGCTATCCTCCACATCCGCATTACTCTCGCAAGTTTGCAGCTTGCTGCCTGTGTCAAGTAATGACCAAAGTGATGTTGTGTTGAACAGAAGACAGATGTGGAGCGAGGTGAATCGTAGAAAAACTTTCATCAACTGGCCTCACAGGGACTACAAATGGGCTGTGCCTGATACCATGGCCCAGGCTGGCTTTTACCATCAGGTAAGATATTTGCCATCCATTTGCTGCTCTGGAATTTACAACAAACGTTGACCATCGCGGGCTAAAAAATCCCTCAAAATAGCATGCCCGAAGTATATGTACAAAATTACAAGATTATGTGTACAATATTACCTGTTCTTAAAGAGGCTCATTTTAGTTGTAGAGTAAGATTTCATTCTTTCTGCTTTTACTAAAAGTTAGTTAAACTATAGTCAAGAAACATGAACTGTACTGGCCGTAACTAACCTTCCTTTTTCCCGTAGTCTGATCGCCGTACCTACCCTAGCTCTGTCGACAGAGCAGTTTGTTTTACGTGCAGTGTCGGTCTTGTGTGTTGGGAACCAACAGATGAACCTTGGTAAGTGATGTCGTTTTAACAAAATGAACTAGATATCCTTCGCCTTTGGGGGGAGATTTGGCGTTTGTATGAATCATCAACCGTTTATATTTTATTTCTGCACGGTATTCTTTAGGTCGGAACACGAAAGACATTCGCCCAAATGTCCGTTTGTCCGCGGAGAGTGCACGGAGAATGTCCCTCTGTCCGTTACTATTGCAACCTCCCCCGCTCAATTTCACAGTCAAGAAAAACAAAAGGTGAAATATGTGTTGTTTATCTTGCTTAACGTGATGCAATACAAGGACATATACGGCTAATTCAATAAAGATTGTCCTTCGTAAACTTTAACTCGAGTTCCAAAACGTAACAAAGTATTTAAGAAATGTCAAAAGTTTGAAATTCGGGTTTTCCCGCCAAAACTGAGTTTCCAATCAAAACGCTTCAATCTTTAATAGTTTTCGTTCTTTTAAGATTTCCTGTGTCAGTTCTGCAACCTCTGTACCCCTGATGGCAACTTCGAGTGAGAAAGGGCAAATCGTGGTTTGGGATATAAGAGATGAATTGAAGGTAATGTTTTGCTTGTCATGGCACCCCTGAGGTTTGTGTGTCCAGTTTCATATATTAGGATCTGTTACGTGTGTGTCCAGTTTTATGTAATGAGATCTCTGAAATGACTTGTGTATCCAGTTTCGTGTATTGGATCTGTGAAATTTTTACCCTGTGTCATATTATATATTGAGATCTGTGACATGTGTGTCCAGTTTCGTATATTAGGCTCTGTGACATATGTGCTCAGTTTCATATATTGAGATCTGTGACATGTGTGTCCAGTTTCGTATATTAGGCTCTGTGACATATGTGCTCAGTTTCAAATATCGAGATCTTTGACATGTGTGTCCAGTTTCATATATTCGGTTCTGTGACACGTGCGTTTAGTGGATATTGCGATCGCTAGATAAACGGTTTAAAAACTATTCAATTTTAGGTGCGCACGCGAGTAAGACTGAAACTGGATAATAAAATTTTGTCTAACGATGTCGGTGAACTGGACGATCTATTGACGGCTGACGTCATGCGTGACGTCATCGAGGAGAGTACCAAAGAAGCGCTAGAAGTCGAACCAGAAAAGGGTGGTCTGAGTTCTAGTGGCAAGGCCACTTCGTCTGGTAGCGGTGAATGTGACAAAAATACTACAACAGAAAAAGGTGCACTATTAAACTTTATCTCTGTCCTGCCGTATGGCCTTGTTTGGAGGAAAGTGTTGAATTTAGTTTAGTTTGGGTTTCCTCCTGTAGCACCACTAGATCAATAAGAAAACTGTTTAGAAATTATGGTTCAGTTCAGGTTTCTTCTAATTTATAACCTGGACTCTTTTGATTTCTTCAAGATGACACCATTGAAGATAAGGCGACGATTGAAATGAGATCCCAGCATCTTCCAGTTCAAGTGACCTCCGTTGGTATGCTCAAAAACAGCCAAGAACGCGAGACAACCGTTGAAACGCAAATCATTCATACTGCAATACCAGAAGCAATGCTCATTGCTTGCGTCAACACCACTCCTAGCGACTCCTCAAAACCCGCGCGCCCTCACCTTCTTGTGTGCGAAATACCCGCGGACAAAAACCGACCAGGCACTCCATCGAAAGTGCCGAAATCAGACGAAGGCAAAGGTAAAAGCAAGTCAGTATCGTACAGCACACAACTCTCGTTCGAAAGCGAAGATGAATATTACGACCCATTGTTTTCAGTGCCAAGTGTCTTCCATGGCATTCCCAGCCCCCTTAAGAACGGTTTCCCGAAGTCTGGGACTGAGAAAACGGACGAAACCCAGATTGTAAAAAATGCAAAAGTTGTGCAGTGTTTGAGTATAAAAGAACTCGAGTTGGAATGTCTTAAAGTCGCTCAGGTTATTCCCTATGAAGATGGCAGCCATGTTCTCTTCGTTTTGACAAGAAGGCAGCAAAATTGTAACCAAGAATCCAGATTTAGCGAACAAAATCCCAACGAAAATAATCCTTTGGAGTTGAAAAGCGATAGCTTTGACACACAAATCGCATCCAAGGTGAACGGTGAAATAGATAAGTCGATTGGTGATGTTCAAACCATCTCAGTTGGGAGTAGTGTTTTGGCGGCCGCAAACGAGCCAATTGAAAACACTTCAGACTACATCCCCGCGGAAATAGACGAATACAGTAATCATGAATTATGTGATGATAATCTTCCTAGTACAAGTTCCGACTCGATTACGGCTGAATCCGAACCTAGCAACGATACAAAAACGCGTGATAACACCAAGTATTCCGAAGGAACTCACGAGGAATGTCCGACCGCCGAACTTAAATCTCCTAACAACGTGAAGTATCTCGAAGAAATTTGTGATATTACAGTGCCTGCGGGCGCAGAGTTAGAGAAAAATGTTATATCAAATGTAGACCTTAGAAATAGCGAAGGAAACTCGACTGTTGGATCAAATACTCCTGGTAACATGAAGTATTCTGAATCACGACACTCGGAATCTTCACAAGAGAACTCAAACGTTTCCCATAAGATGAAAACCATTGCGGACAGCTCTGAAACGGAGTTGCTCCAAAGATATAATGGTAGATATGAAAAAAATTACTCAGTTTGTCTGTTACTGTACAAAACACGGAAAGAAAAGGGGAGGACATTGTTAGAGGACTCGCCATGTAGGTCAGTGTTGACGACCTCTGAAGAAGATCGTTTATGCGATGTATTTCTCCTGCCTGATGACGCCGAAGACTCCTTTATGCCCAGTTCAGCCGAAGCGAATGATTATAATAATGTTTATCTCGCAGGTTTGTTGATTTATTTCTTGGCGTGTTTGTTTACTTGCGGGCAGCAGTAGCCCAGGAACCGCGCAGCGTTTTTCGTATTGCTGGGGGCCTGGGGCTCGGAACCGCGCGCCTGCTAGGAGAGTCTGGGAAAATTTTGAAATATAGGTCTCTGAAATCGCCGCAAATGCCTCTCAATTTAAGGATTAATGGAAAATAATAGATAGTATGTAAAGTTTCCAGCATGTTTGGCGCTCATTACAAACATTAAACAATATAACCTTGCTTTGGTTATGATGTCAAATATTTTGATATGGATAACCACGCTGTTTTAATGGTCAAATGCTTGTCCTATGTAAAGTTTCCAGCATGTTTGGCGCTCATAACAAACATTAAACAATATAACCATGCTTTGGTTATGATGTCAAATATTTTGATATGGATAACCACGCTGTTTAAATGGTCAAATGCTTGTCCTATGTAAAGTTTCCAGCATGTTTGGCGCTCATATACAAACATTAAACAATATAACCATGCTTTGGTTATGCGATTTTAGTGCAATTTTCTTCCTTTGATACATGTGAACGAGTGAATTAGTTACGGATTTTCAAATAAGAGCTCTTATTTATCAGAGCATTCGTAACTAGTCACTGGTTCACATCTACCAAAAGAAGAAAATCGCAGTGTAAACGAGCCTTTAAGAAGGTTCGTGTTTGCCTGTTTTTAGGTGTGTCTTCTGAAGGATCTCTGGCAGTGCTGGATGGTTTTACCTTGGGAACGGTTGCGAGATTTTCCCCGGGTAACGTGGAAACGGAAGGACGGATACACAGCGCTATATTTTGCTCGGGATTAGGATCGTTCTGCATGTGTACGGAGAATGGGAAGCTGCACTTCCTTCATCTTGTCAAGAAGAACGAGTCCACGGATGAGGTTGATTCGGCTGGTGGAAGTCGGGCATTTGATTCCGAGAAACATTTGAAAGGTAACGAAAAGTCGGTTAGAAATAAGATTTTTTATTTCCTCTGCAATCCAGACTACCCACTGACTACCCCACTAGTGTGACCATATATGCAATTTTTTTTTAACCAAAGCTGCCCTTTAACCAAATCTAGTTAGACTTCCCCCTCTTGGTCGAAATGTGGTTTTATTCAAATCAGGTGTTGGTGTATTTGACTAGATTTTGTTCGCTCTACCCCACGGTTGATTTCTGTTCATCAATTAGAAAGAAATCAAATCGTGGGTCAGAATGAGGCCTCTTTAGGGCGTCACCCTTACCCCCTTTTTCTTGAACTCTCGTGTTAAGCTGTAATCTAATCTTATGTACGACACAGAACCAACTGAAAGGATCCCACTGGACGATCTTTCACTGAAGACGTTAAGATCTCTTGCCGAAATGACGACATTTGAAAATCTTGTCCCGCGATACACTGCGCTCGTACCAGTCTTCTGGAGTGAGATCCAGCAGGAACAGCAGCAAAGGAGACATCCGCAGCATTTACTGCAAAACTCCCAGGGAGACGCCAGTTGTCACACAAGAACCTGGAGGTTGCAAAAGAAAGGGTGAGCCTTAGTGTTGTGGATATTTAGTTGCCTTAGTTTGTGTCTAAACTACAGGTAAAAAGATATCTTAAACGTGTGATCTAGTGTAGGTAGTATTCTACAATAGCTGTCGTGTTTGTCTGAACTACCTGAGAAATATATCTCAAACGTAGTGGTCTAGTGTAGGTAGCATCTACAATAAGCTGTCGTAGTTTGTGTCTGAACTACCTGAAGAATAGATCACCAACCTTGCTACAAAATTTGACCAAACTATGCCCTAATATCGTTCGTTTACAGGCTGGTTGGCGGTGACCAGTTATTCAAGCTCATGTTGCCACGCCCTTGCTACGTCGGTCACGTGGGCATCACGTTCACAATCAACAAATCGTCAACGTCCAAGAACAAAGTCCAAGTGATATTATCCAAACCACGCAGTACTTCTTTAAGACCAAAGCCCGCACAACCCTTCACGATTTCGGGCTCACAACCCACCCATGATGACGTAATATGTGGACCTGTTGATCTGACGAAAAACCTTATGCCGTCCAGGGATAAGGGCCATGTGGTGTTGACCAGTGCAAGTTTACTCAAGGCCAAAGTTCGTACCTTACACGTGCTGTTTAAAAGTGAAGCAAAAACCCCCGGTAAGGGGGATGAAAGTTCCGGTGGGAGAAATGGCTTTAGCGATCTCGAGGAGATATCCATTACGGTTCGCTCTTTGAGTCCAGGCTTCAACGCGGACATTTTTGGTGCGTTGTTGGAGACACCGGGCTTTTGCCCCCGGCTAATGGATATCGTATGCGAAGAGCCTAGCAGTGAGGTCAGCGGGCAAGAACGCGAAGACCTTCAGTGGGTCGCACTGGAGTTACTGTGTTGGATTGCAGGAATCTCTGTACACCAGCCTGTCAGGTGAGTAAAGTAGATCAATGGAAATTGGTTATCGGCAAATGGGACTATGCTGAGGTTACTTCATGTAATATTTGCGCTAAATCTAGAATCCTCGGTCGAGTTAAGCAACAACTTCACAGTACCTCTATTCGGTTAACACGATATGATTTAGTACGATATGTTTATTTTACAGCAAGGAAAGTTTGGCGAGCCGCGTTCTGGAAAGATTACCAATGCTGATCCAGTCATGTTTGCTGTCGTCCTCACGAAGTATCGCTCACAAATGCAGTCGACTGATTGTGTTATGTGTCAGGTATTTCAAGATTACATTGATCTTTGAAAAAGCACTTTCCGTGTCCTCCCTCACCCGTAAAAGCAAGAATACTTCACTTTGAATTCTTTTCTTTTTCAGTCAACTATGTTCCGCGGAAAACGACAGCGAAGTAAAGAGCGGTGTTCTCAAGTCTTTCATCGATCTACTGCCATCGATAATCGCCTCGGAGTCGAGTGGTGGCATCCACTGGTTTTTCACACTCATGACCGGTATGTTGGGCTCAAAGGACCAAGACTGCGTTGGAAGATCTTGCATGGAAATGCTGATGAGTATTGCCCAGCAATTGGACAGTAAATTAACCTATCATGATCGCATATTAAGATCCAGGTAAGTCAAGGTAGCCTTGGGTAACCCTAACCAACCGGTTGGTCAGGATTCAGGAATCGAACAATGTTTGGATTTGAATATTGTGACGATGCTACTCTGAGTCACCAACCGGGTAAGCTAAAAAATTAGCTTAACCACGGTGGGAATCGAACCCGCGATCTTTGGTTTGCAACTTTTCCCCCCACAAATCCCCGCAAAGTATCAGAGAAATTGATATCTACCCATAGCTCAAAAGGACAAACCTCCGACTGCAATAACACGCTTCAAATCTTTCATACAAATCTTTCATTCAAATCTTAGTTTCAGATTATATGGCACGCCCCTGGACCCTAACTTCTTCGATGTCTCCATGGAAACCATGGGGCTATTCGCCACCAGCAAGCTATCTGATGATCTTCTTGATCCGAAAAACATTGGAAAGAATACTCACGATGTGGATGAGATTGACCTCATGGATTATATCATTGCCAGAAGTGGCGGTCGTACGCTTGGGCCATCGTCCAAGATGGAACAACTCCTGTCTTCGATGTACGGCATATTGGAAGTGGAGCCTCTGGATTTTGCCTGTTCCTCCATGAGCAATGGTTGCAAGATTGATTACTGTCAGGGGAGTGGACCCCAGGGTGGGGAGAACAATGGTATAGGGTCGTTGTACTACCCAAGTGCAAGTGGTGGTGACCCCGCAGTACCAATGTCTACATTTCAAGACCATGTCATACAACTCAAGGTAAGAAAGTTGCTTGATCATGGTGGGTTGGCTGGTTAGTGTTTGGTGGGCTGGCTCTTGGTTAGTGGTGGGCTACCTGGTTTGTCAATGGTGGGTTGGCTGGTTGTTTAGTGGTGGGTTGGCTGGTTGGTCAATGGTGGGTTACCTGGTTTGTCAATGGTGGGTTACCTGGTTGGTCAATGGTGGGTTGGCTGGTTGTTTAGTGGTGGGTTACCTGGTTGGTCAATGGTGGGTTGGCTGGTTGTTTAGTGGTGGGTTGGCTGGTTGGTCAATGGTGGGTTGGCTGGTGGTTTAGTGGTGGGTTGGCTGGTTGGTCAATGGTGAGTTTGCTGGTTGTTTAGTGGTGGTTTGGCTGGTTATTTAGTGGTGGGTTGGCTGGTTGTTTAGTGGTGGGTTGGCTGGTTTTTAACTGGTCCGTCTTTACTTAGGAACACGAGAAACTTCTGAGTAAACTTCAAAAACAGAAACAGCAACTGGAGGAACAGCATCAGGAGTTGGAAGAACTCGGTGGAATGCTCTTCTCACCCATGAACGCTGCACAGAAAGACACGATGTTGGAACACGCTTGGGGGGTGAAGGATATGTCCCCTTCTCTTATGTACAAGTTTGGCCCCGCTTCTACATTTGGCGGCGTTAAGGCCCCTTCTTTGTTTGGTAGCAAAACGTCCTCTCAACCCGCTTCGATAAAGGCGAGTCCTATTCCTGTTCCACAGTCACGAGCATCTTTTCAGGTATGTTGCCTTATTCAGTTTTATGCTAGGATTATCTCTTTTTGTGGTAAAACTGATGAGAACTAGATGGTGTTGAAAGATATCTCTTTGTAGGAACACTGGATCAATAAGAGATGATCCTTACTGGACCTCTAGGAAGAACAGTTTAGAACTGATAGAGCTATCCAGTATAAATAAATTTAGTTTAGTTTAGGTTTCCTCTTGTAGTAACACTGGATCAATAAGAGATGATCCTTACTGGACTTCTAGGAAGAACAGTTTAGAAATTAGAACTGATAGAGCTATCCAGTATAAATAGAGTGAGTTTCTCCTGTGGTAAAACAAGATCAATTATCTTTATTGGACCTCTAGAAGGAACAGTTCAGAATTAATAGAGCTATCCAGCATGAATAAAACAGTTTACAAAAGCTCTCGGAAATCAGATAAATTTGTAAAACTAGAAAATCTCAAATCTTATGTCAGAATTGTCAGAATTTATGTCATATCTGAAGTTATTTCACCAACTATGCAAGCTCAACCAGTGCTACCATTCCTGGCAACTGATTTATTTTATTTTCCAGCTACCAGTACCCAAGCTCTTAACGATCGAGAAGCTTCAGACGGGTGCTCGACATTTTGTCGTGTTGGACTTTGGTCAGAGTGTAAGGCTCACGGATATATTTATCCCAACGTGTCCGGATCTATCCTCTCTTGTCATCGATATCTGGGTGAACGGTGAAGAAAAAGACCTCAAACGCATCACAGTTTCCACGGATATCGGCAGCAAACCATTATTACTAACGGACCTGCTACCACCCCTAATCTGTAGATATCTCAAGGTCAGTGGTGGACATTCGCTTTATTTTGACTTGCAGCAATGATATAACTTGCCGAGATTCGATGGATTTTGCCGCGGTTTTCTGCGTTTGATAGATGGAAAAAAACGGATAGTTTTGAGTCCTCAGACGTGTGGGGACCCTCACATAAAGATCCGTAACTTATCCACTCGTTCACATCTATCAAAAGACGAAAACGTTAATGTAAACAGACCTCAATTTTTTGCTTTTAAACATTTTCAGATTTCCATATTCGCCCGTCATGGCACGTTACGTACGAAGCTCATTCTCGGGGAGTACTTCGGTTACCCTGTGTCGTCGTCGGAAACCGCCGTGGTCGAAGAACAAACGAAGAGGGACGAAGATGCGTCGAGGGAGGCATATCTTAATCTGATGTATGACGATGTATTTTGCCAGTATGGTATCGCTTGCTCGAAACTCGAGTCTGTGCTGAACTATATAGAACCTGGATCGCTCATGTCTGGTGGCAACGAGAAATCAAAAAAGGAGGAGTCGAAAGTCAAGCAGGCTTATAAAGTGTGCATGGGTCTGCAATTACGTTTAAATTTCTTGGAAAGAAGCATTCAGCGAATCAGTAAACGCATAACTGGTTATCAAACATTACCCAAGCTGACCGCTGACGAGAATATCGATGTCACCATTGAGCATGCGTCGTACAGTAAACTCAAGTTCATTTCCGATTGGTTGGTTCACGTACTGGTGTCCATATTTGGTGTAGATACGTCCTCGGACGTTCCTGGTCAGCGGATGCCGTGGACTCAGGATATTACCTTCGAGACGTGCCAGAGTCTGTTTACGACATTTTGTGTGAAGGGTAGCTCGGTGTCTCGTGCGAGGGTTGGGGCGATGTTACTCCGGACCTGTGGGGAGAAATCCTGGTGGGGAGAGTTCCTGTCTTGGGTCATGGAGAGGTTCTTTAGTTCAGATCAAACTCTAATGTTTTCCCAAGAAAGGTGAGTTTTTTAATTAACACACTTGACTCTGACCTTCTACCCTCGGAACTTTTCCCCTCAAACTTTCGATCCTTCGAACTTTTATCCCTTCGAATTTTCAACCCCGGTACTTTCACTATCCGGTTTTTATCATTATGTTCATTTCCTAGGTTATTCCTGCTTTTATCGTCGATCAGTCAACTTTCCCCAGTCCAGTATCCCGTCATATCAAGCGCCCTGGGCCTGCTGGAGAAACTGCTCTCCCCAATACTTCATGTTACACAAAAGGATAAAGGTCCACATCGCTCTCTTGATTCACGTCTTTTGGAATGGGTGACGTTATATGTTTCTAACCTGTTGGATAATTTCATGGACAGATCACAGGATGGTTATTTGAAAGCAAGAGGTTAGAAAATAGAATGGCCAATTCAATGTTAGTTTAGTTTCGGTTTCCTCCTGTAGTAACACTGGATCAATAAGAGATGATCCTTACAGGACCTCTAGGAAGAACAGTTTAGATCTGATACAGCTATCCAGTATAAATAAAGTTAGTTTAGTTTAGGTTTCCTCCTGTAGTAACACTGGATCAATAAGAGATGATCCTTACTGGACCTCTAGGAAGAACAGTTTAGAACTGATAGAGCTATCCAGTATAAATGAAGTTAGTTTAGTTTAGGTTTCCTCCTGTAGTAACACTGGATCAATAAGAGATGATCCGTTTTAGATAACGAGGAAAATGAAAGCAACGATGGAAAACCACTTTATGATCATCAAACTACCCCCAGAAGATGGGATTTCATTGTCCCTCGTACAGCCAATGACGCCCTCGGTGATTCGCTCAAAGATTCGTGCAAAGGTTTGAAAGGTTCAAAACGTGAGATGAGAAAACTCAAGAAACAGATTGCGACAAGACAAAGACGGCTTCACGCTTTACACCATCAACACATCTTGAACAAAACTCATTCATACGAAAACTATGCTTCATCCTCTAGCCCACCGTCGCCGTTTCAAATAACACAGTGGAATAAACAGTTCAGACAAAAAGCTAGAAAGGTAAGTTAGAGTTAGAGTTAGAGCTCAAGGCTTTCCGCGACGTATCATATTGAGGAGAAATTTAGACAGCGTTAGTCTTAGCCTGAAGTTTCGATTACATGAAATCATATGAAATCGGATTAGGTAAGACAAATCAGAAGCAGATCAGGATTAACATGAAGATCAATTCAGTTAAATAATTGGGATTGAGATCAGCTCCGGAGCAAATCAATTAAGGTCATGTCAGTTTAAGATCAATTTCAGGTATCCGGTTCATCGAGATTAGTTAAAGGATTAGATTAAGATCTCATATGAGTATCGTGGTAATAAAAGAATACATTTCTTTTAAATGCCAGCCTCTGAAAGACCTCTTGCGGTTGAAAAAATTGATCACGAACAATCCATCTGAGCCAGCAATAGAGATTCCTTATCCCAGCCGTAATAAAAGATTATCGCGTGATTTGTGTCTTCCTGTCATGAAAGGACTACTTGCTGTGTTGTTATCGCCTCAAGGAGCGTGTAGCGCTGAGTTTTTTGTACTCGTATGCAAGGTAAGAGAAACCTTCAGTAAGGTTGGAGAGACCTCTAGTGAATGTTAGATATTGTGTATTGTAATAATAGCTGGTCCTTTTAAAACTGAAGTTAACATGTACTTTGGGTAGCTCAGAGTTGCAAAAAGAGTTCAACCTTTCTCCGGTAGGATTTCAAGTTTTGAAAACCTTCTTCAAAATGACGTTACGTCAGTGAGTCAAGTGGCAACCAGCATAAACAAATATTTGTTTTTTTAGTACATGCATGTGATCAATTAGAGTGCTCAACTTTGAACCTTCCTCACAAACCTCATTCAAAGCAAACCTTCCTCCGGGTGGTACCCGCGTACCCGTAGCTTTTTTGCAACTCTGGGGTAGCCCGGTAGCTTCACTAGTTTACCCTGGGCTAATATACCAGGCGAGATTCTAATCTTTTCAAAGAAGCCATTCATTTAACAGTGCATGCATAGGGTTATTTTTACAGCGTAGTGAAATAAGTAGCTTTTCTTTGCTGTAAATCTATTTGTTTCGCTCACCAAGGTGTTGGGATGCCTCACGCTTGTTAGCCAACCAAGAGTCAACTTGAATGAACTAGCAAGCAAAGATCAACTCATGAAGCTGCTGAAGACATGCGTGATATCCGAGGGTGTACCTTCGAGTAGCTGGAGTTCAGGAGATCAGTGGATAAGACATGCTTGTGTCACGTTATTGCAAGATCTTGTCAGCGGTAAGTAAGACACAGTAATTGACAATTACAGGCCTATTTTAGAAAGTTTGTGACCATAGCCTTGCATCCAGTGTTACGTTAGGAAGAGATCAAGTTTAAGAGATCAAATTTGTTATTGTTTTTAGGTAATGAACATTTACGACCTTTCCCCGTCAGCGAAACATCGCAAGTAAAAGCAAAAGACGAACATGAACCAGCACAGATGTCGGAGATTGCCGAAAAACCTACGACTCTTTCCGACACCTCATTCGGGGATATAGCGGAAACCGACGAACCTGTCGACGAAGGGTTTGTCGAGCTTGGTATGCTCCACGATTTATTCGGCGACACGTCGTCGGAAAACTCCGAGCCCAAGATTTCGGAAATCTCCGAGCAACCGATCCAGGAGATAATCATCGCAAAACCCAAGCCACACTCTAAGACGAGGGGCATGAAAGCACAGCCCGCCCCAGGCCATTCGGCCGTTGTGGTTTCAGTCCCGTCTGAAATATCAACGGCTGAAGATTGTCGTTTAGAGATCAGTCTCGAGATGAAAGCTGAACAGGAACTGCGCCGCCTGGCCTTTACAAGTCGCCAGCGGTTTCTGACTGGTATGGATTTAAAGTCCAGTGTCGAACTTCAAGGGATCGCAGTTGCTGGATTTGGATGTCAGGGGGTCGGAAGTTCGGAGGGTGAAAGTTCCGGATCTGAAATCTCGGAGGGTCAAAGCTCGAGAGCTGTAAGGTCGGAGGGTGAAAGTTCCGGGGTTGAAAAGTCGGAGTGTCAAAACTCCGGGGTTCGGGAGAGTCGTAGCTCCAATGATGATGCACTGAATTCTGCTAGTGAAGAAAATGACAGCGAGGCCAGAACGACATATCATTTTGTATCAGAGTGTATTGGAAGCCTCATTATTGACTCTTTCAAAGGATGGTACGAGGTGGAATCAGTAATGGAGCTATGTTTGTTGCTCTGTGATTCAAGCAATCTAACTTTCTTAGTGAGCCAGCAAGCCATGGAGTCCTCACTGGAGAGTCTTTCCACCGTCGAGGGAAAATCAGCCCGATTTTGGAATCTCGCCATCAGTTGGCTCAGAATGCTGCTACGACAGACTCAATACATCAACGAGGACACACCTACTGATTACGTCACCGCCGCGAACCTCGTGGCCAACTCGCGATTTCCACGCGTCCTTGGACAGCTGCTGTCCACGTGTGATACAGGCGACTCCGGACAGAATGTTCTTGGACCATCCCTTGTAAAAAATTTCAAATTGTTATTGAAAGAACTGTCCGCGTTGACCTCGGTTGAAGAACATCATGGGATAAAACCTTCACAGTTCCAAGAGGTCCTTATAGATACATTGTTGTACATGACCACCCACAGGTAAATAGTTACTACTTTTCTTAATATAAATACGAACATTGCAAGAAGGTACATAACACCCCTAGTTGCCACCATTTTGATTATCCATACTTATCCCATTTTGTTCTCTAGTCGCTCCGATGTCCACCGTCATCCCTCATTATCTTCCTACCCACTCGACGTTTGCATGACATTCTTGGAATTTCTTGCGCAAAACATTCCCACTGATCCACCTTTGCCAGATCTCTCAAAACTAGTTCAAATCATCGACTCCATTCTTTCCTCGATTCTTGCCCACCAATCCTCATCCAACCAATTCTGTTCCGTCGCAAATTCGTCAAAGAAAAAGTTCACGGCCCTATTTCCCACCGGGGGGCCATCCCAGGAGGTATCGAATGATCCGAGCCATGCAAAATTTCTGCTGCAGTGCCTCGGCGTATTGTCAAAACTCTTCCAGTTCAACGCAGAGCAGTCACCTTTGTCTGATCGTCTTGTGAACGAGAGCTCGACGATGCACAAGCTGTTGAAATGCTTAAACATGTGTCGCGGTGAGTCCTTTGAGCTTCTCGAAATCGGAGTAAATATCGTCTCCGGGGATCTGTCGGAGGTCCAGGGGCTAGAGAAGCCGAACTCCATCGAAGATGGCGTCATGAAGATATTCTGTTTGCTTTACAAGCACACGAAAGAACGATCCCTAATCATGCGCAGTTTACTCAAGTTCTTTTCAAGCGACGTGGAAGAGGCCAATCAAGACTCTTGCTATCATCTGTCAGAGTTACTTCTCTGGATTTTGCTGAAGTTATTGGATTCTGACGAGAATTTCCAAATTTTTTGTGAAAATGGTAAGCCTTTAAAAAATCGTGATTTTCAAGTTACCTCCCATTTCCCCCCTTCCCCATTACCACCCACCTTCCCACCACCCACCTTCCCACCACCCACCTTCCCACCACCCACCTTTCCCTCTCTGAGCACCAAGCATAATTAGTTTTTATCTTCCCCCAAGGCGGTGTAGAGGTTATCTGTGGCAAGCTGTCACGTGCTACATCACGTGCCTTGCATCCGGTCAGAGGCGTGGTGTCTACAGTCATACATCAGCTGGGAGTAAAAGTACATTCAAAACTCGAGGGAGAGAAACATCTTTTAGCAGCTGCCTGGGAAAGCGACAAACCCTTGGTGAACTTCGCTCCTTATGGTAAGGTCTATCGCCCTAAATGGACCACTTGCATAATAGACCAACTTGTGATCTAGGTAACAAGAAGGAAATAAATCACCACAGCTAAAAAGAGCATACCAAAATTAGTATAATTGCCAAGTTTGAGTGCAAAATGTCAAGTATTACGGAAAATATAGCCATGCAAGTTGTTCCAGGTACTTCCAGAAAGCTTGCCAAAAATTGGTACAGCGATTGGTAAGGTCCTGTTACACGGTGCGATCTTTCTTGCAACTTGCAATGCATTTCTACTTTTAAGAAATGTAAATTAGTGAAAAGTAATAATTTCTTCGAAATGTAATTATAAGAAACGCGTATGGAGTGTATAAACACTAAAGTTTGGTAATTGCCAAATTTATATCCCTCAAAAGTAGAATTGCATTGCACGTTGCTAACTTGCGATGTCATCTCATTTCAGGATCCATCCACTGTGCCTCTCACAGTGTGGCAAATGGTCCCGAACAACTCATATCCATGACCGTCCCTACCAGGCGAGCCCGCACTGCTGCATGGTTACATCATTTTGACCACAAGGATACTTGGTGTTCCCTGCAAATAAATCTTCCCAACACTGTTATTGTGCACGAAGTAGTTGTTCAACCACACTCCGTGTCGCTCTCAAGTAAGTGATATGTGCTTTCAGATTAACTCCTGGGACCGGTTGTATCAAGCCCGTTTAGCTTAAACGGTGGATAAGTCAAAATTAAATAACACCCTTACATCTCTCTTGAATGAGTCAACTTGAATATTATGTACTGAATATGTAGTTGTAAACAGTATCTTTGTATTAAGGTTAAAAACACTTAGTTTTCTCCTTGAATAAAATGATAGACTTCCTTTCTATTTTCAACTTCACCATCGTTTAAGCTAAACGGGCTTGAATGTTTTTCTCAATCGCTCAAAAATTGTCTGTTGTTCTGTATAATCCTGTTTATACCTGAGTATTTCTAAATCGAAGATTCTCTTTAATATTTGTTAGCTGCAAATATAACGGTTGAAAAAGTATCGTTCTTTATAATAATTAGATTCAACAAGTTATGTTGTGATCGAATTCTGCGACGAAACTTCCTCGGTGACCAAGATCAGTCCACCTTTACTAACCGCTGGTCTGAGCAACATTCGTCTGCAGATCACAACCCCGCAGTTGGCGTCTGTAAGTGAACGATGAAGTCTTGTCACATAGTAGCAATCAGTAGAAATTGATCCAAGAACTATTCCAGTATGAAGTTCGTTTAGTTTAAGTTTCCTCCTGTAGTGACACTGGATCAATAAGAGATGATCCTTACTGGACCTCTAGGAAGAACAGTTTAGAACTGATAGAGCTATCCAGTATAAATAAAGTTAGTTTAGTTTAGGTTTCCTCCTGTAGTAACACTGGATCAATAAGAGATGATGCTTACTGGACCTCTAGGAAGAACAGTTTTGAACTGATAGAGCTATCTAGTTTAAATAAAGTTAGTTTAGTTTAGGTTTTACTCCTGTAGTAACACTGGATCAATAAGAGATGTTCCTTACTGGACCTCTAGGAAGAACAGTTTAGAACTGATAGAGCTATCCAGTATAAATAAAGTTAGTTTAGTTTAGGTTTCCTCCTGTAGTAACACTAGATCAATAAGAGATGATCCTTACTGGACTTCTAGGAAGAACAGTTTAGAACTGATAAGAGTTATCCAGTATAAATAAAGTTAGTTTAACTTAGGTTTCCTCCTGTAGTAACACTGGATCAATAAGAGATGATCCTTACTGGACCTCTAGGAAGAACAGTTTAGAACTGATAGAACTATCCAGTATAAATAAAGTTAGTTTAGTTTAGGTTTTCTCCTGTAGTAACACTGGATCAATAAGAGATGATCCTTACTGGACCTCTAGGAAGAACAGTTTAGAACTGATAGAGCTATCCAGTATAAATAAAGTTAGTTTAACTTAGGTTTCCTCCTGTAGTAACACTGGATCAATAAGAGATGATCCTTACTGGACTTCTAGGAAGAACAGTTTAGAACTGATAGAACTATCCAGTATAAATAAAGTTAGTTTAGTTTAGGTTTTCTCCTGTAGTAACACTGGATCAATAAGAGATGATCCTTACTGGACCTCTAGGAAGAACAGTTTAGAACTGATAGAGCTATCCAGTATAAATAAAGTTAGTTTAGTTTAGGTTTTCTCCTGTAGTAACACTGGATCAATAAGAGATGATCCTTACTGGACCTCTAGGAAGAACAGTTTAGAACTGATAGAGCTATCCAGTATAAATAAAGCTAGTTTAAGTTTCCTTTATTGTATTTCTTCGTAGGTTGTAAGGCTAAGGTTTCATCGGCCTCGTGACTCTGATACGCTGGGTTTGAATCGTATCGAAATTTTGGGAACGAGCTTTTACGGGCCAGTACCTGCCATACAGCCTGTGTTACTCTCTCAGAAAGCAAGGTAGGCTGTCCGATTGAAATGTTTGCTAATACATAGTCGTCTTAGTCTATGATCAAATGGCTAACATTTTTAAACTGTCCTTAGTCTGAACTGGTCAAGAGCACTTGATTACTGTCTTCGTCGTTCTCACACCTTATCATCATCTGTGCTGGAAACGCTGTCCAACGTTGAAGGAATGCTTGATGTTTTACTAAAGATTCTCTGGAGTTTTCCCAAGTAAGATTACTGGAAATAAATTGATATCAATATTCAAGGGACGGCTAGGAAGAACTCTATAGTGGATCAAATTTAACGTGGCCTTTGAAATGCCGGAAACAAGTTCCTTGAAAGATTTGCTATTCCCTCCACTTATTTATTTTTATGGTTCGTTTCTTAGTTCAAATCTCAAGTCTTGTGTGGAATTTATTCTCATCAAATTTGCCTCGAGTTCTGAAGCAGTTTGTACTCGTTTACTGAATCACTTGTTGTACGGAGGAGCTGATCTTGCTGGCTCCTTGGGTGGGGCGCATAGCGAAAACTCCGAAAATGAATTGCTGTATCAGCTGGGGATCATTAAAGATGGACAGACGTGGGGAAGGTGATCATATCATTTGATGATTAGACTAATTAAATTCGTTATTTCTCTAATTAGTCCGTTTATCAGGATTTTTCTTTCATCAATTAGTTATTTCATTAAAATGGAGAAATATAAACTTTTTGTCTATTCGTTCATAATTACATGTTTATTAGAGTTAATTGTTGCTTATCAGGTCATCATATTCCCAATGGTTCAACAGTAAAACATACATTCGTTGGATAGTCAGCTTTTTAAAGGTTCATTATTTCCTCAACAGGTTGAAACCAATGTATGATTGGTTATTGTATGTTGAAGAACAAGCCAATATTGAAAGAAGTCAGTCTGTGAAAGGCGGAAATAATCTCATCTCTAAAATAAGAACCATAGCAGCAGTCACCTGGTTAATAAAAGATGATCCGATGCTCTGCGATGAACTTCAAGAACTTATTACCGAAGAAAAAATTAGGTTTGTAAACCCCTGATAAACTTCTGTTCTTGTTGTTTTCACCAAAAATTCATTATATTGCGATAAATAATCCGTTTTCTTTCTTCCATATGATAAACGGTAGAAATGGGATTCATTTTGTTGATTTTGTGCAATATTTTATTTGCTGATAAATTGCTGAAAACCCCCGGACAATACCGAATTTGTTTTGATCTTTTTTAGGCGATTATACGAGTGGTCTCAGCGTGTTGTTGATATCCCGATGTTAAAACTAACTTTAGATTACCTCCTGTGCTCCCTGTGCTTCGTCACCAGGCCTTACTTACAGTTTTTGTTGACTCAGTCGTTTGCCCAATCAAAAGGGAAGATTGACTATCCAGCACTCACAACCTTGGCCCGCGCTTCAAATTCGTCACCAGGCGCAGCGGATTTACTCGCGTCAAATCTCCTCAGGGACGTTGTCGAGAATGTGGAAAGATGTTGCAGAAGGTTTATGAAAGGGTCAAAAAAGATGTCTAGTTCGACAGAAGTGGCAGAGAAGATACCGCAAATCTCGCTAGAAGGTCTTGAAAAGCTCCTGCAGTTTCTAACAATGTGTTTAGGTAATGTTCAGCTCAAAGACTGGTTGGGAAGCGATAAAGGTAGTTCATTCTGGCAATCACTGCTAAGCTTTCTCACTGACTGTCACTCGCGAGTTACCACGCGTATTTCCTCGCGTGCCGCTTCGTGGGACACCTCGCGTGTGCCTATATGTCCGCGTGTGCTCGCAAGCTTACAAACGACCACGTTGAGGTACTTTAAGGCATGCGTGGCAGGCCACGCGAGGAACCAACAAAATCTAGCTCGTGTACTACACGAATTGCTCGCGCGAGAAGGTGATGGCGTCACATCTAAAACTTTATCAGGATTTCTCCGGAGGCTTGTTTTGGAATTATTGTTGGATGATGATCATGTGACTCTTGCCGTCACGTGTTCGAGTGTCACGTCACAGAACGTGGTAACGTCAGCAGGGAATGCTTCCCAATCCCCCCTATGGCATCCGCGCTTTGGCGCGTCAAGTTCGTGTAAACTTACGACTGTCCGAGTGAATACGAAAGTTCACGAGATTTTGAACACATTTGCCATGAATCCCTTGCAACAATTACAAACTCTTAGTTCGGGGGTGGACGATTCGACCCGGAAAACGTCGGAAACATTGCAAGATTTGGCTGAATTATTGGAATTTGGTGATTTATCAAAACACGAAACTTTCACGCTAACATCCTCTGCCTTCAATGTTAAACACAAACGCAGTAACCATGGTGACAAGAAGAAGGAGCAGGGGACTAGTAGCGAGGGAGAGTATGCCCCTCCCCCCAAAGTGAACCCCTCTACCGAGAATTGGTTGTGCTGTGAAGATGGACCGCTTGCTGGATTACCGCTGCCGAAAGATACCACCGTCGCGCAAATCATGCAAGCAGTAGTTGAACACGGCCAAGGCATGGGCACGATATGTTTGAAGCTTGATATCAGGCCGCCAACGGACCGCAATACCATGATTCCCAGCGAGAAATCACGTGATATGGTATCTCAGAAGTCTGTATCTACATTATTAAAAGTTTTTTCCGAGCTTGGTGGCTTGGCTCTCATTGCAGATCATCTTCCCCCTCGGTTCTCCCTCGGTGTTAATTCGGACTCAATTCGGATTGTGTCGTCGTCGTCTTACAACCCGGCAGTCGTGACGTCACTCGTGCCAGGGCACTCTTTGATGGGTTTCACAATGTTTCTACGCCTTCCAGGCTACGCCAGCATATTGTTGGAAGATCAACCAAATGCTTGCTACATGCTGAGGTTGATCCTCGGAGTCGATGATTATGGCGATGGAGGTGAGCTGTTTATTCTTATGACAATTTCTGATCTTTTCACCGGATAACTCTATCAGATCTTAACTGTTCTTCCTAGAGGTCCAGTAAGGATCATCTCTTATTGATCCAGTGTTACTACACAAGGAAACCTAAACTAAACTAACTGTATTCGTATCACTGTCCCTTTAAACTGCGTCTTGAAATGGCGAACTATTACCTTATGACTCACTCGGTTTTTTTCAACTGCTATTCCCGTAGTTACTGCACCGCAGACATTACCAACATTACCGTTTACCATTCTACAACGATTGATGACGTTACATCCCGTTGCCACGGCAACCGGCGCTGGGATACGTCAGACTGCACTGGACATTGGCGTGGTGCATTTGCTCCTGACATGCCTGGGACTGCTGAGTCATCACAAACCACGAAAGACAGACGGTCAACACGAGGCGACCATGGAAGCGCTCAAAGCCTTCAACGCGAAGTATGTCGTCGACACTTACTGATATTAGGGCGATTTAGCATGAGGACGCGAACGTCAAAGACGACGTGAAAATGGCGAATAAATGGCGAATAAATGGCGTGATGCCTCTGAATATGGACATGCCACGCCATTTACTCGACATTTTCACGTCGTCTTTGACTTTCACGTCTTCATGCTAAATCTCCCTATTTATGTGATAAGGGGTGGGTTATTGAGAGTTAGGTCTTCTGATGAGATGGGTTTTTGTTTTCCAGCAATGAGTTGGGTCAAACTCCATCAAGCGGAAGAACATCGAGCAAGCAATACTGGGCGAAGGGAACTGGATTTGGAACCGGGTCGACTTCTTCTGGCTGGGATATTGAACAGGCGCTGGTGAAACAGAAGAATGAAGAGGAACATATTACATCAATACTGCAGGTACTTCATGTTGCAATGCAGCAGGAAGTAAAATATAACAAGCTAAACCAAGCTGAATCACTCATACCGGATAGCTTCTAAACTGTTCTTCCTAGAGGTCCAGTAAAGACCACCTCCAGTTCATTTTCCAAAGTTCCAAGAAGTTGTTTATCCGTTTTCTATTGTATTTCCACAGGTTCTCGCTAGTTTTATCTGTCCTCTTGGTGTCACAATCATCGAGTCAAATATCGATGATATATCTCTGGATGTTTCTGATGAAGATATTGCCAGTGTCATGCCATCGCTACCAGATATTTTCATGAACTCGTGTTTAATTCCCACCTTGGCATCGTACTTACGAAACGATTCAGGTAAAACAAACTCACCTTATTTCAGGTAGAACAAACTCACTGGATTTTTCTCTTATGCAAAAATTTCATTTCTGTATTTCATAGTTCTTGACATGGCACGCCACGTTCCACTGTATCGTGCGATCCTCGGCTTTGTAAGATGCATTGCGGTCAGCCCAAATTTAGTTCCACTGCTACATCCGGGACAGCGTAACGCCAAGAACGCCTCCAGCGATGATACGTCATCACTCTGTAGTCTGCTGACCAAGATGAAACTGTGCGTGGACACATATGGGTCAAGGTTACGGTAAGCTACATATCCGATATGCCTAAGTTCAACTTTGATCTCAATAAAATGCTGGAGAATGCAGTTGCTATTTGCTTGCATGAACAATTCAAAATTTCAGCTCTTTTTAATATTTGTTTATTTTCAAGGTCGTCCGAAAAAGTAGACGATGGAAAAACGAAAATCAGAGTGGAAACACCTCCGTCAAAACAACTCAACAGCAAGGCCGAAGATCTTGAAAACGAAAGCCTATCCCTGCTTATCCCTGATGTGCAGACAACCTCCATGCTTGTTCATAAGGCTGTTGATAGATACCGCTGGGAGCATTTGACGATTGACGGCTCGAGTACAGATGGCGATGCTCAAGGCCAGGGATCTGGTGAAGAGCAACTGAGTACGGAGGAAAGATACTCGTCCATAATGATGCCCTTGCAGTTTGGTAAGTTTGTCCGCAGTTTATTTTCCCAGAATCTCAATCTCAGAAATTTAAAATTCCAAATTTTCTTGGAATTTCAATATCTGAAGATATCTCAGACACTTTAAATCTCAGCAATTTTCTATGCATTTCAGAACTTATACAGCATCTGTCCAATTTTCAAATGAGGTTTTGTAGGAATCGCACAGTGGTCTGTTCAAAAGCCTGATGTTCTAACCTTTGAGTGTCTTTCATTGCAGATACGTTCTCCATGGTGGCCGAAGGTGCGGACGGAAAGACAAGTTTTACGATTCCTTACCATTTTTCAAGCTCTGTAAAATCAGCCACATCCTCGGGCCAACGAACAAACGCGGGCAGAGCAAGACGTTTAGCTCAAGAAATCGCCTCGTTATCAACATCGCTGCCTCTTTCATACAGTTCAAGTGTTTTCGTAAGATGTGACGAGGAACGGTTGGATATTATGAAGGTAGCGCATCTGGTCGACTTTATTCTTGATTGCCACGGGTCAATAAGGCCTATTCATAATTGTTTCTCACTATTAACCCCTCTCTAGAGGTTTGCCCTCTCTCTGAAGTTTGCCCTCCCTGAGGTTTGCCCTCTCCCCAGAAGTGCCCCTCTCCCTGAGGTTTGCCCTCTCCTCAGAAGTGTCCCTCTCCTCTGAAGTTGCCCCTCTTCCCAGAGCTTCCCCTCTTCCAAAAGTTCACCCTACCCAGAGATTGCTGCTCTCCTCAGAAGTTGCTCCTCTCCACAAAGCCCCCACCCTCCCAGAGTTTACCTCCCTCCCAAAGATGCTGTAATATTATTTTTCAAATAACATTTTGTATTCAGGTGCTGATGACTGGACCTGCTGACACTCCGTACGCAAATGGTTGCTTCGAATTTGATGTATATTTTCCTCCCGATTATCCCTCTAATCCGATGCACATTAGCTTTGAGACGACTGGAAATCATCGGATTAGATTTAATCCAAATCTTTATAATGACGGAAAGGTAAGAGCCAGTGAAAGACGTCACCATGAAACGCCATGTTTTACAAAGATTTCGCGCCAGTTTAGATTACTGTTATTATTAGCTCAGAAATAGAGGTAACTATTTGGGTGGATAAAGGGTGAACTATTGGGATAAAATGGTTCAGATAGGATGAACTTCTAGGGTGAATAGAATTGGTATGGGGGTAACTATTAGGACAAGTAGGGTTACAATAGGGGTAACTGTAAGGGATAAAATAGTGGCTACAATTAGGGTGAATAGGGTTCAGGAGATGATAATAATTTCATGTTCCAGGTTTGTTTGAGTATTTTAAACACTTGGCACGGACGGCCTGAAGAAAAATGGAATTCACAGACATCCAGTTTTCTCCAGGTAAAATTTCAGAAACGTTCTCAATTCTTTATAAGATATTTTATGTTGTGACTTTCTGTGACTTTCGCACCAATTAACGTCCACTAAAACACGAGTTTTGCTCATAGGTTCTTGTGTCAATTCAATCACTAATCTTAGTCCCAGAACCTTACTTCAATGAACCTGGGTACGAGAGGTCTCGCGGGACGCACTCGGGTACCGTGAACTCGCGTGAATATGACGCAAACATTCGACAAGCCACCGTGAAATGGGCAATGCTGGAACCGTTAAAGAATCCTTGTCCCTGCTTTAAACAAGTGAGTTGCGCGTTTTATCTTTCCTTTGAGAAACCTGGACGTGATAATAACATATCTTCTCCATTCTCAGGTGATCGAACGCCATTTCTTTCTGAAGAAGGACGAAGTATTAGCACAATGCAATGGATGGATCAAAGAACTCGAGGCTTGGGCGAAGGAGAAACGAACAATGCGCTCAATCACGCATCACCTCGACTCACTACGACGACACACGACGCAACTGCGCGAGGAAATTGCGAAGCTTTCCGACGAATGTTTACAAACACCTGACGAGGATCCGGAATGACGTTTTATCCCCAGCTTCAACACCACGTTTCCCATTGCGATTCAATGGAAACCCGAATTATCCACGAATGATCTTCAACAACAAACTAACAAATGCCGAAATACACACGTTTGACGTAACTTAGCACTGAAAAATAAACTTGTCTTTTAGTGTGCAAAATTCATATTTAAGAAACGTTTACCCCATATTGAGTTTTAAACCCTTCTTAAAAGAGATGTAATGTCAACTCGATTGATATTTTTTGTTTCGTAATCTGCACTATGAGTTTTGTATGCGAAAGAGACTATCTTCATTAAAACAGAACAATGTCTTGTCGTCGTTGAACTGAAGCGATATATATTATGAAATGGCGACAGGAAATAGTGCACAAATAAAACTCACACAAATTTCACCAATAAAACCACAAATGAATTGATATTAAATAAACTTCTTTCGCAAAAAAAAGAAGTATTGATAGTTGAAGTAACACAGTGCGTTTATTTTCTTGGTACAATCACAGTTACAATTCAGCGATGTTAATTCGAACTTTTGCCATTTAGGGCAATTGGAACATAAAGATTTTCACCCCAAAAACATATGCGTCTAATTAGAGAACCGTAAAACACCGCAGTGTTTTACAGCAAGCGAGCGACGCAAAAGATTCTAATGTCTAATGGACAATTTGAGGCGCAAATCAAAATTTCTTTTTGACGCATTACTGTATATGATGGTTCCAGTGTTCATCGTTTTGTCTGACCGGTCATGAAACTTGAAACTTGCTAACCAGTCACAGTGCAAACCAGAAATATGAATGTAGTCCACAAAGTCTACACTCAGGTTTGAGTAGTGGTTTCAGGCAGCATTTCTACCCGTGGGTAACTACGTTTTTGGTCAAATGACTCAAATTTTCAAGTATTGCGCATGTTCTTCAATTGTGTTGCGTCCTCAGCCAAAAATATCGCGCAAAATATGTCGTCGATGGCTCGATGCACGTGTGAAACGAAAACAATATGGCGGACGTTTGGGTTGGTTGTGAAACAGGAATACTCAAAGGTTGCTGTGTTTTACTTCATATTTCTCACTCTTTAGTAAACAAAAAGATAACAATAGCCTTCACGTTTTTCCACACTTACAGGCCCGAAAAAGTTCCCTAAATATTAGCTAGAATATGTGACAAAACAATTCGAACATTTATCATACATTCATAGCAATCAAAGTCCTAACTTTCAATACATATATGCATCTTGCTCAGGCGTTGATTTGCACAAGAAAGAATTTCAAAATCATGGAGATCTATCTGAGTTGAACAAGAACTCGGACGAAGTGTGTCGTATGTGCTGGTACAACGAATATGAACGCAAAGTATAAAATATAAATTGTTCCTGTTATTTTTTACTCTATATGTCTATATCTCAGATATTGTGACGAAATTGTTGTCCAACCGCTTTCATTCCTCGCTTTAGATTTGTATTGCTGCCAAATCAGGCGTTTGTAAAGTATTTGATACGGAGGAGAATCAGTTTGTTGACGAGAAATGTTGTTTTACGAAAGAAGAGGGTGAAATCACTGGAATGGAAAGAACGGATGAGTATGAAAACTACGAATTGAATCAGTTTGAATTTACCAGCCTTTTTCCTTCAGTGGATAAAGTTATGAATCTTGTTACAAATTATTAGAAGTTTGCTGGTTTGTTCTGAGAAAGGAATTCTAAGAATATTTAGAGATTCTGATAATAATCAGGTACAACAAAAATGCTGACTTTACAAAAATGTACACATCATTATTTCCAATTACTTTAATCGCATTTGCCCATTAGAAAAGTATTCACTTATTGCATTTACATATACAAGTATACTTAACACATTTACTTAACAGTACTCATTAGTTTTGCCAAGATGATTAAGCACATTCACTACCATATTATGCAATTTGCAGAGAAATGAATGTATAGAATTAAGGCTTCATTTCTATATTGTTTAGACGGATATCAAAGTTGGAAGTCACATTGCTAGGATGAAAAAGAACCCATTTGAGATGTGTCAAGTTGCTACCGGTGGGAATGAGAATGTTTTAAAGTTATGGGATCTCAATAAACCTGAACAACCATTGTTTAAAGCAAAAAATGTGAGTCAAGCTTGTTTTATCTAAAGTTAGGAAAAGGAAGAAAGGTGAATTGCCAAACAGATTGAGCTTGAGAAGCATAATTTGACTGTTGTTTAAAAATCCAATGCAGAATTAGGACTGAGAATTTTATACTTGTATTCATCATTAGGTGAGGAATGATAATTTAGATCTGCAAGTTCCAGACTATATAAAGGACATTGGATTTCTCTCATCATCAGGGTCAACACCTAAGATTGTTGTTGGCACAGCTTATCACAAGTTGAGGCTTTATGATTTGAAAGCTCAAAAACGTCCTGTGTTAGATTTCAATTATAAGGAATCGCCAATCACGTGTGTCTCAGTTCCAATGCATGAGAAGTAAGTAATTGCTGAGAAAATGATATCATGCATGTTGAACTTGTTTGTTGAAATATAATATTTCAATCAAGTTGTCCTTATGTGTTGGATTAATTAAATGTTATAGATTTATAATTGTCGGCAATGCCTATGGAGATATGGGTGCTATTGATGTCAGAATTGGTGAGAAATTCCCTATTTCATCAACAGGCATATTGTGTTTATAGATGTTCTTGGACATTTATTAAAAAAAAATGTTTTTTTGACTTCACCCCAGGTAAAAATCTAGGATCATACAAGTCATTCTCTGGCAGTATTCAGGGCATTCAGTGCCATCAAACAGAACCACTTGTTGCATCTTGTGGTCTGGACAGATATCTCAGAATTCACCATATTGATACACGACAGATTGTAGATAAGGTGAAAAATATGGTCTCCAGATCAAACAGAAGCTCAAAGTACTATTAAAAAAGTTCAGCTTTATTAGATATGCTTGCTATATCCAGTATATTATGAGGTCAGTGATCAGCGTCTTAATAATAAATTATCATAATTTTATTTTTTTGTTTAGATATACTTAAAATCCAGATTAAAGAGTCTCTTGTTTTCAAAAACATATACACGGGTAACAAATGATTGTGTACTATCTCCCCGTATCCACCTAATACCCCCCTTATCCCTTTCTGTAACCCAGGCCCCTGCGCCCACACCAAATTCTCGTTTACTAACTTTCCAAACTATTTTCAGGATTCCGGGGGGGTTAAAAATAACTCGAACAAGCGAAGACACAATGTTAATACAGAAGAAGACGAAGTTGATAGTGAGGGCGAAGAAGATGTTTGGAAAGACATGGAGTTAGTTCAAGACGATCTCATAAACAAGAAGAAAAGTACGTTTAAAAATTGACGTACATTTAACATGTTATTCCGGTGAAAAAGCCATCGAGTTTAGACCCTAAGAGTCCTTTTTTATCCATTAAAAGTTTACTGAATTCAGATTAATACTCGGTGATCTGAAAATGCAGAAAAAGACTAGGGTTGAATTTTAGATTTCACTTGTCCAAATGGCCGCTAGTTTCAGATTTTTTCTTCACGACCAGGTGAGCATTTTCTCGTTATCAATTTGCCAGCTTTGTTACAGAATCTGTTGTAATACCACCCCTTATAGCTTCTTTCTCATTTCTGCTTTAGAACAAAGAAAGAAAGAAAAATAGAGATTTTTGGCAGGAAAAGAACTCAACGCTTAAAAAATAGCTAAAATAAAAAAAAATTCTGCGAAAATGGACATTTTGTAAAGTGGAAAAGAATTGGCAAATTGAAATGCCACAGCATTGCTATCGATTCTGGTCGTAAAATCCCTCAAAATGATGATGCAGAAAAAAGCTCGTTTAAAAATTACCCAACACAAGTATTCATTGAGAATTCATATACTTTACAATGACGAGATAAGGGCAAAGAGCTGAAGTATCACTCTGAACTATAATATGATGCATTTCGCTGCTAATAATTTTCAAAATGGTAGTAAGCAGTTGACGTAATTGATTTCATATTTTTAATTTTCAAAATGATTTGTCATATGAGTGTGGTTAAAGCAGATTACAGGCTAGGAGAATGAGGAAACATATATTGTATTTGATCAGAATTTATTTCAGTAATTTCGGTATTACCAGTTATTTCGGTAAAACAGAAATACATGAAGCGATTAAAATATCATATCCGGCAAGGGCGTTTCGATTTTAATGTAAAATTGTCGTCCGTTGCGAAGAAAGGTCAGCATGTTAGAACACGACATTGAAGTTTTAGTGAAAGTCTATTTTAAAGAAAATTCTGGTACGCGCATTTACCCAAACACGTGCGTGCAAAGTTTAAATCTGCATGGTTTTTAATGAAGACTGGAAAACGCAAAAAGTAAAATTGAAAATAGGTGCAAAACGGGCATCCTGTTTGAAAAGAAATATAATTATGTCTTGTGATGTCCGGCTTGTTTTTCTTCACTTTCTTATTAGAAGCTCTTTGTACAATTGAGCTGTCGGTTATATCACTGTAACTTGGATAGCTCGTCATTGTTTTTTTTTGGTTGTTTTAATCAGAAGATGGCGTTGATCTGGTTAGCAGGATTGTATGCAATCTTAGTATATTCATCTGGTAAGAAGCATATCTTTGTATTTTTTCATGTCACTTCGACCTTATCATTTAAACTTCAAGCTGATGATTGGAAATTTCATACGATTGGTTTGACATAGGTGAATTTTATCGATAAACATGCGACAATTTAGCACGGATATTCCCAGGCTATTACAATAGTCTATTCGCCCAGTATTAAAGGCGTGAACTTAAGTTTGTGTTAAATCGTTGGATAAATACTTTCTAATATGTCTGATGACAAAGGTGATACTTTCACTCTTTCATAGGGTGAGTGCTTGACGTCAAGGCATATATAATAATATAAACAAGGGAGGGGTCGTTTGTCTCGTCCATAGGGAGGGACTACTTGAGAAAGTAAAACACTTCACCTACGATATAGATTGCAACGGTATGCTTTAAGGCACATACTTATTTAGTATAATTATTGCGAGAGATAATTTTCGTGTAACTTCATCGTTAGTGCCGCTAATCCTAGATTACGTATGGTTATTATCTTTATGTACGATTAGACTTTGATAAGGTATCGTTATTACCAAAGTATATACAATTTATATAAAAATACCAAGTGTCTACCAAGTCCTTTAATTTTATTTCAGTGTGTTGTGAATCATCTCAACACTCAATCTATGTATCGCGTTTCAATGGGAATGATACGACAAATTGCGGTACTCCAATATTCCCTTGTCGCAGTATATCTTATGGCATTCTACAACTGCCAGAAGGGTCAGTAATCTACCTGGATGGCAGAGAAACGGCCAAAAACCCTTACCAATGCGAAAGCCAAGATCCTGGACAACCGGAAATTCGTATTAATAAAAGCATATCATTCGTCAGCATCAGATCACGTGCTTACATCTCGTGTCTCCATGGAAACCCCTGGTTGGTGAACGGAACTAAGCTAGTGAACGGTGTACAAGTTAACTTCTCCGGACTAACCTTTTTGAATACATCTCTTCGCTTTTTTGACGCCTCTGTATTTGCAAAGGACACCGTATTTGCGGAGACGAAATTTACTAGCATACGTATTGAAGTGTTAAACCTGCGGCAATTTGATCTGACGTTGGATTCTGTTATCTTCCAACAGAATAAAGCGTGCATACGAATTGAGGTCGACACTGGGATTGAGATTTCTATAGACGTAACTAATACGTCTTTCCTTCAGAATGGTAATTCTCCTTCGTCAATTCTTTCGTTAAATTGCCGCGAGGGAAATTCTACGGTCAGCATTGAAATGAGAAACTGCAGTTTTAAGGAAAACCTCTTTGAGGGATACGGAATGATGTTAATCGTCAACCTACTTGGAACGACGAAGCTTGCAGTCAATCAACTGAGGATGGAAGAAAATAGTCACACAAACCCGAGCGACGAATATGACAGCATGTTCATTCTTTTTACTGACGAATTGTTCATGACATTGGATCACGTGTTTATTTACAAAACATTTGCTACTTTTCTTTCTGTGAATGGAGGTTCAGCGTATATCAACATCTCAAACTTTCAGTTGGACGGATACAATTCGATCATTTCCGGGGGTGGTGTATTTGATGTGCGTGTCACTGCTTGTTACCTACTCATTCGTGATTCTTGTTTTCGTAATGGCAAAAACATTGGTTCGGGTGGTGTAATTACAATCGCCGCATCATTTTCGATACTAACCATCCAAAATTCAAATTTTGAGAACATTTGGACTTCAGATTACGGTGGCGTGGTGTATATTGTTCAACCAGACACACCAGAATCGACGAATTTCGTCTTTCTAAGTATAATTAATTCATCGTTTTCAGGAATCTTGACGGGAGCCAGTGCTGCGGTGTCCATATATACCAACAACCTTATTGCGACTGTTCGTGGCAGTTCATTTCTGAGAAATATTGGCGGGGCATTGGCTTTTTATACCTTCGATGCTGCTACTGTTCGTCTTTACGATGATAATTTTCTTGAAAATACCGCCATTGATGTTTGTATTGTGCAAGCAAATGTCTTCTCTGAAACGTCGACATTTAATTTTCACACCAACAACGTTAGCTTTGTTCGAAACAAACTGTTAGGGAATGATACTTTTGGTGTATTGGCTTTGGCACTTACAGGAACACCAGTTGATGTTACTTTAAAAAACACGCGTTTCCTCGGGAACCTAAATATGGCTGGTAGCAGTATTGCTGTTTTATCAAATAAATCAAGATTCAATAATGTAACTTTGGATACCTGTGTATTTCGGGAGAATATTGGCTTGACACGAATAATAACAATCACAAGTCAAACTTCATTCACATGCAAAAATTCTATCATCGATTCAAACAGGATTATTTCTTGCAACACGGCCGTAATGTCCCTGTTTTTGAACAATTCAAAGATTCTGATTACAAATACAACATTTAAGAACAATTCCTGCGCGGCACTTGGTGTTGTATTGATAGGAAATACCTCGCTAAGAATAGAAGATTCCTCGTTTCTCCGGAACAGGAATTTGGTCAATTCAGGAGGCGCAATAGAGTTGGCATTTGTCCCCCGTTTAAGTTATAAGTCGCAGGAAGATAACTATTTTGACCGGACTTTTCAGGCTGTTATTGTCAATGTATTGTTCAAAGAAAATATCGCTTCAGTTTACAGCGTTTTGGCGGTGACAGGAGGGGAAGTGAAATTAACAAATTGCACAATTTTGAATAATTTTGCTCTGTTCCAAGGCGGTCAAATTGGTAATATTGAACAATCGGATTTAAGTTTAAACAATTGTGTGTTTAGGCAAACTATTCCGAACATCATTACGAGTGATGGGACGGAATTTGTAGCCTCATCTTTCCTACGACTTTACAGCACTGGAAAGGCGGACATATATAATACAACATTCAATCGTATCACTGAGCCTGTCGACGAACCAATAATCCTGATACCCAAAGCAGAGCAAATATCATTGGATAACTCTTCCCTGAGTATCTGTCCCTTGGCTCACGCCATTGAAAAGACTAATTATAAATACTTCAGCCTAAACAGTCGTGATGACAGCGCACTCGCTCTATCATGCAGGAAATGTGACTATAACTTCTACTCTTTGCAAAGAGGAACGGGGAGAGGATTGAAGGTAGACTCCGGTTTCCAGTGCCTCCCATGCCCGCGAGGCGCAGTATGTGTTCCATACATTAGATCAAAGTCGAACTTTTGGGGATATAAAACAAGTTCGAATCCACCTACGTTGGCTTTCATCACTTGTCCGTTTGGCTACTGCAAGTCCCCGCCATCTTACAGCACTGAATACAATGCATGTCAAGGTAAACGTACTGGTTTTATGTGTGGGATGTGTTCATCTGGCTATTCAGAAGCTCTGTGGTCAACGAACTGTACTTTAACACGAGAATGCAACGACTATTGGTTCTGGATTGTATTTCTAGTGTATGTCTTCTTAATGGCATCTCTCCTCGTCTTCAAACCTCCAATGATAAAATATCCTTTACGACAGATTTTTTGGTTTAAAACGTTTATAGATGGCAGTCGCTTCGCCAACTGGCAAACGGCTTTACACCGTCACGTTGATCTGGTCCCTGAGGACGACACTGAACAAAACAATCCATCGCTGTCTTCATCAGAGCAAACAAAACAAGATAAAAGACAATTTTCGGGTTTATTGGAGATCATCTTTTATTTCTACCAAATATCACAACTCCTTCTCTGGTCGACTTCGTTGACCGAATTCTTTGAAACTGAATTTCTCATGCCCGTCCTTGGCTTCTTCAACTTCCAACCAGGTGTAACAAATCGTGGTTTTGTCTGCCCCATTCCAGGGCTGACACCAAAGACAAAGCTTCTTTTTAAAGTTGCTCCGGTCTTCGGGACGCTCGCTGCAATCTTTCTTCTCTATGCCTTCCACGTCCTCGTACGTTGCAAGAGAGGTTTTCTTCGACCTGATATTTCTCCCTACCTTCAAGCCAGCGTCAAAACAGTGTTCCTTGGCTACGTCACCCTGGCTACTGTCAGTATTTCGCTAATTCGCTGTGTCCCCGTTGCAGACAAGCTCAGATGGTTTTACAATGGAAACGTCGTATGCTACGAATGGTGGCAATATGCATCGTTCATTTTCAATGCCATCTTTGTCGTTCCATTCATATTCGTTCTCGCTTGGATTCCGTTCAAGCTTTACAAAGATAAAATAACCGTCAGAAATTTCCTCCTAGCTGTTGTTTGTCCTCTGTCGTTCTTGTTTCAAAGGCTATTTCGCATCGTTTGTCGATCTGAAGACGAACATGCCGAGGATAGCGAAAATTTGAGCGCTTTAAAAGAGTTGCTTCTAGGTCCATACGCACAGCCAAATGAAACGAGCAAGCGAGGAGCTTTGTATTGGCAGAGCATTTTGATTGCTCGTCGATTTATTTTGGTTGTAATATTTTGCGTGGTGACCGAGCCATCCATCAGATTATTCTGCATGACGCTTGCCTGTCTTTTCATTCTATGCCTTCATCTCAAAATTAAACCATTTCAAAATTCTTTCTCGAACAACCTCGAGTCCATTTCCTTGATGTTTTTGATAGTTTTAGCTCTGATCAACCTGTTTAGGTCCGTGTTTTCTAGTTCTCATCAAAACATCGAGGGACCTTTCGTGCCAGTTTTCAAAGCTTTCAAATGGCTGGAGGTTCTTATTTTAGGGATGTTTCCGGCAATTCTTGTTCTTCTTGTATGCTTTGCAATTATTTCGATATTCGCTCGTTTTCTTTTCGTTTGCAGCAGGGCTTGTCTTAAATGTTTCTCCAGACTTTGTCGCAAGAGGCGTTTGCGAAGTGATTCGAATTCTAGTGTTCTTGTAAACTTTTGTGACAGGAACGATGAGGAATAGCGAGACTCTTGTCGTGTGTATTGTAAGATACTTGCAAAGTTAAGTTTAGTTGATAAAGTTGATTTTTTCTAGCCAATTGGCAATTAACATAATATAAAAGCAGTTGTATTGTGACATAAGCGTATTTTTTCGTGTGTATTGCAAAGTTAAGTTTAGTTGATAAAGATAATTCTTTCTAGCTAATTAACATCATAAAAAAGCAACTGTATTGTGACATAAATGCATTGTTGACAAACATGTTTAATTTTTTTGGGAAATATAATCTAAACTGTGAACTTCATCCTGGTCTCTTTTGTTATTTCATACCGGAATTCAGTACGTCTTTTGAAATCCAGTTTTTTAGAAAAATCCACGTATCGGAGATGCACTTCAGCTCCAGACTATTTTGTCTGTGTATCTTAGAAAGCATGACTGAGAACTTGCGTTGAGTTTTTGATGTTTTTACGTTTCTGGCGAAATTCACTAAATAAATAAATGAATAAAGGAATCAACCAAGTGCCTTAAAATATAAAAAGAAACTCAACGTTTTGTTGCCGCATTTGTCAGTAGATTAAGTCCCATGGCTTAGAATGAAATTAAGTGAAGTCATATAATATTTTACGCAGTTGTTCAGTGATCATATGAAGAGAGTGTACTATCAAAAAAGTGAAAAAACCTATATTATTTAAGACTTAATATCCGATTTGATATTCATGTAAAGTACGGATGGATAATGTCATGTGGGTCACAAACAAATATCGCCATATTGAATCTTTGGTGATAGATAAATAAATACTTAATATTAAATTTTGCGTTAATTACGGAACACTTGATTATGAAGAGGAAACAAAACAAAAAATAAAATTGAAAATATAAGGGTAAAACGGACTTGTTGTTTGAAAATGAATTTATTTATGTCTTGTGATGTCCGGCTTATGATGAATTGTTTTTCTTCAGTTTCTTATTAGAAGCTCTTTGTACAATTGAGCTGTCGCCGTGTGGGTTATATCACTGTAACTTGGATTGCTCGTCATTGTTTTTTCGCTTGTTTTAATCAGAAGATGGCGTTGATCTGGTTAGCAGGATTGTATGCAATATTATTATATTCATCTGGTAAGAAGCATATCTTTGTATTTTCAAATGTCACTTCGAAATGTTCAGTAATCGACCTTGTCAATACATTTCAAGCTGATGATTACTGAGATTTCATGCGTTTTGTTTGACCGAGGACTAGGATTCGGGACTGAATTCGCTCGTCAATTTGTCAACTAAATTTTATAAATAAGCGTCCAAAAATTCAGCATGGATCTTAAATGGTTACAAAAGCGAGGATATTTTCAGACGACAATGGGAAGAGTATTAGGTGATAGAAGCAAGACTAATTCACATCTATACGTGAACTTTGCAGGTGTTAGAATGCATGAACAATACAATGTTACTTTCCTGACCACAATTCTGCATTAAAAATGATAGTTTTGCTCTTGGGCTGTGAAATGAAACCTTTAGACGTGAAACAAAAATAAACCACGGAATAGGGCGTGACTATTCGAGGATCGCAGTATCTTTGCCCAGTTCAATTACTGCAGATGCTAACCGTATAGTCCATCTCTATGGGTATTACCAAATATATACCATTTGTTTAATCCTTTAATTTTGTTTCAGTGTGTTGTGAATCATCTCAACACTCAATCTATGTATCGCGTTTCAATGGGAATGATACGACAAATTGTGGCACTCCAATACTCCCTTGTCGCAGTATATCTTATGGCATTCTACAACTGATAGAAGGGTCAGTAATCTACCTGGATGGCAAAGAAACGGCCAAAAACCCTTACCAATGCGAAAGCCAAGACCCTGGACAACCGGGAATTCGTATTAATAAAAGCATATCATTCGTCAGCATCAGATCACGTGCTTACATCTCGTGTCTCCATGGAAACCCCTGGTTGGTGAACGGAACTAAGCTAGTGAACGGTTTACAAGTTAACTTTTCCGGAATAACCTTTTTGAACACATCTCTTCGCTTTATTGACGCCTCTGTATTTGCAAAGGATACCGTATTTGCAGAGACGAAATTTACCAGCATACGTATTGAAGTGTTAAACCTGCGGCAATTTGATCTGACGTTGGATTCTGTTATCTTCCAACAGAATAAAGCGTGCATACGAATTGAGATCGACACTGGGATTGAGGTTTCTATAGACGTAACTAATACGTCTTTCCTTCAAAATGGTAATTCTCCTTCGTCAATTCTTTTGGTAAATTGCAGCGAGGGAAATTCTACGGTCAGCATTGAAATGAGAAACTGCAGTTTTAAGGAAAACCTCTTTGAGGGATACGGAATGATGTTAATCATAAACCTACTTGGAACGACGAAGCTTGCAGTCAATCGACTGAGGATGGAAGAAAATATTCACACAAACCCGAGCGACAAAGATGACAGCATGTTCATGCTTTTCACCGACGAATTGTTCATGACATTGGTTCACGGGTTTATTTACAAAACATTTGCTGCTTTTCTTTCTGTGAATGGAGGTTCAGCGCATATCAACATCTCAAACTTTCAGTTGGACGGATACAATTCGATCATTCTCGGGGGTGGTGTATTTAAAGTGTTTGTCGTCGCTGAATGTAACCTGCACATTCGTGATTCTTGTTTTCGTAATGGCAAAAACATTGGTTCGGGCGGTGTATTTACAATCGACGCATCTTTTTCGATACTTAGTGTCCAAAACTCAAATTTTGAGAACATTTGGACTTCATATTACGGTGGCGTGGTATATATTGATCAGCCAGACATACCAGAATCGAAGAATTTCGTCTTTTTAAGTATAATTAATTCATCGTTTTCAGGAATCGTTACGGGAGGCAGTGCTGCGGTGTCCATAGTTACCAACAACCTTATTGCAATTGTTCGTGGCAGTTCATTTTTGAGAAATATTGGCGGGGCTTTGTATTTTTATATCAACGATGCTGCTACGGTTAGGCTTGACGATGATAATTTTCTTGAAAATAGCGCCGTTGATTTTGGTATTGTGGAAGCAGATGTCTCATCTGAAACGTCGACATTTAATTTTCAAACCAACAACGTTAGCTTCGTTCGAAACAAAGTGTCAGGAAATGGTGCTTCAGGTGTATTGTATTTTGGAATTGAAGATACACCAATTGATGTGACTTTAAAAAACACGCATTTCCTCGGGAACCTAAATATCGCTGGTAGCAGTATTCTTGTTTCTTTAAATAAATCTAGATTCACTAATGTAACTCTGGATACCTGTGTATTTCGGGAGAATATTGGCTTAACAGGAATAATATTAATCATAGGTGAAACTTCACTTACATGCAAAAATTCTATCATCGATTCAAACAGGATTATTTCTTGCAAGACGCCCGTAATGTTGCTGTTTTTGAATAATTCTAAGATTTTGATTACGAATACAACATTTAAGAACAATTCCTGCGGGGCACTTAGTATTTATTGAAAGGAACTACCTCGCTAAGAATAAAGATTCCTCGTTTTTCCGGAACAGGAATTTAGAGGGTTCAGGAGCCGCAATAGAGCTGGGATTTCTCTCCGATTTGTTCAGTTATAAGTCGCGAAAACATAAAAGTTTTAACCGAACTTTTCAGGCTGTTATTGTCAACGTATTGTTCCAAGAAAATATCGCTTTAGTTTACAGTGTTTTGGCGGTGACAAGAGGGGAGGTGAAATTAACAAATTGCACAATTTTGAATAATTTTGCCCGGTTCCAAGGCGGTCAAATTGGTAATCGTGAACAATCGGATCTCAGTTTAAACCATTGTGTGTTTAGGCAAACTATTCCGAAGATCATTACGAGTGATGGGACAGAATTTGTAGCCTCATCTTTCCTACGACTTTACAGCACTGGAAAGGCGGACATATATTATACAACATTCAATCGCATCACTGAGCCTGTCGGCGAACCAATAATCCTGATACCCAAAGCAGAGCAAATATCATTGGATAACTCTTCCCTGAGTATCTGTCCATTGGCTCACGCCATTGAAAAGACTAATTATAAATACTTCAGCCTAAACAGTCGTGATGACAGCGCACTCGCTCTATCATGCAGGAAATGTGACTATAACTTCTACTCTTTGCAAAGAGGAACGGGGAGAGGATTGAAGGTAGATTCCGGTTTCCAGTGCCTCCCATGCCCGCGAGGCGCAGTATGTGTTCCATACATTAGATCAAAGTCGAACTTTTGGGGATATAAAACTAGTTCGAATCCACCTACGTTGGCTTTCATCACTTGTCCGTTTGGCTACTGCAAGTCCCCGCCATCTGACAGCACTGAGTACAATGCATGTCAAGGTAAACGTACTGGTTTTATGTGTGGAATGTGTTCATCTGGCTATTCAGAGGCTCTGTGGTCAACGAACTGTACTTTAACACGAGAATGCAACGACTATTGGTTCTGGATTGTATTTCTAGTGTATGTCTTCTTAATGGCAGCTCTCATCGTCTTCAAACCTCCAATGATAAAATATCCTTTACGACAGATTTTTTGGTTTAAAACGTTTATAGATGGCAGTCGCTTCGCAAACTGGCAAACGGCTTTGTACCGTCACGTTGATCTGGTTCCTGAGGATGACACTGAACAAAACAATCCATCGCTGTCTTCATCAGAGCAAACAAAACAAGATAAAAGACAATTTTCGGGTTTATTGGAGATCATCTTTTATTTCTACCAAATATCACAACTGCTTCTCTGGTCGACTTCGCTGACCGAATTCTTTGAAACTGAATTTCTCATGCCCGTCCTTGGCTTCTTCAACTTCCAACCAGGTGTAACAAATCGTGGTTTTGTCTGCCCCATTCCAGGTCTGACACCAAAGACAAAGCTTCTTTTTAAAGTTGCTCCGGTCTTCGGGACGCTCGCTGCAATCTTTCTTCTCTATGCCTTCCACGTCCTCATTCGTTGCAAGAGAGGTTCTCTTCGACCTAACATTTCTCCCTACCTTCAAGCCAGCGTCAAAACAGTGTTCCTTGGCTACGTCACCCTGGCTACTGTCAGTATTTCGCTAATTCGCTGTGTCCCCGTTGAAGGCGAGCTCAGATGGTTTTACAATGGAAACGTCTTATGCTACGAATGGTGGCAATATGCATCTTTCTTTTTCAATGCCATCTTTGTCGTTCCATTCATATTTGTTCTCGCTTGGATTCCGTTCAAACTTTATC